ACGGTTTATAACATGAATACTATTAAATCTAGAGATGTTTCAGTCAGTTTAACAGAAGTTTAAACTCAGGTTAAAACGACTCGTCTAAAGATAAGAAAACACTCAGACAACAGGTTGAATTGGGGGTTTGGTTTGCTGACTGTGGCTAACGTTAGCATCGCTGGCATCACCAGCCTTCAGTCCTCCCTGCAGCTCGACATCCTCATGCCGGAGCTAGCTTTGGTTCCACATTGTTCCAGTCGATGTGCCAGTTTAACCTGACACAGCCTACAAATTACTTTATCTCTTTTTGTCCCCAACAAAACCAAACTTCTGCAGCCATTACAGAACAGAAAAGTACAACCATCATCCATCACTTGAATGCATCACTTTAGACTCTGTCACTAATACTTACTGTAGTGTTTCATATAAAAAATGAAAGCAGAGATCCACTGTACTGTTTTCAAAGTCTTGAGTGGATTAATGTAATTTTATTGTTTTATCTTTATCCCTAACCTTAATCCCCCGTTTGATCAAATGAGTGGGGAGACAAGTGTGTTACTTTAAATCTACTTGTTTGTTGTTTTTATAAATCACTCTCATGGCACCTGTTCTTTGAGCAATTTGATCAAAGAAATATTTATTCAAAAGGGAATTGAAGTTTAAATTTGTGATTGTTTATATGTTATTATTTATCTGGACTACAGACGACTCAGAGAGAGTGTATGTGTGTGTGACTGTGAGTGTGTGTTCATATTTTAATGGTTTTTGTGTGTTGTTGTTGTTGAGTTCAGTGAAATGTGAGGAGTCATTGGTGATCGGGGTGATTTCACTGATCCCAGGAAAGAGCAGATTTTTGCTGCTAATTTTAGAATTCATTGCTCATGGGAAAATTGGGAAGACTGTTTACTGTGTGTGTGTGTGTGTGTGTGTGTGTGTGTGTGTGTGCGCTCTAGCCTGCATCTGGGGCTCATGCTTGGTCAAGCTCTGATCATGACTTGAGATGAGACAGTTAGATGTTGAGTTTCCGTCGTGGTTAAGTTTTGTGCAACGTGCTGTGAGAAAGTCGTGATCAGAGCCTGAGAATGTGAGCATGTTTTTTTTTTTTTTTTACAAGAACAATACAATAAATGAAACTTCTTACCTTAGGTTAAAAGTTGGAGGTTGTCAGTAAGCGTTAGGTGCCTGACATAAGTTTCTTATTTTATTTCAGCATGATGTGTAGCCTGAAATATCCAGTGCCTCGAGGAGATATATAATGTCAGCCTTATTAACCTTTAGGGAAAAGAAGCAAAGGCACAAAAGCACGATGCATGGGCTGAATATTTTATGAATGAGGAGAGCGTTTAAAGGTCATGTAGTAACTGGATGATAACAAGATGAGACGCACCTTCTGATTCAGCTCAGCAGGTCGTGCTGGAACATGATCTTTTTTTATTGCAGATTAAACACATCAAACAAAAGCTTTACCCAGCGGGGTTAGCTTTGAGTAAATTTCAAGTCATGTAACTTCATTTGTAAAAAAACAACTGCTGTCACCACAAGTATGCACAAACTTCACTGACAAGGAATGTAAACTTGAGGATTCTTATTTAAAGGTCACATATTCTCCTCCTCTTCAACCAGTTTAAATAAGTCTCAGAGCTCCCCAAAACATGTGTGTGAAGTTTCTTGTTCTAAATCCTCTCTGATTCTGTATTTCATCATGTCTATAAACCCCTCTATTTCAGCCCTGCTCAGAACAGGCTGTTTCTGTGTCTGTACCTTTAAATATGTAAATGAGCTGTGTCTGACCACGCCCCCTCTCTGGAAGGGCTTGGGTGTACTCGAGCTTTCTCGCTCCATGTCCTATTGTTTACGGTGAGAAGGCAGACTCAGGACAGAACAAACACCTAGCTGTGGGAGTGTCACCCACCTGGGGGAGAGGTTACTGCCCTTTGTGATGTCATGAAGGGAAAATCTCCAAACGGCCTGTTTGAGCACACATTTTCTGAAAAGTGGAGCAGGCAGAAGACGGAGAGGATGGACTTTTCTCATCATTGGGGGGTTTGTAGACAGACTAGGGACACATGTTAGTGTTAAATGAACATTGTGAAGTTTATTTAGCAGAATATGTGACCTTTAAAAGAACTTCTTGCATTTTATTAGCATGATATTATTTAGAAGTAAAGGCCTACCTTTGACTAAAATGTTGCATTAAACCGATTCTAACATTAAAAAAAGAGCTTCTGTCCTGTAAGGAGTCTGAAGCGTTTGAAAAATGTCTCTGCATGTCTGAGCTGTTGCGTATGTGAGTCCATTATTTTGGGCCCACATCGTGATATCAGCACAGTGTCATGCCTCACTTCAGCCTTGACACTGACCATCATGCCTTCAGACACACACACACATAAAAAGGCCCTGACGTCATCTTCTCTCCTTCTTTATTCCCCCCATTCCTTCCCTCTTATCTCTGTCTTTATTCCCTTGTCTTCAGGCAGACGATGATGAGTCATGTTGGGGAAGATTTTAGATGCAATGTGGGATAAACGGCTATGATAGGAGGGGGAAGCAGCAGGTAGAGGATTGAAAATAAGGGAATGTGGACACCTGTATACTTAAGCCAAATGCAAAACTTAAGAAATATCACAAAGCAACAGGCTTTTATTAGCCTCTATTTTTTATACTTTATAAAAGGGATTTATTTCCCATAGAGCCCATATTTACAATGATCCATACTAACAGACAAAATCTGCCATGAAATCATGAAAACCAGAAATATGTCCATAATAATATTTGATCACTGTTATATGTTGAGTGAAATTTGAGACATAATCGTCTGTAATGTTTTTTGTATTCTACAATTTGGCCCCCTGGCAGTCAGAGATAAATGAATGTGGCCCTTGCTGTGACCAAAGTTGTCCATCCCTGATCCAGACCAATGGATGTTTACGTCTTTAGTGAGTGTTGAGCGTGCAGTGTGACCGTCATTCACGTAAATAAGCTGCTTCTTACTTTTTTACTGCATTGATAAAAAGGAATAAGATGTGAACATAGCGTCCGACTCTGTTGCTTTGTCCGCCATCGTTTCATGTCATGACCCTGCTCCTGCTGCGAGGTGTGTGTGTGCGTGTGAGTGAGAAAGAGCAACTCGGGAAGATTTCAGCGGCAGCCTGTCCTGTATGGAATTTTCTTGACATTTTCAGGAGTGCATGTGTGAAAAAGTGCTTGAAATTGATCTCGGTCTTGTGACCATTCTCAAGGTCGCTTGTGGAAGATCTCAGTCTGATCTTAAAATCTGCAGCATTCTCGTTCTGGTCTCGGACAAAGACGACTCAAGAGTCAAGACCTGTCAGAACCACAACTGCAGGAGTTTAACTAAAGTGCCATGAAAAGAGATCTGTGGGTGTTTTTATGAGAATGGCGTGCCTGTCATTAGTATGTTCTAGGGCTGTCATTATTTCAATGAAATGCATTGAATCAGACCATTATTGGGATATTTTTAAAGACAGGCCCATCCTCTCTGTTGCCTACATATAACAATAAACCTCCTAGTTAAATTCATAGTTTGTAGAAACAAGCCTTATTAAATGTGTGCAGGACCTTCATCGGCTGTTTGATGTGGTAATTGGGGAAACAATCTGCCGTTTGTCCTCCGTTGTAATTGTCTCCTGAGTCGTTGTTTCAAATGCTAAATATTCATCCTCGTGGTTTTTATGGTCGATAACAGCCGGGCTTTGATTTCATTCTGTGTGCTGCTGAATGATTATTGTAAGAGAATAAATCCTGAATCACAAAACATCCTGATTAATGAGGACGTTTAAAAAAAAAAAAAAAAAACATGAATATTCATCATGTTTTCAAATCATCAGCAGGAGGAAGTCTGTGAAAGCGAGCGCAGACTCATGGACCTTAGTTTGAAACAGACGTTTTCGAGGCGCTGCAGGAAGTAAATAGAACCTCTAGCGGGACACACAGAGTACAGAGAAAGTTTAGAGGACTTTAAATCTTTGCAGGACTCTTTTGAAGCCTCTACAAACAGCGTACCGGGGGACGTGTTTTCTGACCCTGCTGCTGGTGACTCTGCACTTCCTCCATCATTGAGCTATGGAGAGAATCAAAACATGTGTGTATTTGAATGTGTGCATGCACTCTGCGTGTGTCTGTGTGTGTGTGTGTCTGTGTCGAAGCCAACGTGCTGAAACATTTGATGTCAACAGTTTGTGGCGACATGCCCAGAAAAGTGTGTGTGTGTGTGTGTGTGTGTGTGTTATTTTTACACAGCGCGGCGCCGCCTGCTGCAGACTCTGTTCGATCACTTCTCTTATTCATGACAATGTTGTTTACTGTTGGAAAACGGACAAAATGCAAATAATTTCATGTGATCGGAGTTATTCCACAAAACTAATGTTCGCTTCAATCGTAGCTGTGTGTCACTCGCTGCATGCTACAAACGTTTCAGACGAAGACGTTATGAAAACTTAAATATAAACTTTATTTCTAACCCCAAAAATCAAGAAGTTTAATAACTATAGATATGAATGTAGTGGGATTGATAATAAAACAATATTTAACTCAAGATATTAATGTTAAAAAGTAAGAAGGCAATTGTTACGAGACTGAACCCACCCAACAATATTTAGAAACAGTAAGACTGAGAGAAAATGTTTTTACTATCAAATGGAAGATTTATAACGCGGTGTGAAATGCTTCTGGACTGACTTGTACATCAACTTAGAGATATTGGATCTGTATTAAAATTAAGTCTGTTTTATCTCTGGTTTATATTTATTTGTTCTACTCTTTTTTTTTAATCTCAACCCATTTTTTAAAAAGACGTTTACATGCATCAGGACCTGTTTTTTAACATTTTGAAAACCCCTTTGTGTTATAAATGGATCTTCAAACAGGTGACACATCCTCTAAGCTCTGTGTCTGTTCTTTAGCTCATAGTTGACGTTTTTCTGTAAGTTGTGTCCTGAATAAATAAATCTCTCGCTCTGACTAACAGGCTGATGTTTCCTCTCTCTCTCTCTCTTCAGGGACGTGGTGACCTGTTGACTCTGGTGAACTGACACCCTGCGTCTCGTTCCGTCCACCTCCATACCCCACCCCCTCTTTCCCTCATCCCCTCATCCCCTGTCCTGACCAGTCTCCGTGCTGCCGGCGGTGGATTGGAGCACTCTGATTGGAGGATTTGCGAGGTGGTTTTTCGGTCTGGCGCCGCCTCCCCCCGGGGCCGGCGTGCGCTCCCAGCAGCCCGTGGTGCCCTGTGCCCCCCCCTCCCCGTCACTGCATAACAGAGCCCATGCCCAAGGTGAGAGAGACCCAATGTAATGCAGTGGAGACCCCACAGATCACTCAGCCTGAGCGAGCTCTTTGAATTCTTTATTAGGAAAAAAGAGAGGAATAAATCAAAAGTCACTTCCTCTCTTTAAAGAAAACTAAGAGTTGTTTGTAAACATGTGATGTTGGCTGGGGCTCACCATGGCAACCACAGAGACCAAACAAAGGACAACATTTAAAGTCCTGCTTACTCTTGTTGGTTTGTCGAATGCTGCCCCGGCTTCAAACACACAAGTTAGCTAAAGCTTCATTATGACCAGTCTCATTAATATTCCGTGTCATTCTAAATGCAACGTTCCAACACTGAACTATAGCAGCTACGTGGTGCATATGTTACAGGATGTTGCACCCTGCTGACCTTTAATCAAAATGCACAATATGGACTGCAATCTCTGAGAGAATGTCTGTACAGAGATCAGAGAAGCAACAGAGGGCAGGAAGTGTTTACGATGATTTGAAGGGTTTGATGTTTTTGTCCGTGCACACTCAGCCATCTTTACCTTCACATTTCTTAACAATATCTCAAAATGAGTGTCATCAGCTTGTAAACTGAATACTCGACACTGACAAAACCTTATTTTTTAAAAACTCCCTGGCACACATTGAACACAACATAGCTGAACATGTTATTGCACATCAGTATCAGAGGGTTTTACAAGAAAGTTTCAAGCTTGTGTGTTTTTGCCATTTGATGCATTGTACCAGTTAGCTTAGAGCTCATTTTCATCAGCCGTCCATGTTCATGTTTATCTATTGTTTATGTTCTTCTGGAAGAGCAGGTTGAAAAGTCTCCCTGCAGCAGGAAGGAAGGACCTGCAGTATCTCTCCTGCACTCGAAATGATTCATCTGCAAATTTACCAGAGACTGTTTAGTTGGTGTAGCATCTTATGTTGAGAAACCGTGAAACATTTTGGAAACTTTTCACATTATGTGTCAACAAGTCTAGGAATGCAGCGCAGGGATGCATCAGCTTAACATCTGTGTCAGACTAAACTGGCCATGTTTACAAATATTGGACCATCGAAAAGTAGGGGAGCATGCACTGATGCCAGGAGCATTGTGAATCTGTTGTGTCGCATCAGTTTAAATCTGACAAGCTAGTTTAGCTAACTGCTGATTCAGAAAAGAGTTTAAATGGGACAGAAGAAGTCCTCCTTCGGACAAACTCTGATTTGTTTTCATGGTTAAACATGAAAGAACATGTCGTCAGTTAAACTGTCTCAGAGAAGATCAGTGACATTGTAAGAGGAAGGACTACTAATAATTTAAATAAATCCAATCTCATAGCTCATTGAAAAAACAGACTATGGAGTAATGAAAAACTGAAAGTGGAGATCAGCTGAGTTGTTATATTTAACATTGATGTCGCTATCGGTCCTGATTTTCACAATCGATGCTCTAAAATCATCTGTGGTTTGGATTTATTGAGAAATAAAAAAGGAGCTCTTCCTGTCATCATTCAATAAATCCCTCTCCCGTCTCCAGGAGGAGTCGCGGTGCGTCCGCCAGGAGCCATGTGCCTCCCTCACAGTAACAACATGGACAGCAAGCTACAGGGGGCGGGGCCGGGGGGAGGGGCTATACTTCGATCACAAGCAGGAGGCGTTCCACTAGAGCCCTTCATCCACCAGGTGGGTACAGAGAGAGAGCAATGCTGTCATAAGTGTAACATATATGTGATAACTGTTTTCACATTTGTGTGTTGTTGGGTTTTTTTGTAGGTGGGGGGTCACACCAGTATGATGCGTTATGATGACCACACGGTGTGTAAGCCTCTGATCAGCAGAGAGCAGCGCTTCTACGAATCTCTGCCTCCAGAAATGAAGGAGTTCACTCCAGAGTATAAAGGTCAGTCACAGGAAACTCTCAGATGTTTGATGTGCGCTCAGCCGTGGGGGAGAGCTGCGACTATCTGTGGATTCTCTTCAGTGAATTGTTACAAAGTGTTTCAGTGCTGAGAGGACGGTGAACACTGTGACCCTCTACACGTGTGGCTCATATGATACATAACGATCCTGAGGTTGTGTTACTTTATGACTTTTGTTTACTTTATCAGAGAGACAGGACGGTGGATAGAGTAAGAAATCAGGGAAATAGGGCAAAGATTAATATTCTGTGTCTTAACTGCACCATCCTGCTGCGCGTATGTGCCTTTGATTTTTTTCACAGTTTTTTGTTTTTTTTTCTTAATAGGAACTGCTTAAGATAAGGTCTTAATGTGATCATGGCTGCTATTGCAAAAGACGTGCTCTTTTTTCTGTTCTCTTAGTTTATTTTCCTTTTGGGAGGGGGGGGTGGGGGGTAGGTTTTTATTTTTATTTCTGTTGTTTTTTCTTGAGTCTGTATTTTCTATGTTTATAAAAGCAATAAATATATATATAAGAAGAAATCAGGGAAAGAGAGTAAGTGAGAAATGACATGCGGGAGAGCAGCCACCGGTCGTATTCAAACCCGGGTTGCCCGCTCCGACTACAGCAGCCTCTGTCCAGGGGGCACGGTGCACACTAGCCACTAGGCCTCCGGGGCCCACACGTGTTTTTGGACATTTGAGGAGACACCATTTGTGTTGTGTCAGCAGAAATGTTCAGAGCTGTAAAGCTGTCCATGTTCAACCAGTTAGTGACATAACATCGTCAACATGGCGAAGGTCCGACAGTAACCGGCTGAAAGGGAGGCATATCGCCACCTACAGTAGCAGATTCAGACATACATCTGTCAATGAATCGATTCTCCCTCTGTGCCTCTCTGCTGGGACAAGGACAGTTGTCCAATAAAATGTTCTAACTGAGCTCGACTTGTAAAGCTCCAACACATCCAAAGTGTGCATGTGTGGTTTGTGGCCTAAACATTCAGTGCAGTGTTACATGCACTGCTGATTTATGCTAAGGCTAATTTTAACGTAAACTAGTTCAACAATATGAGAGACAGTGTATGTGTGTGTGTGTGTGTGTGTTTAAATCCACTCTGCAGTGAGCCGGTCTGTACCGATTCAAAAGTAATCTGATTTTTTTGTTTGTTATTGGAGGACGTTTATAATTAAGTCAGTTTTTATGACCCTCCCAGACATCTGTTGCATTAAAAAGATCTCAAATCTCTTATTCCCCCCCCTCCCCGGCCTCCTCCTCCGGTGCTCTAAATAGTTTTGCACCTCCGGGTTGGGTGGCGGGTGGAGAAGCAGGCAGACGGACAGACGCAGCAGAGGGACGGATGTGCGGATGTTTACTGGTGTAGCCGCTCTGCTCTCCATCAGACGACACTGAAGCTGCTTCCACCGGCTCTTGCTGTAGTAACAGAGCCAAACACACTTTGACAGCCAGCGTTCAAACACACACGCATACTCCTCTCCTGCATGAGTGTGACCTATTTATCATTTTAGAAAATTATATAAGAGAGGTGACAGTGACGGGTTGAGTTTGAGGGGGGGGGGGGTCTGTCAACAGACATTATGAAGGTGGATGGAGCAGGTGTGATGCTAAAGATGGCTCTGTTCCATTAGAGATTGCTTTTAAGTAACAACTAGTAAGCCAGCAGCAGGGTCCTGACTCTGAAACACTTACAGGGAAGACAGTTTTTTATTACAGTGCAATACTTTCAAGCCTTTACAGTTTGTGAAATGTCTCCAAACACAAATATTTCACCTCGAGCCATGAGCTGTGACCCAGTTCAACACGAAGCATTGATTCTAAAACTGTTAAGAGTAAGAAGTCGAGTCACATGAGAAAACTCTCAGTGCACAGATATGAAACGGTCATTTGTCAAAGTGCTCTCGAGGGTACTAATGGACAAAAATGTATTGAGTCGTAAGAATCAAGAGCAGTCAGTCATATGCTGATGTAACGTACTTTTGGCTTTTGTGTGTTTTTCCACTTCTTCAAAAAACAAACTTGAGATTGAGCAAGTCATCTGTGTTGGTAATCAAGCAGCAACCTCTGGTGTGGAAAAATTAAGCCAATGCAAAATTGCACAAAAACTACAGTTCCTCGAGTGTCCACTTGAGGCCGGCTGCAGAAGCCCCAGAGGTCACATACACACCCATTCAAAAATGTCTGTGTTCTTCCCTACAGTATGTCTACCAGCGAGAGAAACTGATTACCAACTAGGGATGCACCGATGCATTGGCCAATATCAGCTCTGTTTACAAACATCAGCACATCTGCAAATAATGTGGCATGAACCGATGTCAGTATCCAATGTTGATTTGTTGTTTCAGATCAGTTTTAATGCTGACATCAAGTTCGCCTGACTATTGATTGGTAATTGCACTCTGCCTCTATAAAAGCAGAGTTGTTGAATAAATGATAAAGCATTAATTAAGGGTTGTGCACATGCTTAATGCTAGACCTGCTAAACATCAGCATGCTGCCATCGTCAAGGAGAGCCTGTTAGTCCTACTTCCTGTAAAATCAATAACTTTGATTGATCACGATTCTTAAAGGAAAAATGCCAGAAAATAAAAATGAATTTTCTTGTAATGTATCAACCGATTCTTAAAGAAAGCTAAATCTGTTTCAGACGTCAGAAGCATAAATTTACAGTCCCTGCACTTTCATCCTTCAGCTCGCTGTCTCACTGACCTCTGAGGGTCTCTACACAAGGTTTATATTTTCCCTGCACACCTGACCTGCAGGCACCCCCCCCCCCAGTCCAACCTGCCTTTGTTGTGGGTCCCAGTACCATGACAACAGGAGTCCAAAAGGAGTCTATATTTAGCCCTGGATTTCGGCCCACTACCATTGTTCTGCTGATTAAATAACAGCAGACTGACAGACAGCTGCCCAGCGACGACTTTCTGATTCCGTCAAGGTCGTTTCATCTGGAAACAGTTTGACGTCAGCAGATCGGATTTCTCCTTAAGTTGTTGGTGTAGAGGTTGTGAAGAAGTCCAAGCAGAGGACCTGACTCTTCAGTTTTTGGACTCTTATCTCTGGAGAAGGTTTCCCACCACTGACGTCAAAATTCAATTTGGACCAACAGGGAGGATGTTCAGCGTCTCACTCGGCAGGAAAGAGGTGTTCTAAAAATAACTCGCTTAATGTTTAAATAAAACATTACCAGACATTCCTGCCCGGGCATTTAATCCATTAACAGTTTCACAATTGAATTTCCGGAACATTTATGAGATCTTCATAAACACACAGACGACAGTAAAATCCAACTTTAGGTGTATCAGTGAGGTGTTCTTCATCCTTCATCCTTGAGCCTCCAAAAGGGCTCCACCTCTGGAGGCACCCTAAAAATCTTCCCTCTTTTCATCTTTGTCTGATCTTAAGGGGGGAACACTTCAGTTAAGAAGTCCTTGTGTTGAGATCTAGTGTCTTCTTAAAGTCTTATTTATACTTCTGTGTTTAATCTTCACCATAAGTTGTGTTATAACTTGACATTCTCCATTAGCCTGTGTATGGTTTTAAGTGATGGAGTGGTGCAGAAATAATGATGGCTGAGTTTTTTTTGCAAGCTTTGACTTACTGTACTCTCTCTGCTGGGACTGCACTGTTGTTGATTGTTATTGCCACATGATCTTTTGACCTTACGCCTGTTGATTTTTACATGCAGTGTGAAGGTACGAGCAAGCAAGCGATCGCTAGCATTAGCATACTAACACAACAATGCAGCGCTAGTTGTTATGGTTTCATTCTGGTGCTCAAGGGCGACATCTACTGGACCAAAAAGTTGCATATTCTTCCTTTAATGCGTAAGAATCAGAAACTGAATCGACACAGGAAGACGTTTTCAGAAAGCTGTAAATGTTTGTTAATTCCTCCTTTGGTGAGGTTTTTTTCTTTTTCTTTAAGCTTCAGGAATGACAAACATGATGTTAGAGTATATTGCTGGTTTGTAATTAATGTCCAGTATTTTAAACTTCCTGTCTGTATTTTATTGTGTTCTGCAGGTGTGGTGCTGGTGTGTTTTGAGGGCGACTTGGACGGCTACATCAACCTGGTGGCGTACCCTTACGTGGAGAGCAACATGGAGGGGGGGCCTCCGGAGCACGAGGAGCGGGACCCCCCAGAGAGGGAGCAGCCGAGGAGGAAACACTCCAGAAGAAGCCTCCATCGCTCCTCCTCCTCCTCTGAACACAAAGACGAGCGGAGCGACAGGAGGGAGGCGCACGACAACGACGCGTCTGATAAGTAAGTTCATTTAGTGTTAAGAGTTTTTTAGAGGACTCGTTGTTGACTGAATATTAATCATCTTTTTCATTTGGACGATAAACGATGAATAATTCCCCAAATATTTGGCTGCAGCTTCTCAAGGTGAAGATACTGAGCTCAGAGGACATCACATTAGACTCAGACGACCAATTAAATCATGATGAGAATAATTAGTTTGGATCGGATGTAATGCTCCCGGGCATGATGGGATTTGTAGTGTCCTCTATTTCTCATCTGTAGTGTCTGTAGTTTCCTGAATACTTCCAGTGAGAGTCAGCCAGACGCTGATTTTTCATATATGGTTTTATATTATACCCTGGGATTGACAGGCGGCTCGGCTCAGTGTCAGCAGTAATGCAGGCGTTTCCTTTTTACTGTACATCACTGAACCAACCAATCAGAGGCTAGGAAAACCACAGAGGTAGAGTCATGTTTCTAGATGATGCAGAAAGAAATTCCAACATTTAAAAACACAAATCATAACTGTGTGAACTCAAATATGTGAACAGTTAACTTTAAAACATAACGTGTTTTTAACTTAAACTCCAATATGAGATGGCGTCACTGTTCAAACTTACACAATGGTGAAAAAAAGATTTGAGCCGCACTACATTGCTCTTCCTCTCTCCTCCTCCCTGCAGCCTGGCAGAGCTGAAGAGTCCGCGGCTCGACCCAAAGATCCACTCGGACGTTCCCTTCCAGATGTTGGACTGGAACAGCGGTTTGAGTTCAGAGAAGATCAGCTACAACCCCTGGAGCCTGCGCTGCCACAAACAGCAGCTGAGCCGCATGAGGTCTGAATCCAAGGACCGAAAACTCTTCAGTATCCTTTGTCGGCCAATAACAATCAAATTATAATAATCAACATCTTCTTCTTATTATGACAAAAACATGTTGCATTAAGGCGCATATTTCCAAGGTTAAAAATCATCTGCAAATGGTGTAATATTATGCAGAGGAAAAGTCACATTATTCAGCTGTAAGAACCTTGTAAATATGTAAACAAGCTCTGATTTTTAATTAATGTAAGTATAGAGACGCTGGCTGAATAATATTATTCATAAGAAGCAAACTGCTTGTTGGAGTGTTTGCCGACTGAATTGTGTAACAGTTCAGTCGGGGCTCTGAGTGTGATATGGTTGAGAGGGGGGAAGGGGGGAGAGGGGGGGGGGGGGGTCTGAGGTTATCAGGGCAGAAGTCGTGTTTTGATCTTGAGCTTCAAAGAGAGCGGACTGCAGCTGCCTGGAAAACAAAACACACGCTCTGTCCTCCATGATGTCCGTCTGTCCTCTGTCACGTTCAGCAGGGCTGCTGTCACTGGAGGTCGTCTGCGCACAGACATCATTCACTCTGCTTATTATTGATATTATCACAGACATGATCCGCTGCATGCAGTGATGAGGTCTGAGACCATATTCCTGTTCAGAGCTTTCTGGGAAAGAGGTTTCAGCATCTTATCAAATAATATCGTCCCTTTTCTTTTTTGTTTGTTATTTTTTTTGGGGCCAGTTTTGCCTTTATTGGAGAGGAGAGCTGAAGAGAGAGAGGAAATGTTGGGAGGAGAGGGGGGGGGGCAAAATAACCACTAGGTACCTTGGTGATGTAAAAATGAAAACAGAGGAATTCAAATATAAATCTGTGTGAAATATATTCAGATTGATAATCATGAATGTTCTCTGTCACTTATAACCACATTTGCAAATTTGCATATTAATTTAGACGAATCAGAACGAGGGGGCTCCACGCTGAGTGTTTGTGTTTTTTTTATAGATTGGAACAGACTCATGAATTTCTTAGATGAACATTTCTCAAGTGTGATTTTCTCTCAGTTTAAAAACTGGGAAGATGTTTCTGAAATATGTTGTCCAAATTATCAGAAGTGGACCCTTCAAACTTTCAACCCAGAGGGGTAATTTGTTTTCAGCCAGGTAAAAATGTGAAACATTTAGACATTAAGACAGAGACTCAGATATTGAAAACAACATAAAACATGACATTTATCAATACAAGAGCCCAGAAAGTGACAACAGAGAGGATTTAAAACTGTCATTAAAACCGGACGTGAATAAGGAAATGCCTCTTCACTGGGTCATCATGAATTCACTGGTTTGAAAGCTTAATTTATTACAGCAAAATGTCATTCTGTTGGACTTTGGTGATCTGAATCTCCTGCCTGAGGGCAGACGCTCAATCTTATACCAAATAGAGGATGTTAAGGACACTGTAGGACGTCTGGAGCCTCAGCTGTTGCTCTCTTACTAAAGGTGAGAGACAGATCAGGTACTGAAACACCAGGGATCTTTTACAGGCTGCTTCGATGATGTATTGAAACCTATTGAGAGATTTCCAAACCTCACATTGCTCTATTTACTTTTTACAAGTTTTATCAAAAAAAAAATCACTTTTTTTTTTTTTGGCCTAGGGAATGCCAACTTGTTTTTTGATATTGGAGTTTATAGTGTTATGTCTTTGTGTGCATCACTTTAAGTAAAACAACAACATATTGCCTAGAGATCAAAGTTCAGACACATTTGCTCCCTAACAGCAGCATGTCAACCAGAGTTCCTGTTGTTGGAGAACGTGGTCCACCACTTCTCTTACCCCTGCATCCTGGACCTGAAGATGGGCACCAGGCAGCACGGAGACGACGCCTCCGAGGAGAAAGCGGCGAGGCAGATGAAGAAATGTGAACAGAGCACTTCAGCGACCCTGGGAGTCAGAGTGTGTGGCATGCAGGTAAAACAACCACTGCTACAGCTCACGCATGCTTTAAAAACATGGCCGCCTCTGAATGCAGAGAACAATTGATTAACAGTCTTTAATTCACTTATAGTTTTTGAGTTTCTAATTAATTTCTTGGTTTTGTCTCTGGGGATTCTCCAGCTTTATACTATCATTATATATCATAAACCTTTATAATAACACACACTCTTAATGCTGCTGCATTAACATCATAATCACTATTATTTTTACTTGATATGGAGATCATGATTATTAAACATGATTACTCCTCTGCGGCACACTCTCACCTTGCGTTTAAAGATCCAATCAAAATATATCATGCGCTCACAGCATGACAGGAAGCAGCTCCGTCTGTCCTCGTGTCCGTTTTGTCTGTCAGTTTGTCACGTCCTCAAATCACCTGTCGCCATAAAACCAGATTACTTCAACCATCACATTCAAAACAACTCAACCCCAGGTGGTAAACTCCTGAAGGCATGCTGCCGTCTAACTCTACCTCAAAGCTGGCATGGAAGTACAGGCCACACCGGCAGTTACCTCGTATTAAATATGCCGTATGCCGCGGTGTGGCTGAAAAAGTATTCATACATGTACTGCTTGAGCTTTAAAGGAACTAAAACTAATAATCAGGGTACATATAGTTTCTGAACAAGGCCTTAAAAGTTTTGTATTTCCATCACAAAGTACCACATTTAGTGTACAAAGAGCTTCAATATATTCTCTTTCTGGAGGATTGATGCCTGACGTCTAATGTAGTAAAGGTTTTGAGAGAGTGATGAATTCACAGCAGCTACTCACCACAGTGGATTATGTTTTTGTTTTTTTCTCCCCTTGGTCCTGATTTGCTGCCGAGTCTGTTGTACACCACTGTTACTGCAGCTAGTAAATTTCAGATTAGAAAAGGGATACGTCTCTTGGTGTTAATCTTTAAAAAAAAAAAAAAAAAGCTGTGAAGTTAGCTTTAAATTCCCCTTGAAGTGGTCTTAAAAATGAAGTATACCTTTGGGAATACCGAGAGTTACCCGATAATATTAATTGGGCCTTGGCAACACACACACATAAACATCTTCTCTACTGATAATATATCTGATGTAGAGGTGTAAGGGAGAAAAAGAAAAACAATACGCTTTATTTAAAATATCGTCCATAAAGAAGGAGTCATGGATCGACTTAAAAAAGAAAGTCATGAATGTAAAGACGTCTGTGATATCATGTGACTGACGTCTCCTCTCTGTCTGCAGGTGTACCAGCTGAACACGGGTCACTACCTCTGCAGGAACAAGTACTACGGCCGCGGCCTGTCGATCGAGGGTTTCCGTCAGGCGCTCTACCAGTACATGCACAACGGGAAGGTTCTGAGGCAGGACCTCTTTGAGCCGATCCTGAATAAGCTACGCAGCCTGAAGGCCGTGCTGGAGAGGCAAGCGTCCTATCGCTTCTACTCGTCTTCACTGCTCATCATCTATGAGGGACAGGTGAGCGGTCCTGAAATACTTACAAGTCCAATAATTAGGTTTTTATTGATACGTTAACATTCTGCCAAATCTTCTGGGGGGTGCTCTCCATTGCTGGCTCCGCCGAGCCTATCTCTCCCCCTATTACTCTGCACAGAGTTGGGATTACTGTATCTCCCCATTACACCTCTGTGACATTCATAGTGACAGTGAGACGTCACAGAGACGTACATTTCACTCCCTGGACAGACAGTCTGAATAAGGCGAAAGATTTTGAAAATGTTACTTAAAATCACCTAGATTTTGTAGATTGGGATGAAAGGAGGAAAGATAATTGGATATGGATTCACCTTGTTCTCCTAAATATCAATAATACTGTGTATTCAATCAGTAATAACATCCTCTTTACCACTTTATTTGGCGCTCAAACTAAGTCTTGAAAATCTCTAAGCACACCAGAGAACATACATGCTAATACTGTTTGAATGTTTCCATGCTTATAATTACAGAAAGAACGATATATAAAGATGTTGTTTACATCTAGTTTATGTGAAATTCAGTTCTTGCCATTTTAGGATTTTCAACCTTACGTTCATGTGCAAAGCCAGCTGCATCATAAACGTAATCGTGCACACTTTGAAATGTGTGGAGGTATCTCTAGAGCATTAGTTCCCAACCTGGGGCCCAGGCCCCCCTAGGGGGGGACATCTGAGATCTCAGGGGGGGGCGAGAGTCTGCTCTGAGGTTGTCAAAATTAGATTTGCACATATTAGATGGAATCATGTTAAAACATTACTGAGACATTTTTACAAAGGTATTTTGGTAAGAACGAGTGTGTGGGCATATTCTGATGAATGAAAACTATTAAAATGTATGGTCATCTTTTAAAAGCAATGTACCACTTTTTTCATGTCTTCTGGGTGGACTCACCTTTTTTTGGTTGCAAGTACGGGGGCTCCAAGGAAAAAAGGTTGGGACATGATCTAGAGAGCACATCAGAGAGTTCAGGCCAATGTCCAGCTACTGGATGTGCGGGATGTAAACTACAGACATGAAGACAAACGAAGAGAAGTTAATATTATGATGATTCAGAGATCACTGCATCATTTTCCTGTGTGTATTACATTACGGTCCTGGACAAGTAAATCTCCGGCCTTGAAGTAAAACCGAATCTCTCAGAAGATTTAAAAATACTAGAAAGATTGTGTTTGTCACATTCACACTGATCACTGTTGTGTTTGATTCTTTCAGGAACCTGAGGCCCCTTCAGTCCTCAGCTCGGGTCAGCATGCGGCCCTCACACAGAAGACCCCTGCGGTCCCTACAGAGCCTCACCGTGGCCCCGGGCCCCAACCACCCCCATCCACAGGAGCCTCCTGTGAAACGGACATGAGCCAGAACCCAGCCTCTGGGTCTCTGCCCTCTCAGGGACCTGGACGTATGGCTCCTCCCTCTCCCTCCCCTCATCCTCCCCCACAGACCCCGTCCACCAAGTCAGACTGCCACTCCTTCCTCCCCCCTCTCTCCTCCACACACCCCATTCAGACTCCTTCTCCCCTGCTCCCAGCTTAATGTCCTTCCCCCCTGCCCCTCCCCACCAGCCTCAGCAGCCCCCCCTGGTGGACGTTCGTATGATCGACTTCGCCCACTCCACCTTCAAAGGCTTCCGCGGCGACACAGCGGTGCACGATGGTCCGGACCGGGGCTACGTGTTTGGACTGGAGAGCTTGGTCCAGATCCTGGAGAGTCTGCGGGACGACAACCTGCAGTAGCTCCAAACTCACACACACACACACACACACACACACACACACACACACACACACAGCTTGTTGTGAGTTTGTCCAGGTTGTGCTGCAGAGTCCTCAAGAATCGGGACAGTTTGGCTGTGAGTATGGAACATGGGTCTGCAGGACGTCACCATGGAAACATGGGCATTCTACAGTCAAATAGTTACCATAGCAACAACCAAGCGATGGGACAGAGCAGCTAGAAAGGTGAAAATTCCAGATGATGAACCTCTTTCTACCCGAGGTTCTCCACACACACACACACACACACACACACACACACACACACACACACACACACACACACACACACACACATATTTGTATATCTATCCTTGGGAGGATCTTCATTGACAAAATGCGTTCCTTAACCAGTAAGCATCCAAACTAAACACAACCACCACCCTCAACCGAACTGAACCCTACAATCCCCTCCACTCCAAAATGTGTTTTTTCTTCTTGTTCCTTCGCTCAGTTCCGAGCTATACCATGCAAAATCGTGTAGGTGCAGAGTTTGTTGAAGAGGATGAATGTTTTTCTCAGCTCTCCTTAACTCTGGTTGAATCACAGTCCCAAAAACGAACGAGGCAGCGAGAAATTTCATTCTGCAGACAGATTTGTAATTTAGAAAATAACATGTTTAAACCTGAACGATTGTTGAAAGGTAGTCTTTTTTAACTCAAGGGTTTCTTCAGGTCTTGACATTCCCAGCATGAATGATGAGTCTTGGCTAATGCAAATAGTGATGTGTAGCGCTCTCCCCAACCCTCAACAGGAGGCATTTGTGTAGACGGTAAACATCAAGGGCTGCTTTCATCGTGCCTAACTGAACGCAAAAGTCAGACTGTTTCCTACCTAGCTAGGTAAGTCTGTGCTAGGACACGATGTACTTTCTGCATTAGTTTGCTTCTGTGAATCAGGAGGTGGGAAAAGGCTGATAAGCAGCCTGCTAGCCCATAATGCCAACCCAGCTAATTTACAACCACACCACCTCAGATAAAGTAAACCACTGTATGCATCAGGACAGCCGCACCTCTCCACAGTGTTCTAGGTTATTGTTGAAATAACACACATACAGATGAGCACAGATATTTTGGGAGCCAATCCATTTTTTAAAAGGCAGGAGTAGGTGTAATCCAAAATATGTTAATTTGGTGGATGCTAGATTTAAATTATAATTCGAAGTAGAGATTTTTTTTAAACATCTGCTGCAGGGTTCTTTCAACTCAGATTTCCGGTGAGCGGAGAAAAACAAAAAGATAAAAGTGAAATACTCTGCACACACGTCATCAAACATACAAGACCAACAGAACCTTTGAAGGATGCAAGTATAAGCCCAAATGTCCGAACACCTAAGGTCAAACAATTCATGGTCCTCACCAGGATAGAAAACACACACACAAACATTCACACACATACACACACGCGCGGGTATATCCTGGGAACAGTTGTCTGTGGAGCAGTTTGACAGACTGCTCCTCTCTGACCGACCAATCAGCTGACTCCCAGGGGCCGCCCATTGAAACCGGCCAACACTCACTTTACCCTCCACCTCTTCCTCCTCTCACTACCCTCCTCCACCTCCTCCTCTTCACCCCTCTTTCTCTACAGAAACCAAACCTGGACAGGTGAACTGACTCTTTCTAGAGTTAACTTGACAACGCACTCAGAAACACATCCAAGCATCTGTTTAAAGCAATAGACGGGGAAATTAAGAAGGCGATTTTTGTTTTGTTTTTCTTCAGCAGTGCAGAGGGCAGCATCGCCCGCAGGGTGAAAAAGTGCAACAGAGATTTGAATCGTAGACGTAGGCTTTAAGGAGAGAATATAGATCATTTCTATAACGCTGTATGTCCGTTTTTTGGGCTTTGTTCAAAAACGTTAGTAGTCGATGTCCTGTAAAATCATCCTCTGGGTTATTGTGTAATATCGAGAGAATTAAGTATCACTTTCCCAAACTTGGTCTGGTGGTGTTTTTATTATTGTCAACAAATCCCTTCAAAAGACTCAAACCAACAACAAGTGATCCTCTAACAAGCACTGTGTGTATCCAAAGCCTGATTGATCTCATTCCCCTGAGCTCCACTGCTGTCTAAATACTATTAAAAACACATCAGTGAGTCACACTGTTGCACTGGAAGACATTTTCCTTCATTACAATGAACACATAGTTTATTTTAAGTCAATCACACAAAATCCTGCTGCTGGAAAAACTCACACAGGACACCACATGTAGATTCAGACGCCACAGAAAATAGTCCCCAAAAATGCACTCCTTACACAGTCACTTTTTGCTAATACCAACTTTATTCATCTGTTTACAGATATTAAAACTATTAGTGAGAACAGAAGTAGTATTTTTTATTGAATGCCTTTCTTTGATAACAAGAAACCGAGTTCTGTCCATGGAATCAAATTTAGCTGTTCAAAACAGAAATTCAACTATCTTTTCTTTTTCTTCATTTCACTCCTTTATCAGCCTCATGCATGCGGACATATGGACTTTAAAACTTATCACTTCTCTCATTTTTAATGACAAGTTTAGTGAGCTTTCTGAACTCTGTGTCAGCTCTGCTAGAAGCCCCAAAAAGCCAGGGATGGTTACTGTAGCAATAAGGTACAATACGACACCTGGCCCACCATAACGATAAAATCACGATACAGCGATTGTGCGAGAATTAAAACCCTGCAAGACAATCATAAAATGACACATCAAGGTATCTGATTAAGTGAAGAATACAGAATGCTACTAAAAAGGTAGAGCATGATTCATGTATTTATTATTCACTGCAGTACGGTGTCAGTTTCATGACTTAAAAAGCGTCATTCTTTGACTTCTTCCATCGCTGTCTGACATAATCCCGCTGTCTTCTTTTTCTGTTTGGAGCTCCGTATTTTATTTATTGATAAAGTATCAAAATGTAAGCACCAGGGATTCAATAATCTTAACACACGAGTCAGTACGACGATATGTTGCCGTATCAATATTCTCTCCCACCCCTAAAAACCTGCCAAAGATCATCTGAAAACACTGATGTGAAACTGCTCTATTCATTGTTTTCACTTATCCTAATGTGTAGCTATAATTGTTTGAGAGTAATTTAGACCTTTGCAGGGAATACGGCTTCCTGTTGTGAACTATGAACACAGAAGGAACCGCTAAAGCTATCTAGCAGAACGAGCACAGACAAATAAGCTACGGGTTATTTAGCCACCAAAAAGGAGCTTCTGAAAAACACTGGTTTTTAAAATGAAGCTGCTTAATCAGAGATGTTTTTTAAAGCTTTAATCAGTGTGTGTGTTTGTTTTGGAGAGATGGAGACCTCTCTGGATAGCACGACAGTAGAGTTCACAGCCTGTCGTGCTGTTGCTCCTCCGTTTCTCTGTGTGCAATCACACAGCTAAGCAAACAAACAAAAGTCAAGAAGTTTGACTGATGACAGGAGGGTCCTCTCAGATGCTTATCGACTCATGATTTGAATCTTTGACTTTTAAGTGGCGGCCCTAGAAATTTTAAGAGGGTCTCTGATTGGGTTGTTTGTGGATATATTCTTCATACAGGTCCTTCACCACGTCCTCTTCACACTAAATCCATGTTGCTCTTCTGGAGCTTTTGGTCTTCCTCTTGAGGAAAGTTGCTCAAGATCTGTTGGAGGAACTGAAATTGTTGGATTTGGTCTTTTTGGGGGGATTTGTTGACAACAAAATATTTCAAATGAAACCAGCCTAATTCTTTTAAGTTGGGGCTGGATGATGTGGTTGAATGACAAGAATATTTAATAAGAAGAATATTTTTCTTACGTATATTATATTCATATATATCTATATATAAATGTGATAAAATCACATTATTAAAAAGTCTGCAAAATCACTCTAAATCCTCAAAAAACAAAGCTGGATGGTGCCCTCTTTGTCTGCAAATCAGAAAACAAATACTGTTTCTCCTTCCTTTTTTAATTGGAGTAATTGAATTTGGACAGAACATGAAATTATGGATGATTATGTCTCAATAATAATATTGACTTGGCACCCAGCCCTGCCTCAAATGTGTCACCATGACACACACACAAAAAATGATCCTCAAAGACTAATGTTAAGACGTCACCATCTTTCTCATCTGATTGGTCCTGATGAGACAGTGTTAACCAATCACATTTGTCCATTTATGCTTCCTTCAGTGAGTTCCAGAGGCCTGCTGTGAAGCAGCGCCGCCCCCTGCTGGACAGCAACAGAAACTCACCCCCAGAGGCTGGAATAAAAGAGAGCAAATATGAATATTTTATTTTTGGTTTATTGAGGTGATAATTTATTTTTTTATTGTACCCTTCACCGATGTGTGTGGGTGGATGTTTTGTCTTTTACATGTCCGCCCCAAAATGTATAAAATGTAAAGAAGTTAAGACACAGTGTGCAAGAAACGCAGTATTATTGGAGCTCACTCAAGTCTGTTTGATCTGCTGCTGAATGAAGACTCTTTGGGTATCAAACAAAATCACATTTATGTTTAATGAAGAAAAATTCTCACAGAAAATTCAGACTTCAGTCGCTCACTGAGCCCGACACTTGTGCCTGCTGAGGAGATGTTGCTCAGGTGGGAAGCTCTTCTGAACGTGTGTGCGTGCGTGCGTGCGTGCGTGCGTGCGTGCGTGCGTGTGCCTGTGTGTGTGTGTGTGTTAGACACCATCATTAGTCTTTGGTTTGTTTCACTTCACATTTAAGGAGTCGGTAAAGAAGTGCATGCACATTAACGCCCTCCTGTTCGGGTCAGTTTCCTTCACAGCGTCAAACCTTCCTGTTACAGACGTCACTGAGTCGAAGCGGTGACGTCCATGTGTCCTCTCTCAGATCATGATTCTTCATAAGTGTTAGCCTCCATGATCGATCAGTTATTTAGCAGCGTTTTCTGCATCTGACATCATCCTGACTGTTTGTTAGAACAGTGAAAGTACGTGAGATTAAATCTTTCCAGAAGCTTTTGGGCTCGTGTTTTTACTCAACACATAGACACATCAATTTATCCTCTACACAGCAGGGGGCGCCAAATCAATTTTTAAACATTGAACACTGCTGGATTTCTAAAGTTTACATGATAGTTTAAAAAAAAAAAAGGCATTCTGCTGCATAAATTACTTGAAGGTCACACATTCTCCTTTTCTAAAAGTGTAAATAAGTCAGAGCTCCCCAAAACATGTCTGTGAAGTTTCTTGTTCTAAATCCACTCTGATCCTGTATTTCATCATGTCTATAAACCCCTCTATTTCAGCCCTGCTCAGAACAGGCTGTTTCTGTGTCTGTACCTTTAAATATGTAAATGAGCTGTGTCTGACCACGCCCCCTCTCTGGAAGGGCTTGGGTGTACTCGGGCTTTCTCGTTCCATGTATTGTTCAGAGGTGTGAAGAGTACTAATATATTATACTCAAGTAAAAGTACTGTTACTTTAATAACATTTTACTTAAGTACAAGTTAAAGTTTATAAATGTACTCAAGTAAAAGTAAAAAGTAACTCGTTTAAAATGTACTTTAAGTAAAAGTTACTTAGTTACTTTTTTTTAACAATGCATCTCTCGTCTGTAGTGAAAAAAGGACGAGGGGATATTAATCTCAAAGTTTTTTTGAATTAAAGGCAAATCTTTGCAAAGTTTATCGTTTCAGATAAACTTTTTCTTTTCTACCCCATTGACAAAAACAAAATATAAATAATGATGGATAAATAATCAAGGCTTATATGTTCAAGTAATCAGCTGTTTTATGAAGGGAAATGTTTAAACTATTTAAGAAAATACTAAAAGGGTCTTTGTCTTAATCATAAACAGTGTAAAGAGTATTTTAATATAATCCATTTATCTTGTCTGATTGAGCACACATTTTTGAAAAGTGGAGCAGGCAAAAGACGGAGAGGATGGACTTTTCTCATCATTGGGGGGTTTGTAGACGGACTAGAGACACATATTAGTGTTAGAGAAACATGGTGAAGTGTATTTTGAATAATATGTGACCTTAATTATCAGTAACAAGAAAAGAAAAAACTTCATCCAAAGTAGAGCTGCAAAGTTATTTTAACAAGAGGCTGTTTAACAAAATATTTATCAATATAAGGTGTTTTTTTAAACAAAAGAAGGCAGGGACTTTATAAGACCAAAAGGATCCAGGCAAGTCCTTAAAAGTTGACTGCTTACAAACATCACTTATTGCAATTACTTGTGATACGGATGGAGAATTCAAATCAGAGTTGTGAAATACTTCTAGAGGCTTTTTCCATTTACCAAATAAGGACTATTTCCTTTAATTCTATGACCTTCTTTTCTCATAAATATCAGTTAAGTCCTTTATTTTGTTATATATTTCAGTGTGTCAAAGCTCTTCTGTTGATGCGTAATCATAAGATGGTAAATATATCTGATGGTTTTTGACTAAAAATAGAGTAATATCTCACTCCTGCGTCATCCCGGCGTGCTGCTCTGCTGACCATAAAGGTCGTACTCTTTGTACTGGATGTAGTCCTTCAGTCGCCCCGGCAACGGCAGGAAGCTCATGAAGACAGGAGACCGGAGCCGAAGGCGGCCGAGACACTGACGGATCCTCAGACGACAGAGATGCTTCAGACAGCGGGCGTTCTCTGAAGAGGAGAGAGAACACTGGTTTCTGTTTGTCACCACACAGGGTTTATTTTTTATTTTTTAAAGATTTTTATTTACCTTGCAGCCTGCAGATGTCGGGCCACTGCTGCTGCTCCATCACAGCCGCCTTCAGCTTGGAGCACAGAGTCACATGATCCATGTAGTCCAGCAGGATGAGGACCAAATGACCCGAGAGGTCTTTGAGCCAGTAGACGGTGATTACCTCACAGAACTGCACTGACACACACACACACAGATAGTATTAACAGCAGCTCACACCGATGTTAGATCATTTTACACTTCAGTGATCACCATAAGTCAACACAGAGATAGTTTATGACCAGTTTATAGTTTTTGATAAACAGAGCAGTGATGAGCTGATACACGGACACATGTTGGAGCAGGTTTGGACACAGCAGGTGTCTTCCTCAGGGTGACTCTGAGGAAGACACCTGCTGTGTCGACACGTCATCACATTAAAATAGCTGAATTCACCGTGTGCTCCAGAAATGTTCCTTCATGCTGTGATTGTCCGCCCCTGTTCTGAGACGCACCTACTTGCCATGTATGAAGTCGAGGTTTAACAAGAAATTAAAGTAAATGTAAGGCATGTGTTTTTCATTGTTAAGAGACATTTTTTGCTCTCCAGTGATTCAATCTTTTAACACTTCCAAACAGTTTATCACATTATATCTCCGAAGCCACCAAAACAAATCAGGAAAACCTACAAAAATCTGTTTTTTTAATCTTAGGAGACAAGATAAGAAGTGTTTTTGAAGCTAGAATCTGACGTTCATTTTAGAAGAATTTTCTGACGCATTTGTTGAAATTCTCTTTTACATTCAACAGCAATAAACCAATGAAGATCTCAGTCTTCAAATAGAAAACATCCCGTCTCTGAGCCTGATGCAGGCTGGTGGAAAGACTCTAAACCATTTCATCATGTGTTTCCAGTATGAGGACAGACATTCCTACCTGTCAACCTGTGAGCACTCTACCTGTGGACCTATTGCATATTCAAGAGGTTTTCCTGAATCTAATGTTAAACTCTTTTTTTCTTTTTTTTGGGGGGGGGGTGTTGCCCTGTTGATTACCAAAGTGTCTTTGATGACGCAGTCGCTCCAGCCCTCGTAGCCTTCAGGGATGTGAGAGTTGTTGCCGTAGGGACAGTCAAAGCAACGTTTGACATCATAACCAAAGTTACACAGCATCCTGAGCAACATCTGATACACAAACAATAATAATTCATCATAATAATCATGAAGTTGAGGAAAGTTTAGTAAATGTACAAATCCCCACCAACAAAATACAGAAGAAAATTTCTCTGTAGCAATAAAACAATAAGAAGAAATTAATTAAACAACTGAAATAGAGACTGACTAAGGGGACAATCAAATAAATAAAACATATAACCCTTCATAGATAAAACATAAAGATGACAAGAAGGCCTCCCGATGATAATGAGCCTTTAAAAGTGCAAATTATTTCAAATTGGGATGAATAAGGATCTACAAAAAAATCATCATCTTCATCTTCACCTCACTGTAGCCGCTGGACAAATCTGTGAATCTGAATCAATATTCTCTAAAGTATTTTTACCTCGTCTTTGAGCGCGTACTGCAGGGCGGAGGGGAAGTGTGTTGTGTTCACTTTGCAGTAATAGTTGACGTTGGCTCCAAACCTCAGCAGCAGGTTGATCAACTCGTAGTTGCCCGAACGCAGAGCAACCTGAAGGTGAAGACACATTCACTGGATCAGCAACAGGCTCTCCTGTAGGTGTGAGGAACTTTTGCAGGGGGCCAAAGTTTGTGTTACTACTTGTTGGAGGTTGTCTGTGTTTGTGTGCGTGTGAGTGCTCTGTCTGTCCTGTGAATCTTCGGTTGTTTGTTTGTTCCTTGTGTTTACTTGGGAGTGCGTCCTCTGTGTGTTGTGTGGATCTTTGTTGCCGGTCCACAGGTGGAGCTCAGTGAGGGAAGATGGTGTCTGCTGGATTGGTCCACGCTCAGCATCAGCGGCTCTCAAATAGACCCGCTCTGCACACAATCAACTTTTGAACTGACAGAAGCAGCTCGATTCTATCCTCGCCCTCAAACCTTTAGTGTATACCTGAACTCTGCACTACTATAACCTTGTTCAAATATTAAGAATCATATTTTTTTGCTGCTCACAAGCCACTTTAATGAAAGGTAAAGCTTTGAGTGGGAGAGAGAGAGACAGTCGGTGACACAAAGCAAAGGGATGGTGTTGGCGTACCTGCAAACATTTGATTGGGTCTTGGTTGGCCATAGCTCCGCCCTCCAGCAGCACCTTCGCTGATGGCACGTCGTTATTGGAGACGGCAAAGAAGAGCGCGGACCTCCTCTCATCGTCAAAGCTGCGACGAACCCAGGGCGGGAGCATGAAGTTTGGGTCATAACCTGCATCCAGCAAGACCTGAACGGAGGAGAGATTATGTGATTAATTCCAAACTTGGAAAAATATAATGATTACATTTTAAAAATAATTTAATATTTATTATTTACAAATTTACAAAGTACAAAACTTTTCTGAGAAAACTCAAGAGTTTCCCGCAGTTCAGGGTTGGCACCAAAACCAGCTTTGTGAAAAGGACCTCTGATAAAGCACATACTACACACACACACACACACACACACACACACACACACACACACACACACACACACACACACACACACACACACACACACACACACACACACACACACACACACACCTTGAGGCAGTGTGTTTGTCCTCCTGCAGCAGCAGAGTGTAGAGGACTCATCCCGTTGTCGTTAACCTCAGACATAGAAGTGACCGGAATCAGCAGCTTCAGAGCTCTGAGGAACACACACACACACACACACACACACTGCAGTCTTGATGGAGGTACTTTACAGAATTGAACAAAACAAAATGGCGAGCTCCTTAATCTTGATTTAGTTTTAGGCCTTACATATGAAACATATTTTGTTCTTTTAATGAATCAGAGTGTGATATTTACTCCAGGTGTCCTCTGTGTGCCAATCTGTGGATCGGCATGTGTCCCGTGTGTTTGGCCACGTTGGCGTCGGCTCCGTACTGGAGCAGCAGACTGATGACTGAAGGATCTCCACATGAGCACGCCTCGTACAGGATGGACGCCTCGTCGTGAGCCTGGGACAGAACGTCTGCACCTGAGGGACAAACGACACAGAGAGGAAGATCTGCGCTTGAAAAAACTTAGTTCACATGTTTCATTAACAGCTGAACTTTCTTTGCAGTTTAACACAGGACTTATTAAAGCTGACTGAAGCAAAGTCAGTTTAATAAACACTCTTAACATGCTCTCTCCAGGGGCCATTCTACAGTCTTGGCAAAAAACAATTTGGTTCTGTCAGATGGGGATCCCTCAGGGAGGTTTCCTATCATCATTGCAAAAGTTTGCACATTTTAGACCGCTGCTTTGGGCCCCCTAATGGTCTGGAGCCCAAATCAGTTGTCTGCCTTGCCTATTGACAAGCAGCACATCTGGCTCGCTCACCTCTCTTCAGCAGAGTCTTCACCACCTCCAGGTGTCCTCCCTGAGCGGCCAGAGCCAGCGGTGTGAGCCCGTAGTGGCTGCGAGGGTCCGGCGTAGCTCCGGCCTCCAACAGCAGCTTCACCAGCGCCAAGTTCCCCAGACGAGCGGCCTCGTGGAGCGGACGGCGGCCGTTGCAGCTCTGCTGGTTCACCCTGGAGCCCAGGTGGAGCAGCAGCTTCACCAGGTCAGTGCGGCCTGAGCGGAGCGCTGCACAGATTTCACATGAAGCTTGAGTGATTGTTTGGAAGTTTAAAGGAAGCAAAGCTCAGATTCCATAAGATAGGGTTAAGGTCATGGTTAGGGCTTTATATATCCGGATTTAGGCCTAACAGCAGCTCAAAGTAAAGCGTCATCAAGTAAAAGATAAAGTGCAAAGTAAAAATGTAATGACAATAAGTAAATAGAATAGATATACAGTTATTATAATACATTTATACACAGCTCACACCTTCACTTGTGAAGGAAAAACTGATGTCTGACTGAAGAACTGCATGTCATTCCCCACTCTCTCTCTCTCTCTCTCTCTTTGATTTCTGCCTCGATCCACTGTGATATCTCCAACATATTGGAATAAAAGAAAGTATAAGTGAACCCTCCTATACGACCTCAAAGCAGTTAAATGTTGGTCAGCGTACCCACAAACATCGGAGAGTCTAGTTCTTGGTCCTGGCAGTCCGGATCAGCTCCATGTTGGAGGAGGAAGGAGGCGTTTTCTATCAGACCTCGTTCTACAGCCACAAAGAAAGGAGTCTGACCGCAGGCAGAACGAGTCTTCACCGAGTCTGGACCTGAAGCTGCAGGGGGTAAAGATGTTTCTCTGTCTTAATGATGATGTGCTTTTATGTGATGTTGAAGCTGCACAGACTCAGGATGACGACTACTCAAACCTTTGAATGTGATCTCCAGGACGGTTTGGTTGCTCTGAGCCGCGGCTTCATGAAGAGGAGTCCATCCTCGGCTGTCTGTTTGGGAAAACATTTCCTTCTGTCGGACACTCAGATCTTTTAACAGCTTCTCGTTTCCTGCACAGACGGACAGACTGTTAAGAGTTTATAAGAATTTCAACCCAACCCTTGAATCTGGCACAAATCAAATTCAGATTGGAAGACAAGTAAGTTATCCTCTGAGTCAGCTTCACCGCCAATCAATGAAATTTCACAATAAATAATTCAGAATATCTCAGAGGGCTGTATCAGAATTAAAATCCACGTTTTGGAAAAGTAATGTCATGGAAACAGATTTTTAATCGATCCACATTTGCTCCTTATCATTTAGAAAGATTCATAGTTATATTTAAAAAGAGATGAACAGTAGTTAATGGCAGCGATTCTCAACTGGTGGGTCGCAACCCAGAGGTGGGACGCGGAGCTATTTTCAGTGTTGCCTGGAAAAGAAATAGTGTATAAAAAAGTCTATGCAGCGCTTTTTAAAATGTTGTTTTGTTCAGTTTCTTGCTTCTGTCACATGTTTTGTAGAGATTGATCCAAGCTGCACAATTTGTCAGTACAGAAAAATCTGATTGGTTGAACAAATATCAGATATTTGGGTTGTGATTTTTCACAAAGGAGTTGGTGGGGGGTCCTGAGGCATAGGAATATATATTATATATATATTTTTATGATAAACTAAAAGCCAATATTACATTAATTTGAAGCCCTAGAAGCAAAAAAAAAAAACATTTTCTGGATTAAACACGATTTATTTCCACATCGAGTTTCAGCCGTTTATCAGCAGGGTAGATACTCTGATGCAGATTATTTTTGATTGTGAGTAACACAGTCTGCACATCTCTAATACCTTGAGACATACACACCTAAAAGTCCCCTCCCCACCCCACCTTGTCTGATCGCCGTGACGATCTCGCTGCTGTGTGCAGACTCTGGACCCGAGCTGTGAGGGAAAAAGTTCATAAACTGTGATGAACATCTTCAACACAATTAATAAATCTAAACAATTTGTGACTATGAGCCAGAAAACCCACCTGATCTGATCTATTAACTCACCTGCTAGAACTGTATTTTTTTACTCTGCATACTTTCTTAATCCTCGAGGGGAAGCTCTAGTTTGATACTCTGTTATTGAGCGACACGCTTCTCACACACACATGCACAAACAGGACCTGTGGACATGCATTAAAGGAGAGGTGTCAGAGCGGGGCTGCTACATATGGAGTGTTGGGGGTTCGGTGCCTTGCTCAAGGGCACACTGCAAGTCACCTTTGGGGCTCACTAGTTGTGAGGGAAGAGAGAGGAAATATCGCTAATGTTTGTGACGTAGACAAACAGGATCTTTGTGTTAGCAGTTAAGAAACGAGCGGAGTTTTGATCATGCCAGACGAAACAAACGTCTGAGACAAATACCCAGAATCCTCTTTTTCAGACCTCTTGTTGTCTCTCTGTGTTGTTGTGGAGTCTCGTTGGGTTTCTTTTGATTTGTTGCTCTCTAGCAGACTCTGCTCGATCATGAACTGTGTATCCGCATCTTCGTCGTCTTCATCTTCGGCTGCAAAACGCCCAAACTCCATGACGACAGTGCCCTGGTGGAACAGGGAAAACTGTAACGTCAAGATTCCTGGTTTGAATCCTACAAGGAACCTTTGCTGCGTCTCTTTACCATCAGAAGTGACTAATCCTATTCATACACATTCACACGCCGCCGACAAAGCAGCAGGAGCAACTTGGGGTTAAGAGTCTTGCCCAAGGACACATCGGTCATGTGGTTGCAGGAGCAGGGGATCGAACCCCAAACCTTTCTGTTGGACAGAGACGACCGACTCTACCACTGAGCCACAGCCGCCCCCACATATTTATCTTAAAATCAAGCATTGGTCCATAACCAGAGAAAAAAGATCAAGACAAGAAGTGAAAATACGTTTTTAAACACTTAAGTTCCTCATAAAGGAGCAGAATGACGGACGTTTCTATAGATCAGTTAACTTGGAAAAAGAAAGGTGACTGTATGAAATGTTTTTGACATGAACACCTGAGTTCACCAGATTAGTAGAAACCAGATTTTTCTTTAATTATCCACCATCATAATCTCCCTAAACATTGTTGTGGTTGAATGCAAGTTGCAATTTTTTACAAGAGCTGAACATGAAATTCACGAACTGATAAGTAAACAAGACATTTGAACACACCTGTTGTTGAAGATGGAAAGCCTCTCTGTCGGTTTAAAATCTTTTCTACCTCGTGATTTGGTTGCTGGCTCGTTATTTTGGTTCTCCCAGACTCGTCCCTGATGATTAATTCATCTGCTCTCTCTTTGAGGAGGAGCAGAGCTGCGTGTCTACACAAGTTTCATCAATGAACCCATGACCCTCACAGTGACACGACTGCAGAGCGTCCGTCTGCGTAAACATAGGTGTGTGTGTGTGTGTGTGTGTGTGTGTGTGTGTGTGTGTGTGTGTGTGTGTGTGTGTGTGTGTGTGTGTGTGTGTGTGTGTGTGTGTGTGTGTCCTGAGTTTCTGCTGCGTAGCTAAAACAGTCAGGATGGGTAGAGGTGGGGGAAACATGGAATCTGGTTCATGCTACTATATTTAACCCCTCGTGCTAAGTTTAAGCTCCAAGCTGAACAGCAGCCAAGAAGTGTGATACAGCAGGATCAAGCTGTTAAGTGTTGTTGCCCTCCGTGCTTTCAGTGTATGAAACATGGACAGTAAGGTATAAACACCATCCACCTGGTGATGAGAGCACACAGCAGGACTGTCCGCCAACTGTCTAATGGATGAAGCAAAACCTCTTTTTGTGATAATAAATAAAGCTATATTATCAAAACACACAGACTGTTTGTGTTTGCACGGACAGATGGCTTATTTTGCCTGCGTTCACCACATTCCCATGATGCATCAGTGGCCTTTTTCTTATGTTTGATTTAAGCCTTATTCGTGTGACTTCGGCCCATCAGCCGCTACACTATAAAACCACAAATTATTAAAATGCATCAACCCGTTTGTCCTCACTGATGTTTGCAGACAGAAAAAAAACACCGGAAGATGTTTAATTCTCATTGGTATCGCAAAACCTCCTCAATGAAGACGCTGGGTTCATGTCAAGTTGATCTAACTTCGGTGGTAATAATTATTTGTAATGTTATCTACCCATTTTCACAGCTCCAAACAGCTTCAGTTTCACAGAGCCTGGTTTGTCAGGGTTGGAGTTATTTTAGGCTAATTTCATCATAATTTAGTTTTAGTTTATTATGCTAAATATTTGCAGTTCATATTTGACACAGTTCTCCTCTACAAGAAATAAACAAAACATTAAGGACAACAGGGGGCGCTCTGACACTGATGGAGGCTCGGTTCTTTGGTCCCTGGCTATTACCAACACACAGAAGAAGGGCTGTGCATCTTTTCTGGTCCCTGATTTGATAACAATTATCCTGTGAACAACTCCAACAAATATCACAATGGGTTTCAGCCTCAATTTTCTATATTACAGCACATTGCTACTTTTAAATCACTGAAAACAAGTAGTCAGATGAAACTGAACTCCTTTTTTATTTAGTTTTAAAGAAATACTGTATTTGTATTAATCCCTGAGGGGAGTTCTGGTTTACACTGTTATTGAGACATGCTTCTCTCACACATGCACAAACAGAACATGTGGTCAAGGATTAGTTGAGTGAGGCTGCTACACACACCAGAGTTTTTAGAGAGCTCGGTGCCTTGCTCAAGGGCTACTCTGCAATGCTGAGGAAGTACCCTGCACCTCTCTAGCAGACATTTGAACCAGCGACCCTCTGGTGCCCAACCCAAGTCCCTACAGACTGAACTACTGCCACCCTTGATGAATGTCATCATTAGTGTCTTTACCTAAATAAATAAATGGGTCAAAAGAAAATCTACAAGCCACGCAAAGTACCCGATAATTATATTCCATCACTGCATCGAGGCCAAAATCTTCCACATCTGTATCTTAAAAACGATTAATCGAAACACCTTTATGCAGAACTGACCCTGAGCAGAGCATGAAACTCAAATGTGCTTTAAAGAGAGACTAAACCAATTGGGAAAGGACAGCAAACCTTGGCATTTTTCCCCTTTCATGCTCAATCTTAGCTGACCAGGAGCTCACAGCACTTTATATTTTTATTATATACTGTGTAACACCTTCTTACTTTCTTAAATTGGGACAAATCTGACATCCCTGCCGCATAAGTCTGAATTCAGAGCGGATATTTCTAGTGACAAACTGAAATGAGAACACAAAACAATTCAACTGTAATTGAAAACATGTTTATTTGATTCCGTGCATCAACTGTTTATGACCTGGGTCTCTCCTTCTTGCCTTTGTAGAGAGCCAGCAGGGAGACGTTGGCAACCTTCACCACCTTGAAACGGACTCCGGGGATGTCACCCACGGCGTGACCTTTACGTCCAAATCCTGCCACCAGAACCTCGTCGTTTTCCTGCAGGAGCGAGGGGAGACGTTAGAGGGAGAGCAAAGCCAGGGGAACTGAGTGACTGTTTTAAATTTCAACGTGGCCTGAAGATTGAGCAGCAACAGGAAAACATGAAGCTGCTTCTAAGTCCAAATAGTGTTAACGATAGATTTACAGACTAATAGACAACAGACCAATTGCTGCAGCTTTGGAGGTCTTTCTTGGCCTGCAATGGACCCTACAAGTTCAGCTTTATGAAAATGTTTCAGGAATTGGAGTTGTGAAAAAAGGAGTCTGAGCTATATTTAAGGGACTACTACGATTATCGACATTTTTCAGCTACAGATCCTGCAGAGAAAACGTTTGTGTGGCTGCATTCAGACGTCAACATGACGGGCGCTTACTTCGATGAAGTTGAGGCAACCATCGTTGGGGACGAAGGCGGTAATCTTCTTGCCGTTCTTGATGAGCTGAACTCTCACACACTTCCTGATGGCAGAGTTGGGCTGCTTAGCCTCAACACCCCTGCAGACAGAAAAAAAAAATAACTGTTTAACACAAAGCTGCTACATGTAGTTTTCTTTTTTCAGCCTGCCACAGGTCCTCATGGAATCTCTCTCTCCATAGCTGTATTTTCCTCCCCTCAGTGCATAATGTGAGCAGTAAAATACATTTTAGAAAAAGACTCATCTTTGACAACCCTTTTTAAGGCTTAAAAACACAGTGCCATAAAGCATCAGAGGGGTTAAAGACTGACATCAAACTCAAAAGGACTGAATGTTCTTCTTGAGAGAGATAACATCACGACTTCAGATTAATGGTACTCACACTTTCTCAAGAACGATTCCCTTGGCGTGGGAAGCTCCTCCAAAGGGGTTAGCCTTCAGGGCAGTGCCCAGATGGGCCTTCTTGTACTGTTTATCGTGCCATTTCTGCTCACGGCGATGGTTACGGAGCTTCCTGGCTGTGCGCAGACCACGACACTTTCCTAAAAGACGAGAGACCAGCAGGGGAAAACAGTTAAGAGCCTTTGCAGTGCAGAAACCTTGAAGCCTGACACACACTTCTGCCTTCAAACACAAATCAGACAATGGCAATCAGATTTCTATATCGCAGGTTTCCGAATCCTCCACATTCTCTGCTCGTTTGCGTACAGGAAACCACGGCAACCGAACACAGCCATCAGATTACCGTTGGAGCTGATGAATATCGAGCGGCACTTCAATAAACTGGCTTGTAGCGTTCTTCCATCTGCCGAATACTGAAAACACCAGCAATGCCAAAAATGTCTCAAAATCCGGGAAATAGGATTCTACTCGCCGTCCAATCACATCGTTCGACACAAGTTAACATTTTTAGAGGAGGTGCACACCTGAGTCGTACCTCAGCCTCTTCGTACTAACATGTGGAACATTTCACATTTTCAATGAAGTAGATTATAAATGAGGCTTCAGGTTCACTTGGATTGGGGGGAGTTCAACATGTTGCAGCAGATCACAAAGTTTCTTCACGATAATAAGATGAGCCGAAGACAACTTTCAGGAGCTTCCAATGAACTTTTCTACTAAAATAAATACACACCTTTAACCTCTTACATACTGTTTCACTACTGACACTTGAGCTCCAATGAAATCTCCTCCTCTTTGTCTCTCACAGGTGTTAGTCCAGCTGCTTTGGCTCACAGATTAAAAGGAAGCAGCGCGATTTTACCGAAAGATTAAAGATTTAACTTTCAGGAAGATGAAATCCTCACCTGAGAGACACTGCGATGTTTGACATGAGACCGAGCTGAGACTAAGAAACAAGAAGCACCACAGCTTCTTACACAGGTGGACTTTAACTAATTTAATGTATCTGTGAGTGAATAAACACTATAGAGTCATGTAGACTTACTGAAACACCTTAAAAGAGCTTTACTTGTAAAAGCTAACGAAGCTAATCGCTGCTACCGCCGCTTAAATAGAAATACTAAACCTTATTAACACTCATATTCTGAGTCTGATAACCAACATGAACATCCAAACGTGTGTTATATTATCCAGATTTAAAAACCCAGATAAAACTCGTTAAAAAAAAAGGTTGAAACTGTGAATTCAATGTATCCTATGGAAGCTAAGATGCTAACACGCAGCTAGCAGCTCGGCAGGTCTGTTATGGCCGCTCCACGTTGCGGAGAAAGACAAACCTTTAAAACGGTTTATATCTTTATCGACTGCGCGGTTTATCCGTCACAAACACGTCGAAAAGGGTTCATAAGGTGTTCCTAAACTACGTCGATGTGAAAAAACGCAGCAGTAGACTGAATAAATGTGTATTTTGGATAGAATTCAGACCGTACCCATGATTGCAGAAGCGAGCCTGGGATGGAAAGGAAGGTCCCAGGATGCACCGCGGCAATGTCTAGTCGGAGGACCCCGGTCGGGCGTGGCTTTATTAAACGCCTGACTGAAATTACAGCACAAGCGGTGAAATTATGGCGAATTCTCCCAAAAAAAAGTCACACATTTTCTTGATTTACGTTGTATATACTAATTTGTTGATACGTTATTGTCATTGAATGTTATGTAAAAGGACATATATTGTTAATGCAATGATACAAGTGCCGCACAGGGTCAAAAAGAACAACAAGGAAATGATGTGAAGGAATCAGGTGCTCTACAAGGATGAGGGAGAGAAGTCAAATTGCAAACTAATAAATGACTCAAACTTAAATAGCAAACATTTAAGCTGTAACACATACACTCTAAAATAAGAGCAATGCAAAAGTTAAAGCCTATAAAAATAGATCATAAATATCAACAGATGATTCACAGGTACAGTCTCTTACACTTTATATGATAAGATTGATCATTCCTGAAAATGTGCCCACTATATTTGTGTTCATCTCGACGATTTGTTATTTAAAAAAAATGATGTTTATCCTGGCTTCATGGTTTAATAAATCAAATATTTAGATAAAATAATTTAAAAAAAAATAATACACAATAAAAAATGATAAGTCATCATGTCTGATAGAATGTAGTGATACAAGCAACTCTTAATATGTTATGTGTCACGGTACTGGGTTCATGACAAGATTATTTTAATTTGTACAAAGAAATTACATTTAAATCTATTCATGAATAAATATTGTGTTTTTATTTTAATTCTGTAACAATAAAAATGCAAAATATCCCTTTTTCCATTTTTCATATTTTGTATCTTTTGTTATAAATATAAGTAATACACCACTCAATCCATAGACTGTAAATAATACATTTGAGTTTGTCTCTGTGCTACTGACGTCAAACAAGAAACGCAAAAAGCAGAGAGAGAGCCCTCTGTTGGTTAAAAAGGGACATTGCAGTATATGCAATTTCGTCCAATTGGCTTAACTTGTCCATGTTTGTGTGGGTTTTTAATTGTCTTGTGTTACATTCATAATCTTTGATGATTAAGCCATATAATGAATTGGAGATGATGAACAGACCCAACACACATTTTATTACTTTATTTGTTTTATTTGTCTCCCCCCCCCCCCCCCCCCTCTGTCATGATGCCCTTGATGTTTTGTGTGAAGCCTTTTTTATTGCCTTGGTGCTTGATAAATAAACACGTCTTACAGACTCTGTTTCCAGGTGACATAATTAGCCTGCTTTAGTGAACAGATTTTAAACAATGAAATGTGGGAACAGCGAATGTCCTGTAACAGAAAGGGGCGGGGCTATTCCCAAACCTGTTTGTCTCTGCCGTGTCCCGATTGCCTGATTCCTCTGTCAGTTATGGGGGCTTAAAGACAGTGGGTTGATTAAAGCAGATTACCGGCGGAGCAAGAGGGTTGATGTGCTGGCATCTCATTCTGGTCACCACGGCGATGGCTTCACCATGGAAACAGCGCTGCATCCTCCTCCTCCTCTCCCTCCTTCTCCTCCACCTCCAGTCCTCCACCGGCAAGAATCGACAACCGCCTAACAGGTCGGTGAAAAGACAAAAATAATCAGAGACAGAGAGGATGTTTTTATCTACCTTGATTGGCCGCTGTTGTTGTTTTTTTGACCTCTCTGGACTCTCTAATCTTTGACTCTTGACACGTCCAGCTTTAAGATTAGTCATGTGTCTCTGATCGGCTGTCCACCACAACCTGCCAGTGCATTTAATGACTGTGTTTGTTTCCTTAAATCTGCATGAACTTGACTTATTCGGTCATTTGGAGGTGGAAAAACAATGTGGCATCATCCCCCCAAAACCAGACGTCGTATCTCCGTAATAAGCAGCTATGGACAATGTGTCCACACAGAGCAGCACTATCATTCGGCATCTTCTCTAGCTCTGCTTCGGCCTCAAACATCTCCACTGAAAAAAAAAAAATCTGCCACTTAGCTGCTCGACGCTTCAGTCCACACACACACACACAATGCTACATTTCTGAATGTGGCTTTGTGCTGAGCAGGTGTACAGTGGATTAATGAGCTGCTGGAAACGAAGCGTGTGAGTGCTGAGGCGGAATCACAAAGAGGGCAAATGTTCTATTAATATAACCAGTTGTGACATTACTCCTTTTACTCCATGGTAAAATGTTAGAAAAGAAGAAAGAAAAACTCAAAGGCACTCTCTTTTAAAATATTAAAGTTCCTTTTTTTTACAGCATGGTCATGTGGACCTTGTATCCCTTTTCAAAGAGCACCTCATACCTCCACTCCAGGTGGCGCTTCTTCTCCTTTCTTCATTTTTTATAATCAAATGGATACAAACCATCTCGGTATCCGCAGTTATGGAGCAGCACATCTGGCTTTCATGCAGGTGTTTTGTGTCCCATTAAAGAACAGAAAACAGACAGAAGACCAGATTAAAAATGTAGCTTTTCATAGTGCAAACCTTCTCTAAGGTTTAAGTTGCCTTAAGGTAACCATCACTGAAACATTTACATCCCATAGCTGAGATTTTTCTGATACCTCTGATAACTTATTCAAATGATAAAACAATGAGTTCATAAGAGGTACACAGCACGAGATTCAATAGGTTTAAGTGCTTTCAAAAAGTGAGTTTGAAGGGATTGACAAGAGAAGTTTGTCCGATCATTTGAGGCAGGAAATTCAATTTGAACACTCACCGGTGTTGGACATAAAGTAAAAACATTATGAGTGTCCTTTCATAATCAACTTTTTTTTTTTTTTAGCAGAATCGTTCTACATTTACAATCGCTCTTGTCGACAGTGATGACATAAACCAAACACAATGACATCCTATTCATGTTGCTCTTTGTCTGCATGATGTAAAGACGGCAGCTTTTTTGCAGTGAGTAATTTATTTTGGTGTGCAGCCGCTGATTGTTATAGAGGGAGAAGCCACAAAATCTTCTTTTGGCTGAGAGCCGCCCCATCCTTCATGACCTAACTGTGTGTGTGTGTGTGTGTGTGTGTGTGTGTGTGTGTGTGTGTGTGTGTGTGTGTTTGCACTCATGATTGCATGATTATGTAATCAATGCAATCCCTCTGACTCAATACACAAGAAGCTAAACCTTTTTGGCTGCAGGGAGTCGGAGAGTCGGGGAGGATTTGGCGGCTGCATGCCCTCTTGTTCTAAACGGAGTAGATTTAAAATACATTGTGCGCTGTGAAATATGTGAAACACATTTTAATCTACATCTACTGAGAGGATTTACACCCAGGGAGTCTGTGGGTATGGGGTGGAGCATGTACTGGGTTCATTTAGATTAGATGTACAGATTATTTTGAATCAGGCTGCATGTTGCTGCCAAACTGAGCAGAGTGGGCTGAACATTTTAGTTTTTATTTTAGTCAGAGATAAATTAAAAACTGTAATTTTCACCTGGGAAACAATGACGTAATATATTGGATTCTGTATTAAGTCATCGATTGTTTCATGATTTTTCTGTTAAGGACCAGATATGCTACTTATATAGACACATAGAGATATGGACGTGTTTGTTCTTACAGTCACACCTGAATGGATCCTGGCATGTACAAATGTAAAAAACCTTACATCGCTCTGATTATTGCAACCATTTGGACACAGACAATGATTAGGGCTTTCATGTGATTGCACAAAATAATGCAATAACGCGACTTAAATCAGTAATACCCAAAGTGGGGCGCTGACTCTAAGCTGCTTCTTAGTTTTTCTTAGCTTGTTGTCCCATTGAAGTTGCTTCTCTGAACTCTTTGTAGACAATGTTTGAGATAACTTTGTTAGCGTGGCCGGCAGTGTGTTGTCAGGATGAGTCATTCTGGGACCCAAAAACAGAAACAGACGGTTATAGTTCAAAGTTATTTATTAAATGGTGTTTCGGGTGACGGCAGAGAAGTTTATTTGAAGTGGTGGTGGATGAGAGGAGCTGAGAACTTGGCAGGTTGAGGCAAAAGACTTGATTTTGGATTTGGATTTAGAAAATCTTTATTGTCCCAGAGGGGCAATTTGGTTTGCAACAGAGGTCCAAACAGGCAATACATCCTAAAAACAGCACAAAGACAAAAATACACACACATAGAAACTTAACAAGCATGGATATCATCATGATGGACGTGAGTGAGATAAGGGACGCAAAGAACAACATTACAGTAAAAGTGCCTACAGCTTATTTAAGAACCTAACAGCTGAAGGGACAAACAACCTCAGGTATCTGTTGGATTTGACCCTCTTAACATAAGTGAACCTCCTCCTGTCGGCAGAAGTCTAAACTCTGCATGCAGGGGGTGCTGAGGGTCTTTGCCTTCTGAGTGGCCAAGATCATTCAAGTCATAGATGACAGTTGAATGCAGATGAAAGGTAATCCTGAGACAGGGAGAGGAAAAGTTAGTATCCAGGATAAAAAAAAACATGAGATCCAAAAGCATAGAATCAGATTAGCAACAGCACATTACCACAAGGTGAACTGAACAATCAGGGGAAGACTGGTGTGTAGAAGTGAGAATTGGTAGTTCTCTTATAGAAATACGAACAGAACACGATGTGATTGATTTAGAAAACCTTTCACATGCAGCAGAGAAGACATCATAGTCGCTCTCTGAAGACAGTCAAGCTCACTCTGCCTTTTTAACCCCATGGTATCAACAGATCAATGAACAGGCGTAAAACAAATTCATTAGGGGAAATCAGACCTACCTACAAAAACAACCAAAAGCACAGCTTAGAAAACCATAAAGGAAAAGCCAGTTTCACAAAGAAACGTTTGCCTTCCACAGGGATATTTACTGCAGGAGCTTGATGAGTGGATGTGCAGAAGGATTAGCAGGATGTGTTTGATTGACAGAAACAAAGAACACACAACACACACACACACAAGGGAGGAGTAAAACACAGAAACACAAGGAATGAGGAGGAGGCACAGCCGAGATCATGACGTGTATTTTCAGCGTATGTCGATACATGTCGATGTGTCTGGTGAGACGTGATGGGGGCCTGACCAAATACGTTTGGGAGTCCTACTGATTAAAATCATGTGCACTAATAAGTTTCTTCTTCCTATATTTATTGTTCCATGACACCTGTGATTATCTACGCCTGCAAAAAGACGTCCACAACGTTATATTTATAATCCTATAGGAAACAGGAAGTAAAGCAATTTTTGGAGTAGATCAATCAGTGAAAACATTATGACAGACTCAGAGTCCAGATAAGACAATACAAAAGACATAACATAGAATAAATTATGAAGGATATGAAATTATTTTTCTATCAGGATTATAGTCATATAATAGGAGGTATGTCATCAGCGTCATCCAATAAATGCTTCAAAACTAAATATTCCACCTTCCTCTAAGGAACACTCCTGCCCATCAGATGACTCTTTTTTTCTGTTCTCTAAGTGCCAGTATTTGACTGTTCAGACAACCTAATGACATTTATCACACACAGATATATGCATTTTTACAAACATTATAATATAAAAAGACTTGTGTGACCTGTAAGTGACAGACTCGTGACAAAGTGAAGGAAACGTTGGAGGGGATTTGGTGGCTCTGTTTGGTTGTTGGAGGCGTTTAGCTGCATGGTTTGAGTTCCCTTCGCTCTCTAATCAATACAAAGGTATAGTCTGAGTGATCACCTTTATCCTGTGATGTAATATCTCTCTCCTGATGGGAGATTTTCTCTGCAGGATGTCGAGGCTCTCACCCATAAGGCGCGAGGGGTCACTGAATAGATTGATGAGGATGAACATGATGAGAATCAGACGCTGTGACCTTAACACTCACATTACTTAAAAGGTCACATATTCTCCTCCTCTTCAATCTCAGAGCTTCTCTAAACATGTGTGTGAAGTTTCTTGTTCTGAATCCACTCTGATCCTGTATTTGATCATGCCTATAAACCCCTCTATTTCAGCCCTGCTCAGAACAGGCTGTTTCTTTGTGTGTACCTTTAAATGTAAATGAGCTGTGTCTGACCACGCCCCCTCTCTGGAAGGGCTCTGGTGGCTCCGGCTTTCTCATTTCATGCTCTATTGTTTACGATGAGAAGGCAGACTCAGAGGGCAGAACAAACACCTAGCTGTGGGAGTGTCACCCACCTGGGGGAGGGGCTACTGCCCTTTGTGATGTCATGATCTCCAAACGGCCTGTTTGAGCACACATTTTCTGACAAGTGGAGCAGACAGAAGACGGAGAGCATGGACTTGGGGTGTTTGTAGACAGACTAGAGACATAAAATGAGTGTTATTTATAAATAATTGTGCAGTTTTGACCTCAGATGGGACAAAACGTATGACTGAACAAAAAAAGGAACAAAACAAACATGTTTAAAAATAACTACACAGATTTTTTGACAGTTTTTTTTGCCTTAAACTACTAATACATATCTACTAATGATCTGTTTTTATTTAACTTTGAAGGTTTTTAGTGTAATCAGCAAATGTCTTCCACACTGTCTGCCACACTGGCATGAAGCTGTATGACCTTGAAGAATCTTTACATAAAACCTCATTTTATAAAACTGTTTTCAATGTGAGCATAAAAGGACAAACACTCGTGAAGCCTCATGTTACAGGATAATAAAAACATCATCCCTGAACCTTGATTGTTTCATGAAAACAATCAAAGCTGCTCTATTGTGTTAAGCTGATTCTAATATTGAATCTTGGTCCATTATTTTTCTGTAATCCTGGTCAGAGTGGGTCATCACATCAATAGTACATCTCTGCTCCAGATTGATCACACTGTCTGTTACCCTAGATTCTAATCCACGGGTCAGCCGGGTCACTGGGCTGCACAGATGCATTATGGGTAGTAGAAATATCACAGGTCTATCATCTGGTCATCTTTGCTCTCTTTCTTTTTTCTAGCTTACATTATGCAAACAGGCTATCATTCTGTGACATCATATTTGTTGTTTTACCACTAGGCAGCGCCCTCTAAGCATTAAAATAAAGTTTGATACTAAAGAAGATTTACACCAGTGGTTCTCAACTGGTGGTTTGGGACCCAAAAGTGGGACATGGAGCAATTTTCTGTGTGTTGCAAATGTGTGACTTTTCGGTCTCTTTGTTCTGTCACATGTTTCGTACCACCTGAAGTCCAAACTGCACCATTTTGCAGGAGCAATATGTAACTGTGACACCTAGTGTTTAAAATGGGTACTGCAGTCTAAATTTAAAACACTGTAGAGATCTGTCTCCCCCCGCCCCCTCCTCTGTAGAGTCGATGCTCACACAGGTTGCCATGTGGTGGACACTGAAGCTTCAGTGTTTAGCCAGCTCTGCATCGGTCTGTAAACCTTTCTGCGTTCTAACTTCTCTCCATTTTTCAAAAAGCATCTCCAATATTGATCCTAGTTTGAGCACGTTTCTGCTCGTGGAGCTTATTAGAAACATGCAGAGGCTTTTTAGGTCGGGTATAATCACTTCTATCTGAACCAGTTCTCTTGCCCGCTTCCATCGCTGCAACATCCGTTGGTTTGACCTGATAACTGCTCTCATATCAGGCAAACCGAGGGGCGTCCATAACGGCCGTGTGGGGGTGTCTTAAAACCTGCCTACGTTCTCTGGTCCAAACAAATCCAGAGCATTCAGGACAGAATCTAAAGTTAGAAGGAGGAAAATTTCCCTCATTTCCCTCACTACACATCTTACAGATTGGACCTTAAAATAGATTTGATCAGTAAAAAAAAAAAACAGAAATTTGGGACTCAATTTCTCTTTAAGCAGTTGGTGGTGGGTCCTGAGTCTAGACCAATTTAGAAAGACTGATTGAAACCCAATTTAGCTCTTTTTTTTAGTTACATCAATGACTGTTTATTGTATTTGTGTCATATTTTGTGTCAAAATAGTTTTAATCTTAATCTTTTATTTTCTCTTCGCAGTGTTTCTTTATCATCTTTCCATGGTGAGTTCCATCTTTCTATCTATCTAGCGTTTTTTGTCATCACAGCCCAGACGTTGTTGAAGAAATTTCAGGGGCTTTAAAGTAGTAGTCTCTGAAACCAGTATGTCTTTTTTTTAATAAAATAAGAACATAATCCATGCTGTCGACTTTCTCTCCAGATGAAGGGATGGGGCAGAGTGAGAGGGGGGTGTGGACAGAGGAAGATTTTTCACCTGAAGATGAACCAACCGGACAAATGCAGGTAAACGTGTTGATGGTAGACGAGGACAGAAGTTGGAAATGACAGAAACACAAGTCCTGCATTTGAGTTGTAAACATGTAAGCAACCTGAAGAATTGCTCTGTGAAAGAGGGTATTGTTTGGATTCACCTGTGAGTGAAATCTATGAAGATTTACAGATTTATTTGATTGTAAATGCAGATGTAGTTGCTATGTTTTTATAGATACAAAAGCTTTCTGTCAGTTAGGCATAGTGCAACTCAGTCTCTCACTCTTCATGTTGTTGAATCAAATCAATAATCAAATCTATGTTTCATGAGACCAATAAGAAATGCTTCTCCTTTTTCTCCTTTTCTCCTTTTCTCCTTGTCTGTCTCTCGCCTCCTCTCCAGACTCCAGATGTTCTTCGCAGAAAGTTGCTTCAGGCACCAGGAGCTGCACTTCCCTTTCCTCCCCTCAAGGTGGAGTGGTCCCTGAATTATATTTTACTGTTAAACAATGGTAAACATTAGAAGACTTAAGTAAAGCAGCAAATATTTGTCAAAATTGACTAATCGTAAATAGATCATCTACAGCCAGATGTGTCTTCCTCTTATTTCTTCAACACCCTCTTAAAACATTTACAATATGAGGACCGCCCCCCATGGGCTTCAAAGTCTGCTTCAGAAACCAGATGGTGATGTCACTGAGACTACGTCTGTGTCTACGTTCAGTCTATGGTTGCAGCCAGTTGAGTTGCCCCCTGCTGGCCATTAGAGCGAACGCATGTTTAAGGCACTTGGCTTTTTGTCAAATAATACTGCCGTCTCCGCCCACCAGGTGTTATCCAATGGGGAGCCGTGCCTCCTGTTGCAGGCGAGGAAACTTTCTCTACGCTTTGAGAAGCAAAAGCAGCTGGACCTGACGGAGAGAACGTTTTCCCCTCTGAAAGCTGTCGACACCAGCAAGTCCATCTGCAGCCTGGATAAGGCCACGTATGTACAATCTGTCTGTCCCAGTGACCCACCTGTTGACCCATTTAACTGGTCAAATACAAACCTCAGGGACAAGAGCAATTTCAGTGACACTGTGTTTTAACTGAAAGTGGAGAAACACCTGTCTTCTGGGGTGGCCATGGGTGGCTTTGACCCCCATTTGAAATCTGATCGCCACCCCAAAATCCAAATCTATATGATTGGCTATTTGCCTTATTGGAGTGTGACTTAAGTTGAAATCAACCATTCTGTCTGTTTTCATCATTCTGCTGGTAGTGTCCTTCATGTGAAAATGTAGTGACTTTTTTGTAGGTACTTTTAGTTGTAAACAAATTCTTTACATACTTTGCTCTTTCCATAAAAAACCCAAAGCAAAAACTTGTGTAAACTGTCTGACTTGCAAATCAATTACTTGCCAATTAAAGTATTTTTGCTTTAGTTAGACAGTGTACAAGAGTTTGAATGCAATTTTCTAAGTACTTAAAATTGTCACTTTGCACATAAATCTTTGTTTTTAATTCCTAAAGAATCAAGCTGAAAAGATGCATATGTTGAAAAATTATGTTACTTACAAGTACATGTAATTTGTGGGGATAGAAAGGGTAAGAAAAATAAATGAATTTGCATGTGTGTGCCCACAAACGTAATGCCACCCCTGCATAAGTCAGTGCACCAGATGGGCCACCCCAGTTAAAAAAAGTCCAGACACGCCCCTGACTCTTACCACTTCTTTTCACCAGCATTATGCAGCATTATCCCCTGCTGTCTTCTTCTTCTTTGGCACTCCTGTTCACGTTACCCTCATTCATGTCATAAGCGCCACCATGTGGAGTCATGAAGTAGTGATGCAGTGAGTCAAATTTGGAAGTGAATCTGTTTAGAGCTCGATGTATTTCGAATTAAGAAATCTTCTTTTGGCACCAACCATTTTATTTTTCACAAGAGTCAGGACGACGATGTATTGTGGCATCGATATTTTGTCTCACTCTAATGACAAAGGGAAGAAACATGGAGTGGTTTCTTCTCATGTACGTGTGTCTGTGAGTTTTAAGTCTATCTGTCTCTGTTTTGTTTTCAACAGGCTCGTTATGAAGTTCGGAGATGTGGAAGATTTAAGAGATCTGTCTATCAGGTAATTCATAAAATCTATCTCCCGACTAGCCACTCAAATGTTTAAATATTTATTTAAAATGTAAGATTAAATCAGCAACCTTAAAGGGGTGACAGACGAGACACTGAAAATCAAACTCTGATTTTGTTTAAATGCTAATAATCCTTCTTGGGACAAAAAATGATTCATGCTAAAACGTCACCATGACAGCAGCCCCTGTGACCAAATTGTTTGACGGTTTCCTCTTCATCCCTTGGACGTCAGACTGCAGCTCTCCAACACTTTCTACGAGTCGTCAGGCCAGTGGTGGTTCTCAGTGGATAGCGTCTCTCTACTCTACAACAAGTCTGAAGAAGCTGTGTTCAACGCCAGCGAGGTGTACGCTCCAGCCTCCTCCTCCTATCACTGCCTCCATGTCAGCAGCCTGCAGCGCCACAGCGCCCTCCTGCTGCCCGGCAACGACCACGCCCGCCGCTGGTCTGTCACCTTCACCAACTTCCAGGTACATGTTTGATCATCTAGTCATTGTAGACGGTTTAAACAGTCAGATTCCATTCAGTTAGCTGCATCGTTATCAATGACGACTAGAAGAACGGTCTGTCTTTATTAACGATCAGGGATACTGATAGCACCAGGTCTTTCCTAAAAGAGTTGGTAGAGACCAAAAACAGAGCTAAAAGGCGTGACATTTTGGACCCACAGTCACAGGTGGAAACACAGCTCCAAATAAAAGATACAGCTGCTCTGAAACATCTGGACGTGGCAATATCTACTAATATCAACTAAAACCCTCCATTAAAGAATGTGTTTCCGGGGCGCTGGCAGCGTAGTGGTTAGTACACACGCCCCATGCACAGAGACCCAGGTTCTAATCCAACCTGTGGCTTCTTTCCCACATGTCTTTCTCCTCTCTCTTTTCCCCCGACTCCTGACTCTATCTACTGTCCTATCTCTGAGGCTTGAAAAACCCCAAAATAAACCTTAAAAAAGAGACTGTTTTCCCAATCATGACATGGTAATGTAACATTTTTGCTGGTGACCTGAAGAACAAAAGTGAAGCCAATTAATGAGCCGTGTGATGTGAAAATGTTAAAGTTTGCTGAACATCTGTAAGGCTGGCTACACACTAGACGATTCTCAAATTGAAACCAGTTTTAATAACGCTGAAGACCATCACAGTCATCAGGGCTGCACCTTCAATCCAGAGAGGATTTCTATCACTGAAAGGAGTTTTGAGACTGTTTATTAGAGTTGTAGTCAAGAAAGACCCCCGTAACCAAGACCAAGACTTACCAGAGATTAGAGACAAGACCAAGACATTTAGGGATCGAGACCAAGACCATAAATATCACTGAACAATCATCATCTTGTGTGCAGGGGGCGCGTCACCCAGTCTGAGACCGAGACAAGACCGAGTAAAAATGCTTTCGATTCCGAGACCCTCAAAAAGTGGTCTCGAGACCAAGATCGACTTCGAGTACGACAATACTTCTGTTTAACATGACTGTACCCTGTTTGTTATTCTGAAAACGTCTCTCCACAGATTCAGGCGTTCAACGTCACCTCTGGTAAATTTTCTCCTGCGAGCGACTGCGCCACCTTCCTGACGCCCGCCATCCTGATGGGCCTCATCACTTCCCTCATCCTGCTGCTGGTCCTGGCCTACGCCCTGCACATGGTCATCCACCTGAAACACATCGAGCACGAAGACGAACACAAGTCACACGTCTACTTCCCTCAAAACTCTGAACCGCTGGAACACTGCTGTCTGGAGAACGTCCCAGAGAAAAATATTATGTAGCGAAGAAACACAAGGAGAGACTCGTCTGATGTGATAGGATACACTCAGCTCAGGAGTAGATTTTATGAATATATATTTATATTGTTTTTTATTTTCCTATCGGTGAGTTTATGTATTTGTCTTTGCAGATAATTTATTAAAAACATAAATAAATAATTCATCTTCTGTTTGCTTTCTTTCCATCCACATCATTGTGCAGAAAGATCACCCGCTTTCCGCAGTTATCAGTGAAGACGCCATTATTTCATCACTCCACATTCACTTGAATAGTTAATGTTCTGCACCTATCACTGACCTCACACCCTTGTCCGTCCTGTCAATCAAACCACACCTCAAGTGAAGCTACAAAGCGGAGAAGACGACTGAACCCGTCACCTCAGTTCTCCGGAGTTCTTATTCATCCTTTTAAGACTAATCTTCAACATGTGAGCGGCATCTCAAATAGAGAGAGTGTGTGTCAGACTGGACTCATTACTGTCATCCCATGTTCTTACCTGACAACCCGTGGCGTCTGCACGTCCATAGAACCAGACTATAAGGTCAAATCTTGAGGTCTCAAGAGTGCTAATCAGAAACAGTCACCTCTTTCACAATCATAGTTTGGCCATTTCCATTTATTTATTTATTTTCTGTGGGCCTATTTGTTGCAATTGATTGAAGAAATATTGCAGACTCTGACAATTCTGTCTCTCATCATGAGCAAACACATAAACATAGATTATAACTGGAGGAGGAATATTACTTGAGGCTGCAAGTTTCAAAGTTAGTGTTAAGGCTGTATGAGATTAATATGAGGGTACTTGGCATGACAAAGTTTGGGAACCCCTTGACCATTAGGTTGTAGTTAAATCATAGACTGTAAATATTAATATCCTGGTTAATACAAGACTGTTGCCATTTCAATTCTGTCCGCTGGGGGAGGAGGGGGCAGTGAGACCTGTACAAGCGTCCAATCTACCACACACTGAGGAGACGAAGAAGAAGAACACACTCACGCCGACCGAGAAAGTGGTGGCAGCTAACGAATCAACTTCTATGAATTAAAATACAACACGACACGTTATTTAAGCGAGCTGTTTGTTTTCTGACCCCTGCGTGTTGTCTACACTGAACATAGACAGCCGTGTGTCTTTCTGTGAGTGTGAGTTTCGTGTCCGGTGTTGGCTTAGCTGTTAGCATCCAGCGCAACAAGGTGACGTCACAGAGAGGACCAAGACTTCGTTTCATGTCGTCGTAGTTTGTTTTTTTTCTCCTTCATGTTGAGTCACCTCTCCGCTGCTCTGCTGCTTCCCCCCCGCCGTCTGCTCTCGTCCTCACCGAGGACTCTAACCCGAGCCTGCAGCCTCCTCCGGGGCAGCAGGAGGATGGAGCCCGCCGTGGTGAGGTGCCTCCCCGGGGAGCCCAAGCTCACCATCTCCTTCCGCCTGGACGGCAGCAACAAACACATGCTGCGGGACCAGGACGAGGCGCTGGGTAAGGTCCTCTCCCGGATCTCCAACAACATCGCTAAGGGTCAAGGGAAGGCGAAGAAGAAGACGAAGAGGATAAAGGGGCAGCAGCCGTCGTGCGAAGCCCCGGAGCCCACCGTGGTGAAGCTGTACTGCGGCGGCGGCGGCGGCGGCGAGGTGGCCGACACGGTGCTGAACTCGGAGGCGTGGCAGGACGGAGCCGTGCTGCAGGTGGGGACGTGAAATACTCGGTGCAGAGAAACGCGCCCACTTCACCAACGCGGAGCTCCCGGCGTCCCTGATGGCCGAGTTCCCCGTCTGCCCCAATCTGGAGCTGGAGTTTGGTAACCTGCAGGACTGCGAGTTCACATGGCATAAAGAAAACACCCCAAACACAAGGTCCGAGTCCAGTCAAATCTTTATTACACAGTCAAAGTTTATTACAGGTGAAATAAAAAGAATTGTTCATGTAGGGGCGGCTGCCTCTCAACCGGAAGGTCGAGGGTTCAATCCCCAGCTGAGCAACATGTCCGATGTGTCCTTGGGCAAGACACTTAACCCCGCATTGCTCCCGCTGCTTCAGTGGCGGTGTATGAATGGATTAGTGTTGTACTTGACTCTCTGATGCACGTCGCTTTGGATGAAAGCGTCTGCGGAGTGAATTGTAACGTTGTAACATATTGGCATGCAGTGGCGAGTCTAGAGTCCACTGGAGCCAAAGGCAAAGCTTAGTTAAGGGGTCCTCCAACCAGCTTTCAAAAGGGCGATGAGAGCGAATGCTGTCAAATGTGGCTGTGTTTCCTACTGTCATTGGAAAATTTGCACATTATGGGTCGCTGCTTTAGTGCAAATGTTGTGCGGCCCTCTGCGGCCCTCTGCGGCCCTCTGCTGGTCTGGGGCCCCAAGCAGTTGCCTGCCTTGCCTGTTGACATGCAGCGCCTCTGTTGGCATGGCACACAAATCAATATCAGAACTTCAAGCAGCTAAAATTTCTAATTTGTCAATTGAGAAATTCCAGTAAAGGGTGTTTAAACTGGTAAACAGACTGATTATAAATGCCTCTATATGAAAGTTTTACGAGACCATCAGGGAAAAGATTGATTAATTTCAGAGTCCGGGAAGAAATGAGGGGACTGGCATTGAAAAGTAAAAGCAAATGCAAGAATGAGAGATGCACTAATAGATTGATTGATGAAAATAACAGGTACTTGTAAAGGGTCGTCAGCGTTATCCTTTCTTCTCTTCTCTTCTTGTTCTCGTCTTAGCCCTGAAGCTGCTGCAGAAGCTCCAGCTGAGGACGGCGGTTGGACCGAAGTGGGATGCGGGAGAGTCCACGTCCCGTCCAATCAGGACATCGGCCACAGACTCAAACTGCGCTGCACGCCTAAAGACGGAGAGCGCAGCGGCCAGGTCAAAGAGCTGATCTCTGTGGGAGCCGTGGAGGCAGGACCGGGAGTCTGCACGTTCGACAACAGACACGCGTACACGATCAAAGAGGCAGAGTGGCCGTCTGCGAGGGTGATGTCATACAACATCCTCGCTGACGTCTACGCCCAGACGGAGTTATCCAAGACGGTGCTTTACCCTTACTGTGCTCCGTACGCCCTGCAGCTGGACTACAGGCTGAACCTGATCAAGAAGGAGCTGGCCGGATACAACGCTGACATCATCTGTCTGCAGGAGGTCGACAAAGGTAACATGGGATGTTTGACAGATGGAGTCGACAACAATGTTTGAGTTACATGTAAATGTAACTAAACACTCTCATTGTGTCCAGATTTCCAATGTGAGGCAACTTTTATTTATTTAAAGTTTTTCCGAGCTGATTCCTTTTGAGGTTTCACATTAAGGAACCCATCACACAGAGACACACAAATATCTGGGGGAAAGTACTGCTGGGAGCGCTTGTGGAGCGGGCTATTTAATAAGTGGGAATTTTTTTTTTTTTTTTAGCTTTGCTCCCTGACGAGAAGGGAGAGAAATGCCGAAGGTAAAGCCTCCTACTTGATTTGACTTCGGCCAAAAGACACATTGATGAGCACTGCGACTCCGCGTCTTGAACTGAAAAGTTACAAAAAAAAAGTGAACTTTTATGCACGCTGAAAAACCAGTAGAAAAATCGGTCGTGCAGCAGCTTAGAAGAGCGCCCTGCATGTGCACTGTACCACCGGAAAACAATGGTTTTCAATTCAAATTCAAATTCAAATAACTTTATTTATCCGTCAGGAACTTAATTTGTGTAAAAGAGCATCAGTGCGCATACAGCTAGACACAAAAACACACACATATAAGTGGCTGTGTTAAAAGCATGATAAATAATGTCACAAATAATTGTTATGAGCGGTTTAAAGAGTGGTGTTAAATAAGAAATAGATCAGTTATTCATGAGCCTGATGGATGTAGTCTCATTTCTGACACTTGTACAACATGCACAGTCATCGTTTTGTTTATTTTTTTGCAGAAATGTCAACACATAAAAAGAAAATAATAACCTTCATGTAAGTTACCGTAACATGCTCTCTGTGTGATTCTACTCTCCGACTCTTCTTGTGCTCTCTGGACTCTTCAGCTGTGTTCACAGACAGTCTGACTCCGACTCTTGATGCCTTCGGTCTGGACGGCGTTTTCAGGGTGAAAGACAAGCAGCATGAGGGACTCGCCACTTTCTACCGAAGGTCAGGTCTGCAGCATTTAGATAATTAGTATCAGATAATAATTTATTCTGTGTTATTTCAGTGTTGTATGATTTAATGTTTCCATACTGACATCAACAACACCAATCGTTCATTTTATCACAGCTGATCGTCAGTAAACAAACATCCTCTCTTTTCCCTCCACAGTCGTATATATATTTTGTAACAGCAGTATTTAGTTGATGTGATGGTAAACTTTTTTAATCCAGGATTATGTTTTTCGGGACATTAAAGGTTACATCATGTTGTCTTTTCAGGTCAAAGTTTAAGCTGCTGAGCCAACATGACATCATGCTGAGTGAAGCGTTGTCCAGTGAAGCCCTCCACTCTGAGCTGCTGGAGAGACTTTCTGTGAACAGCGCTCTGAAGGAGAAGACTCTGCAGAGGTCCACCACCCTGCAGGTACGACTCTTCACCTGCTGTGACTGCTTTGATCCCTTACAAAGAGGGTTAAGACTTCTTGTACTCTTGATCCTCAAACTGGAATTTTTGAAATCCAAGTCGGTCCTTTAAGCAGTTTTTACAAACGCACTCCACAAACCGCCGGTCATCCATACCGCCCTACTTTTTTCTACTCTTCTCTTGGGGTGACTTTGAAAATAACGAGCCAACCCTAAAGGCATCATAAAGGACAAACCCAAAACGTGCCATGTTTCCTGAAAAATCCTGTGGATCTCAAAAGTCAGTTCAACTCAGTTTTTGTATGATAAATAATAAATATAAGTTTAGCGCGTAGCACCGCTCCATGGACGACCTCGGAGGTTCAATCCTCTGCTGGACGTCCTCCATTTTTGCCCTTTGTTAACATGGTTGCGTTCTCCTTCTTTGTTTAATTTATTATGGACTACACTGTGTCGCACTGCTATGACATCAGTTACCAAAGAGGGATATCATTGGCTGTTGAAACGCAGTCAGGATCAGAGTTCATCGTACCAAACCGGACCGCTTGGTGGAAACGACTTTGGTCAGCTTTGTGAATCTGACTTTCTGAACACCGATTCGTTTCTCTGCAGGTCAGCGTGCTCGAGGACTTGAATAAACCAGACAGGAAGGTGTGTGTGGCAAATACACACCTGTACTTCCACCCTAAAGGTAAACAAACTCCTTCCTCTGTGTGGAAACTCCTGAGTCAGTGAGATGAATTGTACTGTATTTGTAAGAACACACATACATAAAAAAACTGGCTTAATTTGTTTTGTAGGAGGGAATGTCCGCTTGTTCCAGATGGGCGTGGCTCTGAAACACCTGAGTCATGTGATCAGGGAGGTTGCACCTGGAGCCCCTCTCATCTTTTGTGGTGACTTTAACTCCTTACCAAACTCAGGTAACATTATATTCTACACTAATGCAAATAGAAGCAGCAATCCTGTTCACTCTTTTTCATTTAGTGAAGTTTTAAAATGCTGGTGTCACTACAACCCTACGACTAATTAAATATAAGAAACCACTTCTTGTCATGACGCTTGCCTAATGTTGTCACTGTGCATCTCCTCTTCCTGCGTGCAGGCGTGTTCCAGCTGCTCAGTGAGGCCGAGGTTCCTCAGCAGCATGCCGACTGGAGCAGCTCAGGCCCGGAGGAGTCCTGCAGGATGGAGCTGCTCTCTGACTTCCCCCCGCTGCTGAGCGCCTGCGGCCAGCCCGCCTACACAAACTACGTCGGAGGATTTCACGGCTGCCTGGATTATATCTTCATACAGCCGGACAGCATGCAGGTACTGACACCTCTTCTGAAACTAATCCCCTGGACGTTAAACATCACAGGGTGTCAGATTTTATTTGGGAGTAAGCACTGGCAGACGATCATGATGATTTTGAGGATGGTGCATATGTTGATTGTGTCTGTGCAGGTGGAGCAGGTGATTCCTCTGCCCAGCCACCAGGAGGTCACCACCTACGAGGCTCTGCCCAGCGTCGCTCATCCCTCCGACCACATCGCTTTAGTCTGTGACCTGCGCTGGAACCCCTGACCTCTGACCTCACACCATCTGGACTTACAACACAGGAGAGCCAGACCTTCAGTCGCTGCTGAAACCACCACTTTGACTCCTGATTTCTTTACGTTTGGATCAAGTCTTGAGCTGTGATAGAGTTCCTGTATTAAAGAGAGAATCAACATCTCACAACGAAGAAGTGTCTCACATTAAATTTTAACTGAACTGTTGTGAATATGGTCAAAGAAATAAGTAATGTCCATCACTGATATTCAGTGTATGTGTTGTATCAGCAAAAAGTAATGAAATGCAAATAGAGTTTTTTTTTTAAATACTTGCTTTTTTGCCTAATAAGTTGTTCAGTTCTTCTGAATTTCATGAGTCAAAAATGAATCGACAGCATTAAAGGTCATTTAAAGGTGTTATAAATATCGGTGACCTATTTATAAATCATGTCACTGGTTTAGGGTCACATTTAAGTTGTTTTTGTTGAAGCCCGTTCCTGTAGTTGACATTTTTATTTTATTTTTATGAAAGTAATTCTGCCATAAATAGCTAAAAAAAAAAAAAGACTTTTAAAAACACATTTAATCCAAATTATTTAAAGAAAGAAAGTATGTTTTTATGACAAGTCAAATTTAAGATATTTTAGCTTCCACATTTGAAAAGATCTTTAATTATTTGTAAATCTGGTGAAGTGCATCGTTTCTCCATCTTCAATTACAGTTTAAGTTCCTACGGCACGGTGTCTCCATGGAAACAGCGTCATGATTGGATTGCGAGTCTGAAATCTATTCGACCGTCATGTGACCCATGTGACTGATAGTTCAAAGATTTTATTTTTTTAATTCTCGGAAAAATGTAAATTCAGTGAAATGAGTTCAGCAGCTTCCACCTCCAGTCGCCACGCTGTTTTAATTCGATTGGTCAGGAGTGTCGAGGAGGCGGGGCTTATGGACATACCATTGTGTCATACGATGGGGGTGCGAACAAATACTACAATGAAGGTTGAGGAGTGAGTTGGACAGTCGTGACTATTCAGCACATTTTCTAACCCTAACCCAAGAAACACAAAAGAATAAAAACAAAACATGACACGTTGTATTTTGGATTTTTTTTGTCGGATTTATGATTTACAGTAAATATTTTAACACCCCCGAGTCAGTGACAGAACTGAGCAGCCGACCGTCAAGTCAGTCAGTGTTAGCGAGCAACGACGGAAATCAGGCCATGTCGCCTTCAGAATAAAAGTGCAGACACCACTTTTTCATTTTTTTTTTTATAAAAGTACTTCAACAGCCTCCTGAACCAGAAATGGAATATGTGTCTACGGTAATACTTTTAATACATGTATTGAGCATTGCAGTGTGTAAATGATTGTGATTTAAGATCTATGAGTGGTATATTGGTGAAAGGGTATGAATGAGTAGGTGGGTAAAAGCGCTTCGAGTTGTCAGAAGACTAGAAAAGCGCTATATAAACTCAAGACAAGTTTTTTTTAATACATTCTGACTCTGGTGAGTCTTTCAAAAAGCAACTTAAAACTTTTATGATTAGACTGGCCGATGGGGAATCATGTCCACCTCGTCTACCTATTGATTAAGATTAAGATTAAGATTAACTTTAAGCAAGGGGAAACTTCAGTTTTTACACTCTGTAGTCATGCAACACACACATAGGCTAAAATATACACACATGCACAAACAGGATCCTATGGACATGCACCTAATGGAGAGATGTCAGGGTGACGGGGCGGCCCCCGGCAGGTGCTCCTGAGCTGGGTCGTGGGGAGGGGGTTTGGTGCCTTGCTCACCTCAGCAGTGCTCAGGAAGCGATCTGGCTTCACCTCTCCAGCTACCAGACCAACTTCCATATTTGATCCGCACCGGGACTTGAACCGGCGACCCTCCTGGTTCCCAATCCAAGTCCCTACAGACTGAGCTACCAAAAGTGATTTATTTTATCGTAATGTCGGTCAATTAACTACTACTCGTTTGTTCTGGTTCTTATTATATGTGTACAGTTGTTTTTTTTGTTGATGACCTTTATCTGTGAAAATTTCTCTATGAATAAAATGTACTTACTCTGTATCAAATTTAGTGCGCTTTTATTTTGAAACGAATGACCGGATGTTGTATATCTCGCCTTATCTGACTTGACGCTGCGCGGCTTGACAGGAAACCAAACACGGAATTGGGGATTTGAACGATCTTACGTGTCATTCCCCGAGTGTCAGTGATACAGAAACCCCCCGTGGAGTCGTCAGCAGAAACGTATCGCTGTAAGTTTTCTTTATTTGCATTCACACACTCTGAAGATAAAACGCATCATGTTCACCAGTCAGCCAAACACAGCGCGAGTGTTTATTTAAGTTTAGCTGAGACGAGTTAGCTCCAATCTCTGTGGGTTCATTGTGTCAGAGTTCAAAACATAAGCACAGTTTGTTCCTGTATTTATCTGAAGCTTAGCCTCAATCATGTGAGCATTCATTCATTAATTGTCTCTCAGTTTGTTTACGATGGAGGGTTAGGGTGCTTCTGTGACGCTGAAGCGGCTCAGTTAGCTTCTGTTTGATGTTCCTGCTTTTATCAGAGTTTCTCCTTTAATGTATCAACACCACACAAAACTAGTTTAATACACGTGTAGTTACAAAAACATGACAACCAGACCTCCCTGAAGAATGAATGGACTCTTTTCTGTTCTGACATGATTCATTTGATGTCATCAGATTTTCTGTTTCAATCTTTTTTTTAAAGCTTCTTGGTCTGAGATTTTGAGTTAATTACAAAGAAGATTAAATCAATATAACAAATCATTTAAAACATGTATTTTCCAGTCCTTTCAGATACTCCTGGCTGTGATTTCATAATGATGTTCAGGTTAAACCAGTTTGACTAACCTGCTCATATGACTCTCTGACCCATAGAAAGGATGGAAGCTGTTGTTTTTACAGGTTGTGTGAATGTTGTCTCTATTCAGGTGATGAAAACAGACTTTGTATTCTACATTTTTTTTTTTTACGAGTTACAGATTAAAGAAACAAAATAAACAGCTTCACCGTGTGTACGTACTTCAGCCTTACAGAACACAAAGGGATAAATATAACAAGTATGGTGGTCAGGTTATTGTACCGTAAAGAGTTTAAGGGGCCGCTGAGGGCCCTGGACCCCCATGGTGGTCAGGTGGGGTGGGTCGGGTTGTGCAGTGAGTTGAATAGGAGAAGAAGACCTGAGAGTGTGAGTTGGTGTGTGTGTGTTAGAGGTGGGAGAAAAAATCGATACAGCGTAGTATCCAATGTTTTATTTGGCGAGTCAAGTATCAATATTTTGTTATTATATTAGTAGCAAATATGTTTTTTTGTTTTTTTTAATTGCTGAAGGAGTTTCAAAATTCATTTTGAAGAAATTGTATTGTTAAAAATTAATGTACAAGTTCGATTAGACTGAAATACTGTCAGTCCAGATTGTGAGGAGCATGCAGCCTTTTACAGGGTTTGACTTTGACCCCAGTGCTGGTCAGTCTCTGGGCTCGACTCCCGTTGTGCGTAGACATAAAAAAAAAACTGAAGTCCGATGACGAGACTAAGAATGTTGTTCTTATTTGACAAAACAGTTCTTCAATTAGTTTCATTTTGTGGACATAATATGCAGTTTAAGAAGTAAAATCACAATATATTGTATCGCAATTCTCAGCATATCGCAAAATGTGACTCGAGTGTCATGAAAATATCTTATCGTGGGGCCTCTGGTGATTCCCACCCCTCCTGTGTGTTGATGTGAAGGAGTTGAGAGAGGTACAGAGGAGCGAGGTTATGGACGGCCTTGGAGGTGAAGAGCAGAATCTCAAAGTCAATGCGATATTTAACCCGAGAGCCGATGAAGCTGCTGAAGCTTGAAAACAAACGCTGATGTCTGCAGATTGAGCGCATACCAACATGTCACTCGTGTTGTTTCTATGTTGCACCGTTGTGTTGCAGGCCGTGGTTAAGTTTGGAGCGTCTGCAGAAAGTACACAGGACTTAAAAACAGGACGAGATGATACTATCGTTTTAACCTTTCTAGAAGCTTCTGGTTCACAGCTTCAGAGCAGATAGCAAAGTAGCGTCATGATCCATCAAAGAAACGAATATGTTTCCTGTAAAGGTATCTCTGCTTCCTTCCTCGGTCACCTTGACTCTCCTCTCTCCTCTCAGGCTGGTCACTGTCTCGTCCTTGATGAGCTGTCGTCACCCTGGTAACGGTTGCTAACAGCGAGAAGAAATGAAGGCCTTGATCCTTGTCGGGGGGTACGGGACCCGGCTGAGACCGCTCACCCTGAGCGTCCCTAAACCGCTGGTGGATTTCTGCAACAAACCAATACTACTGCACCAGGTGGAGGCTCTGGTCAAGGTACGAAGGGTTCCAATCAAACAGAACAGACCAACAGGGCCGTGTCCTCACTGCTCACACGTGTTTGTATTTTCTGTGTTTTTATGTGCACAGGCCGGGGTGACTCATGTGGTTCTGGCGGTGAGCTACATGTCAGAGCTGCTGGAGAGAGAGATGAGAGTCCAGGAGGAGAGAGTATGTATAACAAGTTACTACAGCTCTGATGATACTGCTGATGATGACGATTTGTTTATTTGTTAGGATCCTCATTAGCTGCAACCTAGAGCTCAGCTATCCTTCCTGGGGTCCACATTTAAAAAAAAAAACTGAAAATAAAAGATGATGATGGGTTTCTTTTTGGAACCAACTTTTTATTTATTTTGACAAAAAGCAGGTGTACATTATCTTGTACATTTAGTAGATGCAATTCATTGCTCTGTAGAATTATACGCATAAGAGAAAAATGAACAACATTACATTGCACATATACAGTACAATTTTCTTAAACCCATAACCCTCCCCTTCCCCTCTTAAACCCATAACCCTCCCCTTCCCCTCTTAAACCCATAACCCTCCCCTTCCCCTCTTAAACCCATAACCCTCCCCTTCCCCTCTGGGTTTCCTCTGAAATGTACAGTGCAAGAAAGATATTTACTGTAAGTCAGGAAAATAAATATTTAAATAACTGAGTGAACACAGTTCATGGTATCACATAGAGTGATTAAAAAAATAACAATGGTGAGATAATAATTTAGGATGGTTTTGATGCTGATTAGAACTTTGAGGAACAGCTGTTGATGTAGTACAAAACAGGTGTGTTTGAGTTATTGTTAGAAATCTGATCAATTTAAACCTCCAGGCTGATTCTTTATGAACCATCTACTCTGATACTTCTGTGATATAACAAAACAAGTTTTTGCTCTGTTTTCTGTTTTCTCCTCAGCTTGGGATTCGTATCTCTCTGTCTCATGAGAAGGAGCCTCTGGGGACAGGTGAGTTTCTCTCCACTGCAGACCGATACAGACACGCTGAAAATGGTGTTAAAATAGTGATATTGTTAATCACCAGAAAACCAAAGATTCAATGTATTACAATGATACAGCACCACAACCATCAGAGATACAGATTTCTTAAAGATTAAAAAACAAGAAACTCTTTCTCTGAATCGAAAAAGTCCATTTTACAATTGTGATATTATACATTTTATGTCTGGATCAAATGTAGTATTTAAGGTAGTGTAGCTGCACTGTTTAGTAGCTGGACTCTGAGTGAAATATATTCATTCAAATATTTAATAAATGTGTGTTTCTTGTGCAGCTGGTCCCCTGGCGTTGGCTCGAGAGCTGCTGAACATCGACAACGAGCCCTTCTTTGTCCTCAACTCGGACGTCATCTGTGATTTTCCCTTCAAAGATCTGCTGCAGTTTCACAACAACCACGGCAAAGAGGGAACCATCGTGGTGAGAGAGAGAGAGAGAGAGAGTGTTTAACCTGATTTGTTCTGTGCACATGATGGATTACCTGCAGGAAAGTTAAGAGAGAAGAAAAGAGGGAAATCTTTAGGCCTAAATACGGGGAAATGAATCAATCAACAGACGATCCAGACAGCCGGAGAGGAAAGACGATATTCAGACTCAGAGTAGAAGATGAAAATGAGACAGAAAGTTGGCGTCATAAAGTCTAAATGAAAAAAAAAATGAAAAAGGAAGTTGGATTTAGACACCAATTGATTATGAAATGAAAGCTTGTTCCTGAAAATAAATTTTAACTCTTTAAGTTAAAAAAAAAAAGCTTAATTGCAGAGTATACATTTTTATAGTTCAGCAATATCCAAAGCTTCTGTGTTAGTGTGTGTTCACAAGTGTTTGTGTGTGTGTTTGTGTGTGTGAAGGTCACACGGGTGGAGGAGCCCTCTAAGTACGGTGTGGTCGTGTTTGAGACAGACAGTGGCCTGATACATCGCTTCGTTGAGAAGCCGCAGGTGTTTGTGTCCAACAAGATCAACGCCGGCATCTACATCTTCAATCCCAGCATGCTCGGCAGGATCCAGGTGAGTGTCTCCCTCTCGCACACGTGAACACACAGAAAGCCTCGAGCGTGCACTTGACGATGTGTTTTTGACTTTTTTTCTGTTTGTGCAGCTGAGACCAACGTCCATAGAGAAAGAGATATTCCCCGTGATGGCACAGGAGGGACATCTGTACGCCATGGAGCTGCAGGGTAACTTTTATATGTACTAATTAAATGCTTTAACTGTAATGGGCAATCAACACATTTCCTTTATTTCTGGGTGCAACTTAAACATATTTTCATTATAGTTTGATCAGTCTATTAGCTGACAAATTAACTCACTTTAATTAAATGATCAAAATGAAGCGACCACCAGCATCAACCTGATCGTCTTACTTTTGTAAGAAATGAAACGAGCACATTTAGTTAGAAGTGGAAATCTACCTGCAAATGATGTCAGCTTGTCAGTGATTTTTTGTTGTTTATGTTAGAGACAAAGTAGTATTTAAAGGACCAATCAGTAAGATATGTAGTGAGTGAAATGATAAAGTGACCTTACTATATGATCAGACATTAAGGAAACATGCTATGTTGAAGTGCTGGCTTCTCTGACAACAATGCAGCAGCCAGTATGTCCTCCTTCTAACTTTAGATTCTGGTCCTGAATGCTCTGGATTTGTTTGGACCAGAGAAGGTAGTCAGTTTTAAGGCACCCCCACACGGCCGTTTTGGACGCCCCTCGGTTTGTCAGATATGAGAGCAGTTATCAGGTCAAACCAACAGGTGTTGCAGCGATGGAAGCGGTCAAGAGAACTGGTTCAGATAGAAGTGATTGTACCCGAGGAGGAGGCAGGGGGAGACCGCTCTCGCCAATAATTTGAATTTGGACTGTAGTACCAATTTTAAACACTAGGTGTCACTGTTACATATTGCTCCTTTAAGGAATGGAATTTGTGAAATATTTGTGGGAAATTGACTCGTTTGCTTGCTCTGGCCTCACAGCTCAAAGTGCCACCAGACGTAAGTGTTTGGGTTTTTCTTTCACACCTAAACTTGTGTAGTCTTAGGGAGGAATGGTTTGTAGAGCAGCACCGTGACAAAGTAAACAAAACATGACATTTAAAAGCTGCTGTAAAACCTCTCCAGAGATTTCAATCAGGTGCGGTGCTACACGTGCCACATGCTCATTGCTCTCTGGGAGCGATCAGCTGTGATTGAAGCAGTGAAATCCTCTAGCTGAGTTTTTTAACCTCCCTCCTGTCCCATAGTTCAGAATGATTCTGTCCCAGGACGTAGTGGCTTTTTTCCCTTTAGAAAACTGAAACTATATACTATCTATCCTGTGGTGAAACATTGTGCAGAACAATCAGCGGTTGACAAAGAACACAACTTCATAACTTGAGTCAAAGTTCCCGGTCAAACATGACCCCCAATACAAGTGAAAGTTGGAAAATGTCAGCAAGGCTTTGCAGGGAGAGAAAACAATCACTTTTCAAACATGGACGTAAGATATGTTCATGGCTGCATCCATCATCCTTACCACCACTAAATGAACTGCCTGACTTCAGAGCACAGGTAGCGAGTAACGAGAACATTCATAGAAATGTAGAGTAGTCAAACATTATCTGTTTTCAAATGTAGCGGCGTCAAAGTCACAAGTAAATAATAAAACTCAAGTAAAGAAGTGATGATAGAAATGTGGACAATAGCCTCCCTACATGGGGGATGCGACACAATAGCTAGGCCATCCAACACCCGAGTAACAGGGGTCTCCTTTTTAGACAGTAGTCGTAAAGTCACCCTGTTGTTGGAGGTCTGTGTGTGCTGATCATGGGACCTTATGCTTCAATCCTGTTGTAGATCACAAGGAAGCTCCTTGTTGTGTGTCCTTGTTTCCACATTAACTTAATGATCCCTCTGTCTGTATCTCTGCATGCTGTCTCTATGTCTCTCTGTCTCTCTGTCTCTATGTCTGTCTGTCTGTCTGTCTGTCTGTCTGTCTGTCTGTCTGTCTGTCTGTCTGTCTGTCTCTATGTCTGTCTGTCTGTCTGTCTGTCTGTCTGTCTGTCTCTATGTCTCTCTGTCTCGATGTCTCTCTGTCTGTCTGTCTGTCTGTCTGTCTCTCTGTCTGTCTGTCTCTCTGTCTGTCTGTCTCTATGTCTGTCTGTCTGTCTGTCTGTCTCTCTGTCTGTCTGTCTCTCTGTATGTCTGTCTGTCTGTCTCTCTGTCTGTCTGTCTCTCTGTATGTCTGTCTGTCTGTCTGTCTGTCTGTCTGTCTGTCTGCAGGCTTCTGGATGGACATCGGTCAGCCTAAAGACTTCCTGACGGGGATGTGTATGTACCTTCAGTCTGTACGACAACATGCTCCTGAGAGGCTACGCACAGGGCCCGGTTTCCTCGGCAACGTTCTTGTGGTGAGTCGCAGCACCATTGGCGTAGGGATTACATGTCACCCTAACCACAGAACTGTTTTAATTACTGTCTGTCCTCGCTCGCCTCTGCAGGACCCGACAGCGCAGATTGGAGAGAACTGCACCATCGGGCCGAATGTCACCATTGGTGCGGGTGTGGTGGTAGAGGACGGGGTGAGGATAAAGCGCTGCACGGTGATGAAGGGAGCGCGGGTTCGATCGCACTCCTGGCTGGAGAGCTGCATCGTGGGATGGAGCTGCTCTGTGGGCCAGTGGGTGAGTTAAGGGCAGAGGTCACCTTGTCGGGACCGTTGACTGTAAATCCAGATGGACACTGGATACAAAAGTTGTACACTTCGTTGAGACAACTTCTGTTGTACAAAAGTGAAGCCGAAATATTCTCTGTCACAAATTGTGCTGGTGACGTAATTTGGATGCTTTTTCTCTGCCCTCAGGTTCGTATGGAGAACGTGACGGTGTTAGGGGAGGACGTGATCGTGAATGACGAGCTCTACCTGAACGGTGCAAACGTCCTGCCTCACAAATCCATCAACGACTCGGTCCCAGAGCCACGAATCATCATGTAGCACGGGTTGGAGGACAGAAAAACCCAGCGCCTTTTTTTATATATGAACTCTGTTAACCACCCAAACTGTGCCAGAGAGAGAAAGAGAGACAACAAACAGGCGGGTGACGTACAGAAAAAGGAAGAAGAGAGTTTAATTTTCCTTTTTCATCCTTAGTTTGGACTCGTTTTTTAGCCCTGCTTCGCTGCATCTTCCATCAGTAAGCCAAACATCAAATACTAATGTTCTGAATGTGGCAGTAAATGTGTTACATAAACACTGCTTTAATAATTAAAAAAAGGAGAGGGAGGGGGCTGATATAGCTGGGCTGGTTGTCTGTAGAAAGGTGGAGGGAGTCATGTGAAGTGTGGGATCAGAGGGAGGAACTGTTAGACTCACTATGCATTTACAGCTGAGGACGGGTACAGAGTGTTCAGACTTAATCATGTCAAGGCGTGTTTCAGAGACTGGAAGACACAGAACTTACTTATGAAACAAAAAGCTGTGATAGTTAGCTGTGATAGTTAGCTGAAGCTGCGTTTTGGCCTCTTGGGGGCAGCAGAGAAAGCTGAAAACAGAACATCTAATATGAACAGTTGCTATGGTGATTGTTTAAAGGTCACATATTATGCAACATACACTTCACCATGTTTTTCTAACACTAATATGTGTCTGTAGTCGGTCTACAAACCAAACCCCCCAATTATGAGAAAAGTCCATCCTCTGTCTTTTGCCTGCTCCACTTTATAGAAAATGTGTGCTCAAACAGGCCGTTTGGAGATTTTCCCTTCATGACATCACAAAGGGCAGTAGCCCCTCCCCCAGGTGGGTGACACTCCCACAGCTAGGTGTTTGTTCTGCCCTCTGAGTCTGCCTTCTCAACGTAAACAATAGGACATGGAGCGAGAAAGCCCGAGTACACCCAAGCCCTTCCAGAGAGGGGGCGTGGTCAGACACAGCTCATTTACATATTTAAAGGTACAGACACAGAAACAGCCTGTTCTGAGCAGGGCTGAAATAGAGGGGTTTATAGGCATGATCAAATACAGAATCAGAGTGGATTTAGAACAAGAAACTTCGCAGACATGTTTTGAGGAGCTCTGAGACTTATTTAAACTGGTTGAAGAGGAGGATGATATGTGCCCTTTAATCAAAGTGATGTTCATTTAAACATCCTGTGAAAAACATTCTCTGTCATTTTTGTCATCTTATGAATGTAATTGATTAATTTGTAGAAGAAAGACGAATATTAATTAGTGCGGCTTGAGTTAGTGATCGATCATGTGTCGACTGTGTCAACTTGGTTTTCTGTTCTTTGTTTATCATGCAAACAGTGCACTTCAAGGCCAAGCTGGTCACTGCAAAACATGAACAAAATGTAGCGAGCAACAAGTTTCTCATGTCCGATTATAGATTTTAGAGTCAGACAGTTGGGCACAATCTGGGAAATAGACTTCTTTTTCTGCTATGACTCAAACATACATTAGCCCTGTCTGTTGATTTAAGTCATCCTTTTGGTAAAAAAAATTGTTCATTTAAGGTCCAATGGGAACAAGGTTAACGGTGGGGAATGCAATTCTAATCCTAAACCTTTAAAGTCTGATGAGTGTGCACTGACTACGTATCTTGTGTTTAACTCTGTAAATAGGAAATAACATGACTAAAAACCAGGGACTGAACAGAAGTACAGCCAGTCAGGAGCAGGGACTGTTTGTGCATTGCATTCTAACCATTGTTACTTAAACTCTCTACAGATATCTCCATATAAATACAGAACCTGACAAGACTTTTGTTGTGTTAGAAATGTTCTGGGATACATTTGTAGTCCAATCACATTTCAGCAGGGTTTGGATGTTTGCAAGACAAAACAGTCTGCACGGCGAGTGAAAGAAATTCATCTTCTAAATCGCAGTTTGGGAACCAATAAGCGATCATCAAACCCCAGTGTATTTTCAATCTCTAGAAAGAAATATCTGCATATAGGTGACATTAAAAACCTGATTGCAGACGTATGTCTCTACCTCAACTCTTCTTGCATCTCAAGTTGCTAGCTTGACTGCAAACAGAAGTGGAAGACTATTTCTTGTCATCAAATACCTATACAGAAAACCCGGTGTAGGGTTTTCCATCCCTCTGTTGTCAGTCAGTCTAGTAACATTCAAACGATATTGATACCTGGTTCGTTAACACATGGAATATAATAGAAATCATAGGCACTTAATTACCATAAATTGCAGACAAACCCCTGCACACGGTCTAAATCAAAACGTTTCATTGTGCAGTTTAGACAGTGTCACCTCCTCTGTTGCCCCACAAGTGACATCAACGCACGGCAAAAGGACATGAGAAATGTCGTCTTATACATTTGAAAGGAGCATAGCTGCTTGCTCAGTTTTGCTCTCAGCAGCTTTTGGTTAAAAACATCACTTTAGATCTATAGCTTTGTTTCATTTCAAAACTATAGATAATTGACATTTGGGATTGTATCGTTTTAAAACACATTGAAGTATTGAATATTTTGACACCCGTAGCCCCCAGAGGTGAAATCTTTTTAAGATGATAGCTGATGGGTTCTCTAACTTCTCCAAGTTACACCATGATAATGCTGCCCTGTAACGGCAGACACTCAGCATGACGCCATCTTTCACTTTCTTTAGTTAACTGTTAGAGTTGTTTCCCTTGCAGATGTGTACACATGTATTTGTGGAGGAGCTTCTGACAGAGAACTGCAGGCAGGGGTATAATGAAGTCATCAACCAAAAAGAAGTGAAAACCTTAAAAAGTTTAATGCTTCTGGGGCTTGTCACAACATGAGATCTTTATTTTCTGACCTCAGTAGCTTAGCTACATATGCATATTTTACATTTGACTTGTTACTGACCAAGAAAACAGTTGAAATTAGCTACTGAGGTTCCTCTGAATGGAGCAGCTCCACGTTGTTATGCAGTAAGTGTTAAACAGTATTAAGAACTCTGAACATGTTTAAGCTCTGGTTGATTGAATGAAGTGAATTCTTGTAATGAAGTCTTCTTCTTTTTTAAAGAGAATAATATAATCTGCTGATCACATTCGTCTTGTCTTGTTTCTTATTTTGTAATTTGAACAATATGACAGCATTTTAGCTTCACACCTGAGCTTTTATGTCAGATGAAAATGGCCGCCATGACACATCAGGCTTATGAAAATTAAAGGAGCAGTATGTAACTCTGACACCTAGCGTTTAAAATGACTACTGCAGTCCAAATTCAAAACATATGGAGAGAGCTGTCCCCCCCAACCCCTCCTCTCTAGAGTCGATGTGCACACAGATTGCCGTCTTGCAGACACTGAAGCTTCAGTGTTTAGCCAGCTCTGCATCGGTCTGAAACCATTCTGTGTTCTCACCTCTCTCCATTTTTCAAAATCGCCACTTTGCCATAATAAGACTAAGACGATTAATTCATGGGATGAACCAGATAACAGTTTTATTTACACTTAAAGTTCATTACACCCAAATCATATTATTCAAAAACTTTCTTTATTTAACTTACTTTGTCTATATACAGGGATTCTCTAACTTTTAATACACTTTGAGCCTGCAGTTAAGTATTAGCATCGCTGCCTGTGAAATGACCCTGAACACCTGCAGCCAGATAAGTAAGAGTTATAACTAAGATGAAGTTACACTGAGACATAGATAACATCTCTAATAATCAAAGGATCAAGGACAAAATCAGGATTCTTATTTTCATCTCATAAGGCAAGATAGAGCAACATATTCTGAGCTATTTTAAAAAAAAGGTAACCTTAGAAAATTACTGTGAGTGCACAGTTAAATTTGAACTTCAGAGGGATATATCAAAGAGCTGCCCAGCTAAGGCCCAAAGATGCTTTGCCATAAGCCTGAAAATATTGGGACACTGGGCTGTTTCACGCTTACAGAGACTTTTAGTGGTGAAATCTTCAGTGGGAGTTTGTTCAGTGTGCCAACATATGGAAACAGTCTCTCAGTGAAAGTATGTCTGAAGGTGTGTAGGAGTGTGTTGGTATCAGGATCCCAGAATGACAGATTTCCTCTGTTGAAGTCCAGATGAACTCTGATCCTCTGTGGCTTCGTTTTGACTGAGAAAACTCTGTCAGGGAGCGGTGGAGAGAATGTACGGTATTGTCCTTCTAAGTAACACAATGCCCAGCAGCCACGTTGTATTTCTCCCTTCTTTCGAACAGACTCCTGTATCACACCTACTCCCCAGTTTTTATCATTTATAACCTCAGCTTCCCAGCTGTGACTCCCAGAGTCAAAGCCCTCAGAGCTCAGGACACAGGGGCAGAAATCAAACCTCTCTGGATTATCTGGAAGCTCCTGTCTGTCTCCATGACTCACTCCAGTCAGATCTTCAGACAGGATGAGGTGTGGATGAGCAGAGTTTGGATCCAGAATCACGGGAGTGTAGGAGACAAACTCTTTCATCTTGTTCCAGATGTTGAAGCTCAGGTTGCCCAGGTGTTTGGCCTCGTCTATCAGAGCTCTTGAGACCAGTTCTGGATCATCCGGCAGAGGGAGCTGCTGGACTCTTTTCACTGCAGCCTTGTAGTTCTTCAGGAATGAGACGTCATCAACTCTCAGCTCGTCCTCTGTGGCTCTGATTGTGTTTGAAAGAGCTGCTCTCTCTCTGTTCAGAGACTCAGTCTTCTCCTTCATCGTCTGACTCTTCTGTTTCTCTTCCTCCCTCAGAGCAGCGATCCTGACCTCCTCTTCTTCTTGTAGAAACTGGTGAAGCTTCTTAAACTGCTCCTTTATCTGAGTCACTGTGTTTAGTGTCTGGACCTTAATATGATCTCCTGTCTGATCACAGTTTGCTTTCACCTTTTCAAAGATCTTCAATTTTTCTCTTACAGGTTTCAAAATGTTTTGTAGCTTCTCTCTGTGGTCCTTTGCAGCTTCATCAATTGGTCTGAATTTGTGGTTGTTATGTTCTTTTGAATCTCGACAGACGACACACACAGTATCCTGATGGTTGAGACAGAAGAGTCTTATTTTCTCAGAGTGCAGACTGCAGAGGGCCTCAGCCTCTGCTGAAGCTTTCTGATCTCTCTCCTGTAAGAAGGCCTCACACAGGTTCCTTAAAGCCAAGTTACGAGGTGGATTACTCAGTAAAGAGACTTCTTTACAAACCGGACACTCGTGCATTGGTTTCTCTCTCCACCATCTTTGCAGACAGCCTTGACAGAAACTGTGAGTGCATAACAGAACAACTGGATCTTTGAAGATGTCCTTACAGACAGGACAGGAGAAATCGTCGCCTGTTTGAGAAAACATTTTGCCTGAAGCTGAAAAAACAGACGTCAAAAAAGGAGGAAGTGAATCCAGAAAGTTCCTTTAAAGTTACTTTGACTTGGAGTCGTAGCACCTCAAAACCTCTCGTTTATTATCTGGAATCGGCAGGTTGAAGTGAGAACAGTGCTCCAGTAATCCTAGTCTTTTCCCAGTATTTCCTATGGTGAATCTCTTGGATTGACAGGCACAGAAAGTAGCAGAGTCAGATATGTTTCAGTCGATGCCAACAACTGAGGAATGAGGAACACAAAGAATTCACACCCATCTGATGCCACACCTTCAGAGTTATGTCAGCTTTAAAAGTGAAGTAAATTTTTATATTTGAGTTCATTCATGTATTTAAGTTTAAGTTAAAAATAAGTTTACACAATTTTTAGAATGAACTATTTACACATTTGAGTTTACAAAGTTAATATTGATATATTTACATCTTTTATATATTTTCAGTAGCACCTAGTAACTGCGGTCAAATAATATTGAATCTGCCTCTGCCTTGAGTTTAACCATCTTAGTCTCTGATTGGCTAACGGTGGGACATGTGATGAGTAAGAAGGAAGTGTTGTTTTTTTGTTTTTGTTTTTAACAAGTTTTATTACTAAAATTAATTTGCAAACAATGTGGCTCAAATTGTTTACAGTATTGTTAAGGATCATGTGCTTACAAATCTACAAAATTATATTACAATAAAAAAAAATAAGAAAAAAGACAAAGAAAACAAAATAAAACAGAATAAACAAATAACAGTAATTAAATGAGAATAAAGCTAAGGCGTTTTTTTGTAGTTCATGTTCTTCAATAATGTTGAAAAGTTTGACTGCATTACCTTTTTTTCATAAAGTTGAGGGCTTTGAAAAACATAATAAATTTGTGGTGAAATATATTAAGGTTTCATTGGACGAGCCCCCTAATTATTACGCTCCCCGGATTGCTAGGGGATGCGGGGATCGTTGCTCAAAGATGGATGGCCAGTCCTCGCCTTTACTTGAGAAGTTTATGAAAAAAAAATTCTGTAAACAATGTCAGCACTCTTGTCAATCAGATTTATTTACAGCTGTTCAGATTCACTAACTGTGTTTGTGTTTTACTCAGGATTAAAATCTGGATTAATACAAAAAATCTGGTTCATTGAGAAAGTCACACGGCTGCATCATTATGTTCTGTCGTTGTATGGACAAAAAGAGGACAAACATTTATTACTTTAACCATTAATTTACAACATATGAAGAAAATGGCATTTTTTTCAGAAGAATCCCTTTTAGGATTAATAATTTGGATTACTAAGTATTAACAGTGCAATAAAACTGGTTTATTGAGAGCCTCACACCGGGCACCATTTGTGGTGGGGTTTTGCGCAGCTAATATGTGGGTAACAATTATGTTGGGTTTGATATAGTCAAATTATATGAATTGATATGAATAATTATCCTTAAGTAATTATTAATATAAATTGTCAAAATTATTAGTGTGTGTGGATGTGTGTGAATTTGTTAAAGAGAGAGGAAAAGAGAGCATTCCTTAAGAGGCTGGATTATAGTTTAAACTCCCTGCTACAACTCGGTAGGAATTCACTTCACTAACAGAAAGAAGCCAATGGCCAAATTCAAGTTTAGACAGTGTTTACACTGATCTTTCTGAACATGAAGGTATTACCCTGGTTATAACGCTGTTTACGGAAAACACACAGGACGCGGCTGCCTGAATACAGAAACTAAACAAGGGTTTTAAACAGGTAAAACTCAGCGGTCCAATAAAGAAGTAAAAATGATGACTGTTTTCACATTAATAAAGCAAATATTAAACACACTATCTAAAGATAACTATGCCCAGACCTAAGCCTTACTTGTGAATTGCTTTTTCTGCGATAGGTGAAAGGGAAAGCTCGATGAGGGAGAACAGATCCTCTGTTCGCTCCAGGGCGGAAGAGTTCCGATAGCATCGGTGATCCCACATGGCACAAGCGGTGTTGTTTTTTTCTCCTTCGAGCGGGAAGACGCCGTTGATGTCCTGTTTGTTGCGGGATGGAACGAGACGTAATCTTTACAGTCTCTGGATATTCTTTGGTCATCTCTGCTCTTGTAGTGAGCTTTTCTTTCTCCAAATATGATCAAAGTTGGGTGATTTTTTTTATGTCTTTTTTCTAAACAGCAAGCAAATATGCTGGATAGATACACCTCGAAAGACTTTCCATTTTGGTCCTAAAATTTTACCCAATAAGCTAACGTCTCTTAATAACCATGCATTTAGTCTAGACTGACAGTCATCAATAACCCTCCACACATTTTTACTGACAGTTTCATCTGAATCGTTGGATATACAGTATATGTGCCTAAGTATTTCACCGTTGATTTAATAGGGATCTTGTGTGCATCTGGTAGATTGGCTTTATAAATTTGCAACAGCTCACATTTGTTCAAGTTCAGCTTTAGACCTGAGGCTTTGGAGAAAAGATCAATAGCATGCATAATTTTGGGCACTTCAGTCAGGTGTTAGATAAAGATGGTCGTATCATCTGCAAACTGGCTGATGATTATAGACTTCTCAAGAACCTCTAATAGAGTAATGTCTGAATGTTTCATAAATATAGATAGCATTTCAGTGGCTATTATAAAGAGGAAAGGAGAGATAGGACAACCTTGTTTTACTCCACACTTTATGGTAAATCGGGGTGAGTTACCACTTGGTAAAGAAACTGTACTATTTGTATTTTCGTGAAGAGATTCTATAATATTTCGAAATGTATTTCCAAAGCCTAAAAGTCTCAAGCATCTAAAAACGAATGGGTACTCAATTGAGTCAAATAACTTATAAAAGTCAAGAAATAAAATAAAGCCATTGTTTTCAATTCAACGATTATACTCAATTAGTTCAAGAACTAATGGAATATTATTGTGTACGGATTGGCCTTTCATGAATCCAGACTGGGAATCACTTATAATTTTATACAAATGTTTTTTTGATCTATTGACGTATGTCAGGGTTACAATTTTGTAGTCAGTGTTTAACAATGTTATTGGTCTGAGATTGACTCTAATTTTGGGATCAAAGATATTATGTCTTGTTTCATAGTGTGGGGAATGTCAAATTGTCAGTAGCTTCCTTAAAAATAAGAGATAATGGACTTTCTAACAATTCCCAAAAATGTTTATCAAAGTTGGCTGTCAGCTGTTTACTTATCCAAAGAAGACTAGAAAGATCTACTGCTTGTTTTTTGTTCATCTGAAGTAATATCAGCATCACATCATTCTGCAAACTCCTCGTCTATATGAGGAATAATAGCTGAGATATGGTTGAAGAAGGAGTCAGCATCCATGACAGAAAAGGCTGATGAGTTTACGATAGAAAGAACCTATTTCATCAGCAATCAAGACTGGATCAGAACTAACTTGGTCATGAACTAATAAGTTTGATTGGATTTCTTTCCTGCCTTCTTTTCTCTCATTGACAGAAATACCTTTCTCTCCTTCCTCCATCCATTTGGCCCTGGATCTTATGTTGGCTCCTTCAACTTTTTTAGATATCAACACGTTTTGTTTGTAGAATATGTCCTCTTTGCTTATCATCGACAGAAAGATGCCTTACTAAAGCAGCTGGTTATTTCTTTGATAATATTAATTGCTGATAATTTGTTACTTCTATTTAGAGATTTTTCCAAGTTTAATAGAGTACTCCCTAAATTAAAACTTCATGAATTCCCATTTAGAGATTTGAGAATTGATAGATTTATCTAGCAACCCATCAGATATAATGGCTTTTATATCTTCAGGAAAAGCATGGCATTGTAACAAACTAGAGTTGATTTTGCAGTAGCAGTTGTTTCTGTAACATCCACCAGGGGGCGTAAAAGACAGCTTAATGACAGAGTGATCAGTGAGAGGAGCAGCTGACATGCAACAGTCAGAAATATAATTTAACATTGGAGAGGAAATTATATAGAAGTCTATTCCCGAATTTGAGTACTGCAGTCCAAATTCAAAACATTGGAAAGAGCTGTCTCCCCCCGCCCCCTCCTCCCTAGAGTCAATGTGCAAGCAGGTTGCCATGTTGCGGACACCGTAACTTCAGTGTTATAAGACTAAGAGGATTAATTCATGGGATGAAGCAGATAACAGTTTTATTTGCACTTAAAGTTCATTTCACACACAAATCACATTATTCAAAAACATTCCCATTGAGAGAAACTTTCTTTATCTACTTTACTTTGTCTATATACAGCTATTCTCTAACTTTTAATACATTTTGAGCCTGCAGTTAAGTATTAGCATCGCTGCCCGTGAAATGACCCTGAACACCTGCAGCCAGATAATTAAGAGTTATAACTAAGATGAAGTTAAGACACTGAGACAAAGATAATATCTCTAATAAGGAACACAGGATCAAGGACAAATTCAAGATTCTTATTTTCATCTAAAAACAACAAACAAACAAATAACCTTAGAAAATTACTGAGTGCACAATTCAATTTAAACTTCAGAAGGAAATATCAAAGAGCTACCAACCTAAGACCTGAAGAGTTTACGAAATGAGCTTGAAAATGTGTGGAGGCTGGGCTGTTTCACGCTTACAGAGACTTTTAGTGGTGAAATCTTCAGTGGGAGTTTGTTTTGTGTGCCAACATATGGAAACAGTCTCTCAGTGAAAGTATGTCTGAAGGTGTGTAGGAGTGTGTTGGTATCAGGATCCCAGAATGACAGATTTCCTCTGTTGAAGTCCAGATGAACTCTGATCCTCTGTGGCTTCGTTTTGACTGAGAAAACTCTGTCAGGGAGCGGTGGAGAGAATGTACGGTATTGTCCTTCTAAGTAACACAATGCCCAGCAGCCACGTTGTATTTCTCCCTTCTTTCGAACAGACTCCTGTATCACACCTACTCCCCAGTTTTTATCATTTATAACCTCAGCTTCCCAGCTGTGACTCCCAGAGTCAAAGCCCTCAGAGCTCAGGACACAGGGGCAGAAATCAAACCTCTCTGGATTATCTGGAAGCTCCTGTCTGTCTCCATGACTCACTCCAGTCAGATCTTCAGACAGGATGAGGTGTGGATGAGCAGAGTTTGGATCCAGAATCACGGGAGTGTAGGAGACAAACTCTTTCATCTTGTTCCAGATGTTGAAGCTCAGGTTGCCCAGGTGTTTGGCCTCGTCTATCAGAGCTCCTGAGACCAGTTCTGGATCATCCGGCAGGGGGAGCTGCTTGACTCTTTTCACTGCAGCCTTGTAGTTCTGCAGGAATGAGATGTCATCAGCTCTCAGCTCGTCCTCTGTGGCTCTGATTGTGTCTGACAGAGCTGCTCTCTCTCTGTTCAGAGACTTAATCTTCTCCTTCATCTTCTGACTCTTCTGTTTCTCTTCCTCCTTCAGAGCAGAGATCCTGTGGTCCTCTTCTTCTTGTAGAAACTGGTGAAGCTTCTTAAACTGCTCCTTTATCTGAGTCACTGTGTTAAGTGTCTGGATCTTAATAAGATCTGCTGTTTGATCACAGTTTGCTTTCACCTTTTCAAATATTTTCATTTTATCCTGTAAGGGTTTCAGAGATTTCTGTATCTCCTCTCTGTGATCCTTTGCAGCTTCATCAATTGGTCTGAATTTGTGGTTGTTATGTTCTTTTGAATCTCGACAGACAAGACACATTGGCTGATGATGGTCGAGACAGAAGAGTCTTAATTTCTCAGAGTGCAGACTGCAGAGGGCCTCAGCCTCTGCTGAAGCTTTCTGAGCTCTCTGCTGTAAGAAGGCCTCACACAGGTTCCTTAAAGCCAAGTTAGGAGGTGGATTACTCAGAAAAGAGATTTCTTTACAAACCGGACACTCGTGCATTGGTTTCTGTCTCCACCACCTCGGCAGACAGTCTTTACAGAAACTGTGACTGCATAACAGAACAACTGGATCTTTAAAGATGTCTTGACAGACAGGACAGGAGAAATCACTCTCTGTTTGAGAAAACATTTTGTCTGAAGCTGAAAAAACAGACATGAAAAAAGAAGATAGTGAATCCAGAAAGTTCCCTCAAAGTAACTTTCGTAGCTCCTCAAAATCTCCTGTTTTTCTGGAATCAGCAGGTTGAAGTGAAAACAGTGCTCCAGTAATCCCAGGCTTTTCGCTGTATTCCCTTCGGTCTGTAGAGCTTTTTCTGATGGTGAATGTCGTAGACGACAGGCTCAGAAAGTAGCAGAATGTTTCAGTTGATACCATCATCTGTGAAATGAGGAACACAAATAATTGACACCCATCTGTTGCCACACATTAAAGTACCTGTTATGTTTGATACCGTTCTGACAGTGATGTCATAACACCGCCCAAATAGGAGGTCAGCTACAGCTTTTCATATGTTGTCTAACCAGTCCATCGCAGTTCCTTGAATTCCTCACCTCAACTCAACTCAACTTTATTTATATAGCACTTTTAACACAACACAGTTGATCCAAAGTGCTTTACATCACAGATAGAAGAAAACAAAGCATTAGAAAGTAACAGACAAGATCAACAACAACAATCAAAAAAAGAAAGAACAATTGACAGTCAAGTCCAGTGTAACACAAGACTAACAGAGCTATGGATTTTGTGCTTCACGGGTTATTGAAAATTGGAGGCAATTGAGTATAAATATGTCTTAAGGCGAGTTTTAAAAACACCAATAATGAGAAGGATGTCTGGAGGCAAAGAGTTCCACAGTTTTGGTCCTGCAATAGAAAAAGCACAATCCCTGTTGCACCTTGTCCTGGATCTATTGGACAGAAGGTTTTGTGCTGATGACCTAAGATCTCTCACCGGCTGATATGGGGACAGGAGTTCTGAGAGGTAGGCAGGGGCGAGTCCATTTAATGCCTTAAACACAGTCAACAGTTTTTTAAATCAATCATCAGCTTGACTGGTAGCCAGTGTAAGGAAGCAAGAACTGGAGTGATTTGATCTCTTCTTTTTGACCGTGTTCGGACTCTGGCTGCTGAATTTTGTATGAGCTGTAGACGGGATAGAGATGAGTGAGTGATACCAAAAAAAGTGAAGCATGCATGAAGCTTAATTTTACAACCTGATCTATTTGTTTGTTGACTTTAAGAGCTGAATAAAATATGATGCCAAGATGTTTTTTTTCCTGAGATTTAACGGACTGGGACAATGGGCCGAGATGAGGTGAAATTGAGTCTACCAAGTTCTGTGGACCAACCAAGATAACCTCAGTTTTATCGTTGTTGAGCTGGAGGAAGTTTGTGGCCATCCAAGATTTTACGCCTTGAAGACAATTTGTGCTTTGGCTCTGCCGGGCTCTATCTCCTAATCCTGTTTTAGACTTGCTATCCCTGTTGAGCCACCTTGCTCAGCCTGGTTGTGTTTAAAAGCATTTGGCCCGATCTGGATCTGTTTAACCCAGTTTGGTCTGCTTAAATAAATCTAACTTTGTCTCCTAATCCCTGTTGGCTCTTCCTTTGCTCAGTTCAGCTCTGCCTGGATCACTTCATGTCTGCAGTTTACACCATTTACCCCTGTCTAGCTCTGATTGGCCCAGTTTGGCCCTGCCTGGTACTTTGGACAACATTCCTCTAAAGCTGCAGATTTAGAGACGGAGGAGGAGGAATCCCTGACGTTCCCATTGGCTTAGGAGTTTTTCAGGCTCACTCTGATTGGCTAGTGGAGTGTGAGAAGGGATTTCCTTTAGGGCTCTTTCTGTCTTTGTCTCAGATTAAAAACACAATCAGTCCAGTCAGGCCTCACTTCCCCAGGTAGTCCTCGAGAGTCGATCTGGTGCTCAAACACAGTCGTCATCAACAGTTTAAGTGTTCAAAAGACAACAATAAAGAATCTGCAGCTACAAGGTCTGCAGCTGTAACATAAGAAGTACCTGTAATATTTAGCAAAGCATGGTGATTTTGGGAGCTCCTGTTACACTTTGTGGTGACTTGGAAGTTTTCCTTTAGGGGCGTGTTGGAGCAAAATAAGGAGGTGAAGAAACCTGCAGAGTTCAAGTTGCAGAGGGTGGAGAAAGAAAAGTGGAAGAAAAAAACTGAACGAAAAAGACTTGGAGAGCTGAGAAGGAGAAAGGTGAGCTCTGAGTTTATCTAAATACAAAAAGGGAAACCTGAGCTTTGAATCTTCAGTGCAGAGGAGAGAAAAAGACGTAGCAGTGAGAGTTAGAAGTTATGAAATAGGGTGATGTTTGACAGCAGGAATGAGATGAAAGTCTAGACGGTGAAAGTGCAGTGGGCTGTGGAGAGCCGGCGGAGCAGAGCGGCGGCAGGAGCGACTGTGGGCGGGGAGAGAGGAAGTGTGGTCGACAGGAGAGGAATTTAAAGTCCCATTGTTCTGGAAGAGCTGAAGAGAGAGAGAGCTGAAGAGAAGAAGAGTGAGAACACCGACAGAGAGACAGACAGACAGCGGACAACATGGACGTGAGCTCAGCCATGGAGAAGGTAGGACAGATACACCTGCATCTAAAACAGCTGCAATTCTTGATACTATCAGCTTAAAGGAAACACAAAGCAGCAGTTCTTCTGACATCTGATGATGGAGATCGAGAGAAACTTCTTGAAATAAGAATCTTTATAGAGCTGAAAAAAAGTCATGAAAGAGCTTAAAAAATCTGAGCTGTTTAAATTGTTGAGAAAATCTGAGCTGTCAGCAGCAATTCAGATGTCTTAACAGGTTTAACTTGGATTATAAAAGGTAAGATTTACATGATATAAAACCTCATCACTGCTGTTTTTCCAGCTATAAACATGACTACTAATTTTTTTCCTTAATGGCCATTTTGCAAACACAAATACACAAATGTTGAGAATAAATGATCAAAGCAAAAATGCACATGAGATAATTTGAGGGAAGAGTTTACAAACCGCCTGTCTGCAGAGTCGTTTTCATTCACAAATGTTTATTGCTTACCCGGCGCAAAGGATGAACTGAGAGTTAAGCATTCAGCTACAGGAGGTGGTGTTCTGTGTCGAATGCCTTTTATCAATCATGAGTTCATGGTTTGTTATTACCTCAAAGCGATCACAAAACTGAACACTGCACTAAAGGAAACTCTGCCTAAAGAGAGACTTCTTGTACGATATAGTGAACTTTATGTGCAATACTCAAGTGCATTATCCTGTTTTTTTAACTTTAAGGGTGCAATACTCCCATTCCATATCACTGCTTTTAACTGCTACATCATGTCTATGAATATGTTGGTCTGTGTGTGATTTTTAAATTCATTAAAAAAAAAAAAAGTTTTAGATTTCAGCGCGTTCTATTTCGCTTTGCATAAACCTGCATTTTAAGTTTCTGTACAGTGACAATAAACTTTTTAGTCTCTTGACCTAGAGCAACTTTGTACGCAAAACGATCATGTACGATACCGTACTATGGCATGCCATACCATACATTTATTGTCCTCTTGTGGAAATTTGTCTTGGACTCAAAGTGCTGCCAAACATTCAGCTGCTTCCTTTAGAATCAATAAATAGAAACACACCCACACATAAACAGAAAGGCTCATACCAGTGCAAACACACAGCATGAGAGATAAAATAGTGAAGGTAAGAAAATGTGATAGACGACACTGAAACTCTTGAGTTGATACGGGGGTTAAAGTGATTATATGCCCACATTCAAGATACTCCTCTTGAATTAAAGAACTATGGATTTTAGCAGCCAGTTCAACAGTCATGTCAGAGATGAACTGCTGTAAAATGTTTTGGATGTAACTTTTATTTTCACATCTTGTAGATACGATCGTCCAAAATAGTAAAAGCCAAAACAAAAATCTGCTGAGGAGACAAACTTAAAAGATTAAATGGATTTGTAGGAGTTTATTTGTCCTTAAATATGCTCATGAGGAGTTTTATTTCAAGAAGAAAAGGTGCAACAGTTAGCGGCTAAATCGTGATGGTGTGATGACAGAATATCTCTGCCTTGTTCGGGATCCGTCCTTTACAAACAGCTGGAGATTTATAGTTCAGTCAGGATCACGAGGACCCGATCCCCAACTCGCTGGGTCTGTTCTGGCAGGTAAGTACACTTTGTCCCCAACAGATTCCCCTTCTGTAATTCGTCCAATCAGTCGGAGGCAGATAAACTGATGGATCAGTGTCACCTGTCGAAGGTTTGATCCCCACATGTCCCTCTTTATACCCCGGAGCTGGAAAAACTGCCATCACCAGGATGGAAATAACTCCCAACAAACACACACACTCACACACACACACACACACACACACACACACACACACACACACACATACACACACACACACACACACACTGATAAACACACATACACACAACTGGCTTCATGTATCACTTGGACATGTTTACGTTGACATGTGCTGCAACCAACTTTTTTTTCAGTCTTTCTTCACAATCACCTGCTCGAGCTTTTGAACAAATTTATTGTCTATCAAATTCGATGAAGATAATTTTCTGCCCCCCAACCCCCCTGACTCATCATTGCATAATTGAAAAAGAGTAAGGTCTGTTACCTGCTTTTTTGTAAAGTGTCTTGAGATAACATTTGTTGTGAATTGGCGCTATACAAAAAAAAGATTGATTGATTGCAGGGCTGCTTGGTGGTGCAGTGGTGAGTGCTGTCCCCTAAGAATGCTCTTTCACTGTGGAAAGAGTATTGTATTGTATTATATCTGGAGAATAACAGGAAATATCCAGGATGCCATGTGGACATTTTTTAGACTCACACTCAGGATGTTAACTGCATCAAGTCTCCACCTCTTTGACCTACAGCTTCTTATCTCACAGCGTTTCCTGAAGTTTCCCCTTCACATAGCCAACGTGTTTAGAATTACTCAGCGAGGCTCAGCCGATCCAAATTCAACATACTCGCCTTATCAGACGACTAAATATAGAGCCGCCACGCTTTCCCCGTTTCTGAAGAAATGCTTTCCTTGCTTGGCTCATATTTATCTTTTGGCAGTTCTTATTTGGAGCAACTAATAAATACTTTTCAGTGTTAGCGATAATGTAAACGCCATCAGATTTAACTTGAGGTTGTTAGAGATAGACTAAACACACACAAAGAGGAGTTCCAGAGAAGAAACGCTGAAATAGAAAGCGTCAAATCATCCTTCATTACAGATTAAAGATGACATCAGAGTTTGGTTACCTTGGACACCAGAAGTGGTCAAAGAAAGAAATGTATAGGAGGACTTTTTGCAAATTAGTTGTAGTTCAATTCTTGTCGCATGTTGAAGTTCAACAATAATATTTAAATCCAAAAGTTGTTTGCATCTGTCTTGGGAATTTGAGACACATAACCCTCGTTGATCGTCTTGTCTTGTTTCCTGTCGTCTCTTTATTTATTTTTTCTCTCCATAAAAGGCAATAATGACCCAAAGAGACAGAGTCATGCCTCACATCATGTCAGCTTTGTCATGACTGGTTTGAGGCTGAGTAATCGGTTTGTTTCTTGATCAGACAAACCTCCGAGTCACATCTGCGCTTCCTGTAACTCATGTGGTTCTCTTTTACCTAGTGGTCGAGCTTACAAGGAAGAATACCACAGGTTGAATTTGAACCCAGGCCACTCGCTTCGAGGACAGCAGCCTCTGTACATGGAGGCGCACTAACCACTCAGCCAACAGCGGCCCATAATCATGTATTTCACTTGAAAGCTTAAGCCAGGGTCATTTTCTCCTGTTTGAAGACTTTGTGCTTAGCTAGGTTAGAAAGTTGGTCAAGATGTTGAATCATTGACGCGAAAGTACTTCAACTTTATTTTTATCCAAAGGAAATTAGATCTGCAGCATGCAGCCTGACACGACAGGTACACAAAAGATAACATCAGAAAATACAGACCACAGGTGAAGTGAAAATCAGGTACTTCACACTGAGCCAGAGGCTGAAACAGTTCAGATTCACAGCAAAGTGCATCAAGTACCAAAACCAAATACAAAACACCCTCAATGCAAGTCGCCTAAACAGGGTGTGTTTATATTTTTGACCATGTTTTTATTTAATCTTCAAATTATTCTCCACACCGATTTCCATGCTACCTTTGGCTTGTGCTGCCCGTTGCTTTATTGCTCACATTGATGTCTCGTGGGTTTAATTCTTGAAGGATGTTATCAGAGGAGAGAGAGAGGAACACTCGCCAGCTCAAAGAGCAGACAGATGAGTGTGTTCAGACGAGAGAAATGAAGAGTGTGTAGGAGGCTTTAAGAGACTGTTGATCAGCTTGTGTTGAGAAGGTCACAGCGATGATGACTGAACACAAACAGCTGAAGAAAAAAAAACTTCAGTACATCCCTCAGGAATACACTGACTGACAGAGTGCGTGTTCATTGTTGTGTTGCTGAGAGGACTGATGTTAAGAGTCTCTCGGACTGCGTCAGTGTTTCTCTAACAAGGGCTTGTCTCCAATTACCAGAGAGTTGTGGAAATATTGCTCAGTAGAAATAATACAAATTATGGTTTAATTCAAAAAATATATGCATGTAAATCAAAGTTCACTGTGTGATGTGTTTCTTTTTTTTCGTTCTTTTGTTTTTCGTTTAAATAGTACAACCTTTTATGTTAGAAATGTGCCCCCCCCCCTGTACATTACTGACCTCCTTAGCCCGTACACTTTATCTACTATGGGCCTCCTGGCTGTCCCTCACTCCCGGCTCAAGCTCAGATGAGATCGTGCTTTTGCAATCAAAGCCCCTAATCTGTAGAACATCCTTCACACTTTCATCAGGTCTGCTCCCTCTGTTGACTGTTCGAAGCCCCGCCTCAAAATGTATGTTTACGTGTAAGCATCTGAGTCCTCTGTTCTTGAACAGACCGCTTCTCTCAGGTTTTCTTTGGTCAGCTGCTGCTGGTTTTAAATGTGCTTTATGAATAAATGTGACTTGACTTTGCAATGAGGCATTTTATTGAGGATTATGTGTCAGACATTTTCTCTGTTGGGATTGTGAGGTGGAGAAAAAACAAGTTTACCAAACGAAACAACAAACGTTATTTTAAGCTGCGACATTCACACCGTTATTTGGCTTGTTTGGCTTGGGTACAGTTTGTCTTTTCCTGCTCTTTTCCTGCTCCGACATGAAAATGTCCCGATGCATGAAGCAGAGTCCATACATAGATGTTTTGTTTTTACCACCCTGGATTGAAAGATCTTGACTTGGTGTGTCCTACAATCGAGGACAAAATAAAGTCTAAAGGCGTGTTTATCCTTCAACATAAGTCAGAAATACTCTTGTGGCTAAATAGGAATAAAAATCCCCGCAATGTATTCTTCTTTAAAGCTTCTGTCTCTCTATTTATCCTATGTGCATGAGTGTCTCCCTGAGGAGGGATGAGCTTGTTAATACCTGCTGACAGACGGACAGGTGGGCAGTCTGTCAGCAGGTTGTTTTAGGAGAACAGTCATCGGGTTTCCTGCCAGAGGCTTTCAAAACTGTCAGTCTCCTGAATGGTGTTTGGCTTTTTGCATAGACCTTTTGTGTGTGACTAGTTTATGTGTTTAGTATGTCTCAGGTTGTCAGGTACGGCTTCATGTTGCACTGATTTTAAGACTGACTTCATGTCAGGCAGGAAATTGACACACAGTTGTTCTTACTATGTTTCTTTGTTGCCGTCTGCTCCAGTGAATCAGGACCTTTGAGGCAGAAAGTGGGTAATGTGGAAATGGTGTGCCCCCAAAACTTCACTCTTGTCCTAAAGGGATGCACATACATTACGAGTTACATGTTCTCATGATGTCAGTGATGAACTCAGGAGTTTGTTTACACTTTTGCCGACGTCCTCCTTCTGTCGCTTTGGACAGTTTCTTTCCAGATTTGATTTGGATTCTTCCACCTCCAAATGTTGCTGTTTCACTCGTCATTTCTTTTCCACATCCATCAAGCATCTTATTTCCAATTAGATAATGTGTTTTATGAGTGAGGTGCACAGAAGAGTCCAGATTTATGTATTAGCAGAAACACATCTTCATGTCTCTCCCTCCAAAACTAACTGTCAGATTAAACAGCTTGACCTGGGTCTGTGATGAAGACTAAGCCCATCTTCTTCTTTTGGACGAGTTAGAAACACAAGAACATGTCCATGTTTCTGTCATTTTTTCTCAGTAACATGAAGCAGAAGAAATGCCTTTTATTTTTATTATTATTATGGCTAACTTAAAGTTATGTTTAAGTACATTTTAGGTCTGTTTTTATGCAACTTGCCCAATGGCCACACAGAAATGCAGAACCTTCCTATAACTAAGAGACAAATCCAAATTAAGGTGCAAAACCGTAATTTCCCTCAGGGATTAATAAAGGATATCAAAATTAAATGTATTGCAACTGTTAAAGTTAGAGTTATAGTACTGGAAATTGGAGTGGAATTGGAATTTTGAAGCTCTTGGTTTTGTCTCGGTCTCAAATTGGGTGGACTCTGGATGGTAAATCAAAACCGGTCAAGACCAGCACCAATAAGCTATTTTTCCACGTCAAAAAAAAAAAAAAAGCATTTCTGTCTCAGGTATATCTTTGTGTGGTCTTGACAACAACAGTAGTTCATTTATAACGTTCTTGATCTTGAGAGTATTCTTTGTCCAACCTAAACTCTTAATTATATGTCGTGGTCGTCATCTGTGCATGAAAAGCTTTGAAGTGGAACATGAGTTCAGTTTTTCTTTAAATTGAAGTCAGGTTTGTTCAGGTTAAACACTCAAGAAAAAGTAAACAAAAGACAACAATTTAATATGTACGTCATGTTTGTATGTCAAGATGAGGCAAAGTGAGGACGAGAAGAGAAACTATAGAGAGGAGTGAAAAGAAAGCAGAGTTTAAGATAAGCTGAAAGGCGAGATAAGACGGTTTGTTAGTACTGTGATGATGATGATGTCACTGGGTGGATCGATGAGCTCATCCAAGCTGCACGTTTGCATGTTTGTGTGTCTGTGTGTGTGTGTGTGTGTGTGTACATGTGTGCATGAGTGCATTTTATCCCTCCCTTCTCTTCCTCCCACACTCTGAGAAAAGTAAAAACAACATCTTTTCTTTTTCATCCAACACTTCCCCACTTGTCAGAATGATCACCGTCACCTCGTGCTGTTGTACAAATAACTGAGCTGAACTTATTTGACTTCAGATACTTTGTCAAAGTTAGGATAAGCAAGTCAAACCTCTTCTCTTAAAGACTTAATTTTACTTGAAGAACAAGTGAAAGAGGCAGAATTTACATGAATTACAACAGAAACATCTTTTCATGATTGTGCTTTGGGGAGGCTGTGGATCAGTGGCAGAGTCGGTCGTCTCTCAACTGGAAGGTCAGTGGTTTGACCCCCAGCTCCTGGCTGCAGCCACATGTCCAATGTGTCCTTGGGCAAGACACTTGCCTTGACCCCCTGCTCCCGGCGTATGAATGGATTAGTTAATACTGATGGTAGGTTGCAAAGTCATAGTTTAATTACTTATAAACTCTCAGAAATGACTTTAAACAGCTGGTGAATTCAGTTTTTTGTACGTCATTCATATAGGAGAAAAAGGTGTATTTGTTTGGGACTAATTAAAACACATTCTGTGCTTTAGTGAGTCCAGCAGCAGGACAGAGGAGGTGGTTGGGCTAAGTCAACACAAAGTACACAATATGTATGTCGTGTTTATTCTTTGTGAAGAAGAAACTGTAACAGTGTGACTCATTGATATGTTTTAAACAGTATTTGTTTACGACACAGAGGAATAAAAAAGAGAATGAACAACATTAACGTGCGTCATATGAGTGACAGAAAAAATATTTAAAGGTCACATATTCTCGTCCTCTTCAACAAATTTAAATAAGTCTCAGAGCTCCCCAAAACATGTGTGTGAAGTTTCTTGTTCTAAATCCACTCTGATCCTGTATTTGATCATGCCTATAAACCCCTCTATTTAAGCACTGCTCAGAACAGACTGTTTCTGTGTCTGTACCTTTAAATGTAAATGAGCTGTGTCTGGCCACGCCCCCTCTCTGGAAGGGCTTGGGTGGCCCGGGCTTTCTCGGTCCATGCCCTATTGTTTACGGTAAGAAGGCAGATTCAGAGGGCAGAACAAACACCTAGCTGTGGGAGTGTCACCCACCTGGGGGGAGGGGTTACTGACCTTTGTGATGTCATGAAGGGAAAATCTCCAAACGGCCTGTTGGAGCACACATTTTCTGAAAAGTGGAGCAGGCAGAAGACGGAGAGGATATACTTTTATCATCATTGTAGACAAATGTAGGACACATACTAATGTTAGAGAAAGTGTTTTCTCTGTTCTTGTCAGTCTGTTATGATCTCTGCTTTTTTTTTTTTTTTTTTTTTTTTACCAGCTTTATGTAGAAATGTAGAAATCGTGCCAACTTTACGTTACTGCACCAGAGTTATAGAAATTCTCTGAGGTGTGACATGATTGTGTTTTTTTTCTCTTGTCTCCTCTCAGATGTCAGTGAAGCAGACTGCGGGAGGCTCATATCTCGTATGTAAGCAAAGGTGTTCTGGACTCCAGCCACATTCTTGGAGGTATACAAATGTTCCCTGTTTTGCTGTTGTTGCACTTTTATTTCATAAAAAAAAGAAAAAAAAAGAAAGATAAGAAAAGGGGGAAAAAATGCCTTGAACTCAAAACAGAGCTTGTGGTTTCGCCACTATTCCGTCTTTCTTCCACCGAGTCTCCACACTTTTAAAGGGAGAAGTTTTGAAATTAACTTATTAATGAATGTGTTCTTAATTACTGCATTTAAAAGGTTCTATCATAAGAGATTACATCACCCTATGAACACAACTGTCAGTTGTAAACATTGTACTCCAGGTTTAATTTATCTGCACTAAAGTTTGGAGGTTGGACTGGTTCCAAGAGGAGTTTACACGAGCGAGCAGCTTACTGATACAATCCAAAGAGGCAACAAAAGCTGTTTCTAAATTCAGAGGATGCATCCTTCGAAGTGTGCATTAAAGACGGATCGCATCGTTAAAAATGGTGTCCATTGGGGCGCTGGTGGCGCAGAGGTCAGTGCGTGCGCCCCATGTATGGAGTCTATAGTCCTTGAAGCGGACGGCCCAGGTTCAAATCCAGCCTGTTGCTCCTTTCCTGCATGTCATTCCCCACTCTCTCTCTCTCTCTCTCTCCCTCCCTGATTTCCAGCTCTATCCACTGTCATATTTCAAATGCAGCTGACAAATGCGTCCTACTTTTCGTTGGTCACAAAGGATCGACCCGGTGCATCCTATCCTTCTTGACCCAACCCATCCTTTTAAAAACATTTTTCAACACCATGTGCTTTTTGACATCCTGGGATTCATTGCCAGCAATTCAAACAAGATGGCAGACTTTCAAGCTGCTGATAATACATGTCTGTTTTTTAGAGGATAAGACTGTGACTAGAGTAGGAAACCCAGGTGAAGGAGTGGGGAATGACGTGTGGTAAAGTGCCAAGGGTAGGGGTTGAACCCAAGTCGCACGCTTGGAGGACTGTAGCCTCTGTACATGGGGCGCCCGTCATAACCGCTAGGCTATCCGACAATCTGCGTTTAAGTGTGAGTTATTAGTTTCAACTCAGTCAAAAAGCTAAGAAATAACTGTAAAAAAAAACAAAAGGAGCTTTGAAACTTTAAATCATTGGTCAGTTTAAGTAACGTTAGTTATGATAGCTTCTTCTGCAATAGTTGAGGTTGCTAGGCAGCAGGAGTGTCACTTAGTAACCAAAGGGTAAAGGTGGGGACACCTGTTCAGCAGTCTATGCAGGCTACTCAGACTGACTACTCTGGGAGTTGTTACTCCTGAACTGTTCCACAGCTGAAGTCTTTAAATCTCTCTAAACTGGGTCTGAGTTTATTTTTTTTATCTCTCTTCAACAGGAAAGCCTGCATCGCCTGCGGCTGCAGCACAGTCGACCACGCTCCTGGAAATGATGTTGAAGATGATCAGCGAATGGGACGCCTGCTCGCAGACTCACCATATGCCCATTTAACAGCAAAGGTCAAAGGCGGTGGCGGCCTACGCATGTACAAGAGGAACCGTATGATTGTGACCAATCCTGTGGTGTCGCGTAAAGACCCAACCTTCAACACCACGACTTATGACTGGGCGCCTGCCGGCCTCAACCAGACGCTGGTGAGGATCAGTGTGAAGTTCAGGAGGTTGGTGGTTCTGCACAAGGCTGTAGTCTGTAGGGCCGTGTCGCCCTATGAAGTCACATTTAGAGATATATCAAGTGTAAACTCATTTCACACTGAAAATGTTACTGACATGGGCCACCACGTTTTAGTTTTCTGGTTCTGTGTGACATCCATCTCAGGACTCATCGGCTCCTGTCCGATGTAGATCAAATCTGTCAGCAGCGGCCAATGGTTCTGGGCTTCTGGTGTAGCCAGCATCTGTTTGCACAAGCAATAATAGATGTACGGTCTGCTTTTCTGCTCTCTACACACAACCAAAGCCCACTAAAACAAGACTGAACAACACCGCTCAAACTCCAAACCAAAAACAGAAGACTTTGACTCCAAAGTATTTTCTTTTTCCGTCTCCTAAAGATCCTACTTTCGTAAAAGGCTAAAGTTTAAAGAGATTATACAACGTTTAACTGGTTTCAATTTAACATTTGGGGTCGGGTTTGTTTATGATCTCTTGTCCCACATGCTCATAAATAAAGCCAGTGAATAGTTTGAGCTCAAACTTTTACAACTTCTAAAATGTCTATTTAATTCATCCATAAATATGCATATTTACATCCTAAATAAGCGCCTTCATTCTGCTGGTTGGTTTATGTCAGGTCAGTATCTGCAGCGCTTATTGTGTGTCAAACGCCCTAGGCCGTCTGGTTTCCATTAAAAACAGACTCGAGTATGTTTCAGGTTTCAGAACCTATAATTATGAGGATGACAGTGATTATTGAGCCCTGCAGCACAGTGGGGGGAGTCAGGGGGAACGTTCCTGTGGTTGAACTACGACTGCTCTCTTGTTTGTTTGTTTCACTCATCCCGTTACTCATAATCTGCTGAGAGATGAACATTGCAGCATATAGAGTCTGATTTTAGAGCAGCTAAATGTTAGTCAGTATGTGACTGTGGTGATGTCATCTGACAACACACTCAGGTGTCACTGAAACACCTGGAAGGTGTGATGAATAAACCTGAAACACAGACTGTTTTCCAGCACCCACTTGTGGGTCCCGAGCCACCATTGAGAACCAATGGCCTCGCGGATATGTTGCATGCCCCATGAACAGAGGATTGAGTCCTCATCACAGCGGCTGCGGGTTCAAATTCAACATGGACCCTTTGCTGCATGTCATCCCCCCCTCTCTCCTCCCAACATTTCCTCTATCTCTTCAGCGGCCCTCTCCAATTAAGGCAAAATCGCCTGCCCCCACCCCCCATGATTTAAGTTATTAAACTTTTTTTAAATTTTTTGATAACACTTTTTATAGCAAGACTTTATAAACTATGAGATTCTAAACTTGTACTTAAGTAAAACATTTCAATATTACTATCCACTGACTTGAACGGAAAATTGTCTTAAAAACATGTCAAAAGAAGCAGTTCCTTTCTTTGCCTGCAGGTGGCTACATCAACATGTCTACGTCTACACCTGCAGGTCTAAGTTTCTGCAGTTGTTTTAATATCAGGTTTATAACTGAGCTGCAAATGGCAAGACAGCTCCCTGTTATGGTGAATCTGTAGCCAGAAACATGTAAATGAGTGAATTTGTTTTGTTTGGCAGTGAATGAAAAGTTTTGCTGGTTGGTTGTAATTTAGTAAGTGACTGTTTAAGTAACATACCAGATCTTCCCTCGTCCATGATCTTCTGTCAGGCGATGCAGTACATGGAGCTCATCCCAGAGAAACAAAGTCCTGTTTCGGGAACAGATGGAGCGCTGGAGCGACGCAGGCAGCTCTTCAGTCAGCTCCCGGTCTACGACAACGACCCCATGAAGTGTCAGAGCCTGACAACTGAGGAGGAGGTACCCCAATAATACCTTATATCTCACTGACTATGCAAAAATGTATTCCTGTGGTAGAAGCTAATGTTAGGGTCAGCTGTGTGCTATAGTCAGATTTTCCTTTGGTCAGTTTGTTAAAAGTTGACTCTGATGTCTTATATCTTCTAGATTTCCTCCATGCTGCTCTTTGTGAAGCACTACAAACAGGAAGTGCTCGGAGTCGGGGAGGTGGCCTTGCCTGGCGAGGGCGGAGCTCTGAGGGAAGCAGCCATTCAGAGGACGGCAAAGGAGGCCAAAGATCGCAGCAACAGCGACAGGAAGGATTCTCTGGAGCACCAGGGACATGATTCGACCAATAACAGCTCTGCACCTGCTTCTGGTCCCACTAACGGAACAGATGGCAGCACCAAGACTGAATTTGTAAGAGAAAAAACACATCAGACATCTTTTTAGTTTAGGTTTTTAGTAGCTGGTTGCAGCCTCATGGAATGCATTTCCAGTCCAGTTAATTTGTGCAGTCATTAAGATGGTTGCCATGGACCATTTAAATGTTTGCAGGCTCTTGTTGCCGTGCTATTAAACCAACTTTTGGTTCATTGACTCTTTTCAGGTTGAACAGTTTTCACTTTAAGGTTGAAATAGATAAGGAGCCCCTCACAAATTGTTCAGTTTTAGTTACATGGGCCTCTTTTGTTTCTTGCAGATTTTGTAACACTGCTGTAATTTTTTTTACCCCTCTCACTCAGAGCTAAAAATACATCTGAGCTCCAGTAGTTTGGTACAAAACCTTTTTTTCACTCTCATATTCTCTCCTTCTTCTCTCTCCCGTAGCATTGCTCTGGTTGCCTTAAAGAGGTTGCCAAAGAGAGTCCAGCTGTTTATGCCGAGCGAGCCGGTTACAACAACGCCCTGTGGCATCCCACTTGCTTCAAATGTTCAGAGTGTGGCCTGGGATGCGTGGACTTGGTCTACTTCTGGTCCAATCAGAAGCTTTTTTGTGGAAGACACTACTGTCAGACGGTCTGGCCGAGATGCTCAGGCTGTGATGAGGTGAGATGACGTCACTGTAGACCTCTTGTTAGCATGACTAACATCAGATAGACACACGTAGAAATGTGTCAGTGATGAGGAATGAATGGGAATTAGACTTTGCCCAGGAAGTCATGTTCCCAGAAGTTTGATCCTATGACTTTGCTCATTCTCTGACTTTACTTCTAGTTTAGGTTTAATTGTATTGTCAAAATGGTTTATGACTAAAAAACATCAAGGTATAATCAAGACCTGGATACTAAACCAATGATGGCTGTGCCAAGAATTCATATGCTTAAAAAGTTTCAAACATCTTGGTTCAGTTAGACGCAAAGTATGCAGCCCACAGAATATGTGAATTAGTGGTTTGGAGAATTGTGCCCCAGTAGTCATTTTGCCCGGAGCACTTTGATGGTTTTGCACATTTTTGATGGCTTTTCTTTTTATTGGAACGTTTTAAAAAATAACAAACTTCCATGACTCAGACACTGAAAAAAGTCAAAACGGACCTGGTCTGCACTTGAAGGTATCCTGTCAGCTGCTTTTACAGACATATATTTTGTAATGGGGATTTGTAGGGGAAAGGTTGTTTTTTTTAGCCGCAGGTGCTGCTGCAGTACCACAAGTGTCCACTGGGAAAAATTGGAAGCAAGCTATGCCCTAGCCAGGTCTTAGTTAAATATACCCATTTAAAATACCTGCCTAAAATGAATTATATTCCCATTAGCTCAGTTGCACTTTGTGTGTTTACAGCTAATTAGCAAAAGTTAGCATGCTAGCTAACTAAACAAATATAGTAAATTGTAGAGACATTAGCATGTGCTGAGGAACATCCTTACAGAGCTGCTAGTATGGCTACAGACTTTTCTTCACAGTTGAAACAGTGTCAAATGTAGTTTAACAATGTCACAAATATGCTAAAGTTTAAGTCTTGTGGTCTTCCACCTCGCCTGTTACAGAAGCTATTTGTTTGGAACAAAAGGGTGAAAGTAGGATTAGTCTACTGTGTCCTCATAATCTGTGATATGTGTGCTGTATTTTACTTTTGGTAATTCAATTAGTGCATCTACATGGACTTGAGTATCCCACTTATGAGTCTTATCCTGGTTTTAATCATATTTAGGCGATGGTGTTTACATGCACACAGAGAAACCTTGTTATTCACATCCCTTTGTTCATGATAAATACTAGTATCCTGGTTTCTGATTACTGCATCTTATTTGAGCAGGCGTCTGTCTGTTTTTACAAAACAAACTGCAGCAAATTTGAAAGATAAGAAAATTGAGACCGCTGTGGCTTATTGCAGGCTTAGCTGTATTAAATGCTAACATCATGCTAGCATCACGTAGCAGATATGGCGTATCCAACTCATTTTCAGCAACGGTCGCTCCAGAAATAAGACCCACTCTTTGCTGCCGCCATGTTTGATTTGCTTATAGATCACTTGGCTGAGGCTGCACCTTGGCAGGTAGTCAGAAACCAAGGTAAGGGGTATATAAGCCAAACAGGCCACAGTCTCCTTTTTTCTTTCAGAGATTAGCAGGTAGCAAAAGTTCAAGTTCACATAATCATACTCAATGACAGAAATTGTTTTCATAGTTTAAATATGTATAATTTATTTTCTTCTCAACCTCCCCTCCCCCCTCTTTCCTTTTGTTCTTCCTCAGTTAATCTTTTGCCCGTCCTTTCATACATCAAAAGATGGCCAGACGTGGCATCATGAACATTACTGTTGCTGGAAGTGCGGGCAACACCTGGATACACCGTGTCAGCACTGAGACGCCGCCTGTCAGCACTGAGACGCCGCCTGTCAGTACTGTATTAAACCCAGTTTGTTGTTCGGATTTAATAAGTTTAAGCGCTGCACAAGAGCAGAAGTACAAGATGCTAAAGAAATATTGAATCAGTACTGACATTTTTTTATTTTTTATGTGAGAGAACACAAAAGATTTTTATTACAGGAAATCTTTTTTCAGCAGTGGTTGGTTGGATTCTCTTGTAATAAACTAGTGAACAAAGTGAGAGCTTAAATATTTGGTTGACATTAAGTATTCCAGATGAATCTTTATGAGTTATTATTGATGTTTAAAATGCTTAAAGTGACACTGAAGTTCTCAAATATGTGATGTCAGTTAAGCCCACAAGTGTTTGAAGTACTTCAGGATATGTTTAAATGACACAAAGTGTTTAAAGTACATCTGGACATTTTGAATTTTTAGCACTTCAATAGCCGACAGTGAAGAGAGCCAGATGTTGTGGTTTCAGTCTGCAGAGCGTTGGAAACAAACTGCGGTTTCAGAGGAGGAAACAAATGACACAAAACTGAATGGAGTAGTAAACAAGATTAAAACTGTAATGTTACTAAAAAATCAACAATAGCAAGATTTATACAACAAAAAATTACTTGTGTGCTTTTATCCAATGACTGACTGAATGGTTGATTATTTTAAATATTTAAAATGCCAACTCTCACAAACTTTATTATAAGTTTTAATCAAACAGATGATGTTCTAATTGCATTCATTACTGAGCACTTTGAGGATCGACTGCCCCCTAAAAGAAAAATGTGCAACTTTTTGATCCAGTAGATCCAGTAGATAGTTAATCCCGTCCTTGAGCACCAGCATGAAACCAAAACAAATTGCTGTTGGACCACACCTCCGCCATACTGAAGCCCCTGCTCTCCTACAGCGATACACCTCCAACCCCTCTACACTCGCATTTGAACGAAGGAGTTATCAAATTGGAACACATCATAATTAAGCACTAAGCGCAAGCGGCAGACAAAGTTGTCCTTGTCTCGAGCTGCATTATTGTGTTAGCAGGCTAACGTTAGCGCTCTTTAGTTAGCTCGTAGCTTCACATTGCATGTACATTTACACAATGACCGTGATCTAAAAATGCTTACGTGACATCCAAATAAGCAGTGAGTATGTTCTTCTTCTTTTCACTACTCCCTCACTCAAACAGCTTTTATACACAAGGGGAGGAGCCGGCCGTCCCGTCCATGTAAACACAGCTCTGACAACAACACAGCCAGCGGGACTCGAGCTTCTCACTCATTGTAGACAGTCATGACTCAAAGAGACATTTACACAGGATATACAGGATATACAACTAAAGTAGTCGACTTTGTAAATAGACATACTGTACTATCCATTTTGTGTCCTGTAATCTTAGCCCTCTTGTGGTCTTAAAAACAGCATACATAAAATAAATTCAAATTCACTTAAAGCTACAATATCAAAGTTTTCCACCTTAAAGTAGTACTTTCAAAGTGGAGCTAATGGTTTCATTAACTATCAACAGTGAGAATAGCAGTTATCTTATTTACATATTTACTTTAGGGGACATTCCTGATGACCCATCAGATCGGCAACTCAAAATTTCCGGCTTCCGAGATCAAATTGAACGCACCATGACCTCAGAAACTGGACAGGTAGACGCTGGAATAGGCTTAAAGTTAATTAACAGAAGTTTTTATTTTTCTTTGTTCTACAGTAGAGTCATGTGTTTGATTCGTTTTCTATAGAAAGTAGGAGTTTTATTCTTATTTGTCATTTTCTTCTCCTTTAATTCTGCTCGATGCGTTATTTTATTAGAACATTTTGGAGTTATTGTTTTTGAATTTTAATTTTTTCTTGACCATGGATCATTGCTGCTGTTATATTTTTGATGAAGTTTTGTATTATAAGAAAAACTGGCAGGCGTGATATTTAAATAGCATGTCACCTGATTATAGAGCACCATGAGTTAGCTACACAATTTTCTGTTGGCAAGTTTGTAGTTTTGAAAAATGCTAAAAGCTCGAAACACAAGCTAGAATGCTTAACTTTTGTTCAAATAATTAATAAAATCTTCAGCTGTCATCATTTGTTTGTGTTTTTTCTTATTTTAATGCTGTTTGGGATGATTTCTGTTTGCAAAGCTGTGTTCGCTAACAACCAATGACAATATTTAAGCTAGCACTATTGGCTTATAGGTGCCAGTAGTCTAACGGTTAGTGCGCACACCCCATGTACGAACCAACTATGTACTATGTGCATAGTCCTCCAGGGTTCTTGTCTAACCCGTGGCTCCTTTTAGGCATGTCATTCACCACTCTCTCTCTCCCTGATTTCCAGCTGTATCCACTGTCCTGTCTCTATACTAAAGGCAATCCCAAAAATAAACATCTTTATAAAGATAAAATAATTATTTGCAGTTTTCAACCAAAGGTAATCCCATTCCTACAGTTTGTTCATATAGTCTTAATGTAAAGGTCACACATTATTCTTAAGTAATTCTCAGAGCTCCCTAAAACATGTTTGTGAAGTTTCTTGTTCTAAATCCACTCTGATCCTGTATTTGATCATGACTATAAACCCCTCTATTTCAGCCCTGCTAAGAACAGGCTGTTTCTGTACCTTTAAATATGTAAATGAGCTGTGTCTGACCACGCCCCCTCTCCAGAAGGGCTTGGGTGGCTCCGGCTTTCTTGCTCCATGTCCTATTATTTATGGTGAGAAGGCAGATTCAGAGGGCAGAACAAACACCTAGCTGTGGGAGTGTCACCCACCTGGGGGAGGGGTTACTGCCCTTTGTGATGTCATGAAGGGAAAATCTCCAAACAGCCTGTTTGAACACACATTTTCTGAAAAGTGGAGCAGGCAAAAGACAGAGAGGATGGACTTTTCTCAGCTTTGGGGGATTTGCAGACAGACTAGAGAGACACATATTAGAGTTAGAAAACATGGTGAAGTTTATTTTGATAATATGTGACCTTAAAGGATTTGAATCCAGCTGGAGAAAAAGGTTTAATAGCTTTAAAGATGAAATACTCTGATTTACGGGAAGTAGGAATTAGTTGTGCAAACAAGGTTCAAACACTTTCATTGAAGTGTGTGTGTGTGTGGGTGTGTGTGTGTGTGTGTGTGTGTGTGTGTGTGTGTGCTGACCTACTCCCAGCAGGAATGTGAGGTATTCCTGTGGTTTGTAGACCAGCGTTCTCCTGCAGTTACATCACCTCACTGATGGTCTGACAGCCGCTTCCTGAACCATGAAAGAAAATCCAGAAAAGGATATTTTTAGTCCCAAACGGAGATAAATGTGTTTTGATTGGAGCGCTTTATTGCCTTTAAAAGCATACAGCAAGATCAGGGGGCGTTTAAGGAGGATTTGTAAGACTGAGTCATCACTTCCTTTAGCTGTGTTCATAGATGATCAACGATTAAGCCGTTTTAAAATGAATAGGTAGAGTAATCCTTCGTCAGTCCAGAGTTTAAAGTGTTTAAAATTGTACCTGATAGCTTGATTTTAAACTTCAACTTATTTTATTCAAATAAGAAAACAAATGATGTACAGTTTGTTTTTTTAACAGAGCCCTTAAAGTCAAAGTTTTTATCTTGTGTGCACACGTTTTTATCTAACTTGATAAAAACATATTTCCCTTTTATATTAATCATGTTAATTAAGCTAAAACCTCTTTACAACTCATCAATAGATGATTGTAAATGTCATGATACAACTAAGTTTTAGGGCTGTCAAATTAAAAAAATGTAAAAGTGCAACTAATTGCTGAATTTCAATAGTTCATCTCGATTAAACTGATTTTTAAGTGCACGTTTGATATTCCTCTTTTTTCCATCTTAAAACTGTTTTTTGTTTGTTATGCTTTTATTTTGTATTGTCTTAAACTAAATGTGATGAACTTCCTGTTTAGATAAAACCTGATTTTAATTTTGGCCCTTAATTTTGGCCCTTAATCGTGACCTTATTGTGATTTAATTGTAATTTATACTACAAAACCAAAGCAAACTTCTTGTAAATGAAAACCTTCTTAGAAACAAACCTGGTGCAGATTATGATCATGATGCGCTGTGTTTACGGGGCTTTAATATCTTGGTTTTACTTATTTTTTATCCATTTCTTTTTTGATATGAACCTCTGGAGATTAAGCGATTTTGAATGAGAAGGTGGCGCCCTCGTGTGGAGGCGCTGCACAATGGTTGAACTTTGTAACACATACGACATTGTTATATGTCCGACAGTCCTTGAACGTAGCAGGGTCCTCTTTATTGTACTTTCCCTTTAAGTGAGGATGAAAGGCTGTTGTGTAATTTGGGTGAAAGAGGAGGAAGGCAGCCTTATTTGACAGATCGAAGAGGACTCGGACAGGTACGTGATCACGCTGCACAGATGATTTTAATCGTGCTGCTGTAATGAACATTAATGTTTCTCTTGAGCACCTGGCTGTGTTTACTCAGTGTAACCTTCAGTGTCCTTTGAGAGGTGATGTATTCCTCTGTACGTCAAAGGGAGTCATGACTAAAGAAACACTTGTTTGTGAGGTTTTATATGGTTATTACCTGATGTATACTCTGTACTGGTCACTCCTGTAATTAAAAGCTACAAATATTAACTTTTAAAGTGACAGGAAAAGGGAAGCTTGGTTTCCTGCACCTTTCACGCAGGTCCTACCGCCCAGCTTCTTCTGACGTCTCACTTTGAGATCCCCGGCAGCAGATTTTTATGTAACAGCCACAACCCAACTTAAAGTCTATTTACTTGCCAGTTCAGCTTCCAGTCGTGCTGATTTTGTCTGCACGATATACCGTAGTCATGTTTAATCGTTCATGACTTATACGTTAATGTTATCTGCTCATTTGTACTTTGCAATATGTGTCTGATATCTTAACGTATTGATTACCTGCAGATAGAGATTGAAAATATATCAGTCAATCTATAAATAATGGAATTGTTTTATGTACAAGTCTATATTGTTCTCCAGGGAGGATTTCTTAAGCTGCAGCACTGCAGGGTGTAAAGTGATATTTAGATGCATAAATAAATTAAAACTTGAGCTATATGTACCTGCTGCTACATTCAAATATTAAAGCACATTGTTGCATCAATCATAAGCCTATAGACCAATAATAAAGGTTATTATTCTGAAAATGACCATTGTGCATAAGAGTTTATTTGGTTTTAGTACTTTGAAGTAGATCTTAATCCTGTAACTCTTGTACTTTAACTCGAGCAAGGTTTTTTTGAATGCAGGAATTTGAGTATTTCTAAATCATATTTAAGCACTTTCACTTTCACATGTCAAAGATTTGAGAACTTTTTCAGCCACTTTGTCATCAAGGTTTATATATATGTCTGAAAGTCTGGACGTAGTCAAACTCATTCATAACTCATGATCCTCTTTTTCACAGTTATTATTATTTTGTTTAATTGTGCAGCTATTATTAACACACATAAAGTGACAGGTATTACATTTATTTAGAGGAAGAAATAATTTAAACGACAAAAGTTCTAAAAAAAAATTTAAAGGATAATCAAAGAAATAGTGGGCGTAATACATGTAAAAAGAAAACCTCTATGTTATAAAATCTCTGTCTGAAAAAACTTATAAGACTTCAATAAACAGATCATCATACTGTTTTAAATGTACCATAAATATCAACAATGTTGGACTGTTGGTGTCCTGTGATTAGGTGACACATCATGTTTGAAGGGTCATAAAGCAGCAAAAGGAGATAAAACTTCAACTTTCCTCCAAAAAAATGAACATCTTCAGTGCTATATTTAGAGTTGAGCAAGCTCTCTGTGTTGACTAGCCATGACCATGTCCATGTCTAAACTTTAACAAATTGACCTTTTATAAGAGTGACAGTGAGTTATAAATGCCTTTTGTTAGACAAAATTATCCAAAGGAATCAATTACTGGTGTTTTATAAATATACACTGAGGCTCTAAACACAGTATGATATTTAAATTACTGTATTATTATTGTAACTAAGCTGGTAGATTAACTGAGCATAAGCTAGTCTGCAAACTAATGTAACGTAATGTAACAGATAGTATTGTATCTTATCAAACATATCGTACAGTATCGTATTGTAACGTAAACAAACATAATGTGACCAACCTTATTGTATCGTGTTCCACCGTGTCTTAAGACAATGTGACATAAAGCTTTGTAACGTAAAGCAATGTAATGTAACATAGCGTAACGTAACATAGTGTAACGTAGCGTAACACTAACGTAACACTAACGTAACACTAACGTAAGACAAACGTAACATAACACAAACGTTGCGTCATGTAACGTAGCGAAACGTAATGTAACACTAACGTAACGTAACATAACGTTATGTAACGTAACACGACGTGACGTAACGTTATGTGACGTAACACAACGTGACGTAACACAACGTGATGTTACATAACACAAACATAACATAACACAAACGCAACATAACACAAACGTAACATAGCGTAACACTAATTTAACGTAACAAAAATGTAACGTACAAAATGTAACGTACAAAATGTAACGTACAGAATGTAACGTAACACAATGCAACGTAGCGTAACGTATCCTGTCCTATTCGAATGTAACAAGACCTACCGTATCGTATCATTTCATCCTGTGTCGGATCATTCCGCATCGTATACTTTAGTAAATGTTGTAATGTTCTTCTAAGGTTGTTAAGTTGTAAACGTCATGTTATCCAATAACTTTTATTGGGTTCTTAGCTCTTCCCTGATCTGATGTAATCAGCAGCAGTCACAGTTTAGACATGAAGCAGAGAGATGAAGTGAGTGTCTGTTTTGTGTGTTTTATCTTTAAAAGGTGCAGCCATGGAGTTGGTAATGCTATCAGGGGGTGTTCTGGTTGTCCCTGTCCTCGCCTTCATCACCTCCTTCCTGTTCTGGCCAGGAGCACTTTTAAAGGTCTACAACTGGTAATAAAAAAATGCATCCACACGGCACACTCACACTCAAACAACAAGTTTGGCGAGTTTGGCCGACATCAACTTTCTCAAAGCTGGACATGACTATCTGGACAGGAGGGAGGATAAATATTGATATCTCTGTCCTCCTTGGGTTATAATTTAACAATCCCAGGTAGACACAAAAAGTAGACGGCTGATTAATCAGACTGTAATTAATGCTGGTGTGTCTATATGACAAACAAAAGCATACTAGACCATCAGAAACAAAACTTATTATTTTCATATTGTTAATATTATTTTGTTGCTTTCTGTAGTACTGGTTTGTTTCCAGCTTTTTTTATTCAGAAATAAGGAAAAGCACAAAAAGTGTTCCTCACTTTTTAATGTATTTGTCTTAAAGTCCAGAGATAAAACATCTTAAATGATAGAAAAATACCCCCCATAAAACATTTCATTTATTTCAAGATATGGTCTAACTCTCTGGTTTGAAGCAAATTAAACGTTATAAGTACTGACCAGATTTAATGATGTTAATGAGCCCATTTATTACCTCCTGAAAGAAACCCTTTATCCACACTCTAACGAGCCCTCCAGTCAAAACTAAATACAAAACACCAACCCTGCAGACAGCAGAATGACACATATTTGATTTGACTTCAAGTTTTTAACTTTTGAATCAAGTATCTTATCTTCATTATGTTTAAATGGAACATTTTGAATTATATAAATAATAACTGTTTTGAAACATCATTTCTAAACACTTGTTGGCGTGACCTTGACTGCTGGACTTTGTTTAAGCTGTAAAAGAAAAAGTGCATGTTGGCCACCCTGCAGATTATGAACGCTGTTTTACATGCACAAACCTCCCATTCCTGCTGGGACTAGGTCGGCACACACACACACACACACACACACGCACACACACACACACACACACATAATGCTGAGTCAGAGTCATATAACAGCGTATTTATCCGCGGCTTTGTGCATGAAACAAAATCAAATTGTAAATGTTAAACTGTAGAAGTATAAAGGAGGTGCATTGTCTGCATGAACGGACGCTCATTAGCTTTGTATGGGGGGGTACAACTGGAACTCTGTGAGTTCGAGCAGCCTGTCTGACACGGGTATAAAAACATATAAAAAGATAACTTCTGTAGGAATATTGTTGAGCAATATCTGCTCGCAGGAAAGCAAAATATCATTTCTCTCCCATGTTCTGTGGAGGGTTATGTGAGCGTGTGTCTCTATCGCTTTGTTCCAGACTAAAACATGTCAACAACTTTTAGATGAACTTTGTTTTGATCGTGTGCAGATGATGAACCCTTTTTGGTTTGGTGATCCTGATCTGACCTGAAGCCCCACAGTGAGCTTTAAAGGCAATATCTCAAATACATTTTGGATTGATCGCCATGGGTACAGGCTTTTGTTTTCCCCCTCATGATAAACTATGACAGCTTTGTGATCCACTTCCTGTCTGTCCTGTGCTGAGATTGGATCAAACGTTTGATTTGACCAATACTTTCTTCTTTGTAAAAAAACAACCTCATCTACAATAACCATCAGTCCAAGCTGTACTCGAGCTGCAAATTGGGAAGTTTTTACATGCCAACATTCAAGTGTAAAACAGTAACCTTGGTGGCATGTCAAAGGGATAAAATTATCAAAAAAAAAGGCCCAACTTTTTCTACCAGGGCTAAAAAAGTGAGAGTTCCTCACAAGAGCTTTAAAACCAACGTGTTACATCACAGAAATCCCAAACAATAAACTACATATAAGACCTAATGTTGAAGTCACACATCATTATTCAGCTGAACTCACTAAAGTCGGACACTAACTGGTAGGATTTTATGCTGGCTGAACTTTTCTTTGCGTTGTAATTCATGAAAACGTTTTTTGCGATGACAGACGACTTCAGACGATAACTTGTAGTGATCCTGCTGCAATCCTCTGCAGGTACTGGCGTCAGAGGCTCGGGCTGGTGGTCCGATACTCTCACAGCGGAAGTTATCGCTTCTGTTATTCCAGCAGAGGGAAGCCAGGGGGCGCCACGCCATCTCTGCTGCTGCTGCATGGCTTCTCCGCCACCAAGGACATGTGGCTGCCTGTCGTCAAGGTAACAGTCTTACATCGAACAGACATTAGTTTTTTTTATTGCTGTCTGCACAACTTGGGGCAAAATAACTACTACAACTATAAATATTTTTAATTGTTAGCGCACAGACATTTCAATGCTTAAAGGAGCGGTATGTAACTCTGACACCTAGTGTTTAAAATGGGTACTGCAGTCCAAATTCAATACATCAGAGAGAGAGAGCGAGAGAGCTGTGAGAGAATAGTGCACATCAACTCCACACTCAAAAACAGCGTTGCATTTTAGATGGTTTGTTTGTTTTTCTCTCCAGTATTTCCCCAAAAACCAGCATGTGGTGTGTGTGGACATGCCGGGTCATGAGGGGACGAGTCGGACTGGCTTGGAGGACTACAGCATCCAGGGCCAGGTCGGCAGAATACACCAGGTCAGTCAGTGAGAGAGAGAGAGAGAGAGAGAGAGAATGTGTGTGTGTGTGTGACTGAGACACACTCAGCTTTTTCATGTTTCGCACAACATTTATATTTGTCGACCGATCATTCTGTTTGACACGACAAACCAAAACATCTCAAAGCACTGAGACGTCTTTTGTTGTGTCTCCCTTTGAGCAGTTTGTGCAGAGTATCGGTCTGGATAAAAGACCTTTCCACCTGATCGGGACGTCGATGGGAGGTAACGTCGCCGGGGTCTACGCTGCTCATCACCCCGCTGACCTGTGCAGTGTCACCTTGATCTGCCCGGCAGGTAAACTCAGTCGACATCTGATCTCCGTGATGTTTGAAACCTGAAGCAGAGTAACAGATCCCCCCCCCTCCCGTGTGCTGCAGGTTTGGTTTATCCCACAGAGACTGAGTTCATCAGCCGCCTGAGAGAGCTGGAGAAGAGTGAGCAGGAGGAGTCGATCCCTCTGATCCCTTCGACTCCTCAGGAGCTCGACGACATGCTGAGACTCTGCTGCTACACCCCCATCAACCTCCCCCGACAGGTAAACCCAACAAAAAGAAACACAGCTATGTTCCTTTTATCTTATTTTATTTATATCGGCACTTCTATTTCCTTACTTTTCAATGGATTTCTTATTTTGTACGGTTCACCTTTTACTCCATCTGTAGTAAGGCCTCGGCTACCTGGCCAGCTTTACACAACTGAACTCTCTGTGTGTGTGTGTGTGGTGTGTGTGTGTGTGTGTGTGTGTGTGTGTGTGTGTGTGTGTGTGTGTGGTGTGTGTGTGTGTGTGTGTGTGTGTGTGTGTGTGTGTTGCCAGGTCCTGCGGGTCTTCTTCAAAACAGGATCCCAAACAACGGTTTCTATAAAGAAGGTCAGTATGACCGTACATATCCTACCTGTTTTATAAACTGCACTGCAAAAGTCCATTTGTCTAACATCCCGTCATAAATATCTCATGTACAGAGGCTATAGTCTTCCAAGCTGGCGGCACGGGTTCGAATCCGATCTGTGAGCTAAAAAAAAAAGACCTGAGTTTCTTTATGTGATTTTAAAATATCTGCCAAGGTGTCTTGAAATCAGATGTTTTAATGATTATTCAGAAAGGACTTCTCATTTGAAGACACTTCAGTTTATTTATTTGACTCATTACAAACAGTCCAGGCTTCATTTTGTGCTTTTTATATCTTGAATTAAGATGTTAATCAGGACTGATAGTCGGGTGAAAGCGACTCATAAAAAGGATAATAAGATTTATAACTGACTAGATTTGAGCTTTTGCAGTGTCCTCCTGTTTTAATTAGCCGACCACTCTGTTACCAGCGTTGAGTTCTTACAGCACGAGTGTGTTTGTTTGTTTTTTTTGTTCAGTGTTCATGGAGATCGTTGGGGAGAAGTCTCGTCACTCACTGCAGGAAAACTTGCATCTCATCAAAACGCCGATGCAGGTCATCTGGGGGAAAGAGGACCAGGTAGAAATGAGTTACTTAGCGAGCTTTAAAACATGAGGTAGCTTTAAAGAATGTAGGTTCAAGAACTAAACACAGAATTAAAGCAAAGTTTCAGGACTTTTTCAGGGCTATGAATGAACTGAGTTGTTATTTAATGAAGTGATTCTTCGTTAAATAGATTTACAGAAACAATACAGCCAATTTGATCTTCTTATTTCTTCCCAAAAATATTCCAGTATTGAAGTAATATTTCTGTTTTTCATGTTCATGCATTTGGTATCTGTGCATGGAGTCGTATTTGTCATGTTTATTGATATTAGAAGTGTGGCAGGCCACTTTGGGTGAGGAGCCACCAGTTGCCCACCCCTGCACTAGGCTCTGTAATGTGGTTTGATAATTAGATTATTTTAATTGACAAGCAGCATTAACATTGTATTTAGTAACAAAGTGGAGATTTAACTGTTATCTCTAAAATCCAGAAGCTTTACGAGCTGCTGATGGGTCTGTCTCTCCTCCTTCAGGTGGTGGACGTGTCAGGGGCGTCGGTGCTGCAGGAAGCGCTGCCTCACTGTCAGGTGGAGCTGTTAGAAAGCTGTGGTCACTCTGTGGCATTGGAGCGACCCAGGAAGGCCGCCAATCTCATCATGAACTTCCTGTCTGCACAGGACGTCGACAATGAAAACACAAAGAAAGTCTCTTGAAGTAAAACTTTGAACTTTAATGTCGATGACTGACCTCAAGAAGGACAAGGCGACGATGATGAAGGTTGTGATGAAGATGAAGACGATGAGGAGAATGAAGTTGATTGTGAATCGTTCTATTTTCTAGTTTGATATGAGAGTTTTTTACGCCTGCAAGACATTCTGTGAAAACTGAAAACTGAAATGAAGGCACAGTGTGGAGCCGACTGTCAAATATTCCTGCATTTTTTTCCACTCAGTAAAACACACATAGACACACACACACACACACACACACACACTCACACACACACACACACACACACACACACACACACACACACACACACACAAACAGCCCTACACAGAAGGCTGTAGCCTCATTTTTTAGATGCTAATGTTTTATAAAAACATTCCAACTTTTTTTTCAGAACATGACTTTGATCTTACATTTCATTTATTTCATATTAATTTGGTGTTTGTTTGTGAGTCACATGTTGTGCTGCTGTGTACTGGTTATATATTTAACTTTAGGAAATTACATTCTGATTTATTTAAAATGTATAGGGTTTTCCATGATTCCAGCACCAGGACACAGAAATAAATATTTCCAATTTGCTCAAATGATTGATTGAAACATTCGGCTCTGATTTGTGTTTACACTTTTTTTTAGGTAGTTCGTACCCAGACCGCTAGGGGGCGACAAAACACAAGCTCTTCCTGTTTGAAATGATAGATCATTTATTCAAAATGTACCACTCCTCAGTCAAAATAGTTTTACTTTTGTGCTGTGTGGTACCATAGACTGTAAATATGGTGTGGTACCTACCCACATAGACTGTAATTCATATAGTCTATGGGTACCCAAGGTGGAACCATACAAAATACTACATCACTGCGTCATTTAACACAAAGTGTAAAAAATATATATGTCAGCTTGTAAAAAGACTTTAGTGTAAAAACGTATCTTATGTCTTGTTTAATTTCGACTTTAAATTTTATTCTCAACATTTTCGACTTTATTCTTGACATTTCAGCTTTCTTCTTGAAGTGCACAATGAAAACAACCTTCTTTCTCTCATTATATATTTCTCATGTCTGGCCCTGATCCGCCTCTGTATTTTCATACCTATTTGGTGAACCTCCGTCTTTGGGACTTGTTTTTTCGATGTCATGACGGAGTGATACATCTTAGAAATTTACACATCTTTGTACTACACAGCACGACAGCGCATGCGCACACTGGTTCAAAGTTTGCATGGACGCTCAGATGTCCCAAACACGCTGACGATTCTCCAGCTTAATGTGGCGAAGTGAGTCAAACAAAGCATTTCTCTCCTTTAACACTACTTTAACAAAACCGAACGGAAGTATATCGACTCTTTTTAGCTGCCAGAGTTTTAGTGAAGAGTTATCGTAGACTGTGTAAACCTGATTTAGCTCAGGTTGACCTCCTGTTAGCTTGTTTAGCTTCAGGTTGAGCAGACATGTTTATGTTTGACATTTACATGAGATAAGGTGTCGAGCCTGTTAACGTAATGTGTAATAAGTTACTATATCTGCAAATTATCAGCTTTATAATAGTGGTTAGCTGGACGTCCTTTTAACTGTTTTTATAAATTATTAGTGTAAATATTGAATTTCTGGCTGTGGTATATGCTAATATAAATGTAATGTCATAATGGGAAATTAAATTACAGATGACAATTTACAAAAAGCTAAACGTCCATATGTATTTATTATTTCCTAATACATAAATATTGACAGCCTTCTTAATAATTTACCTGCATTGAGCTTGGGAATGGTGCTTGTTGTCCACCTTATTTCACATCCAAAATGATTCAAACCTGCACAGGTAATGATTCAAGATTTCAGAGATTTGATTCGTCACGTGCTCTACAGGTGGCCAGTGAAATGCAATGACTGTTCCGCAAGGTCATGCTATAAATAAACAGTCAGGAAACAGGAGGATTTTCTGGCTAAACTTCACCAAATAACAAGGTGCATGATGAGTGAAAGGCTTAGAAGAGGTCAAAATGTTGCTGGAGCATTTTGACCTCCAGTAAAAAAAAAAAAACACTCACACATGATTACTCCCATGATGATACATACAGTAAATGTACAGTACAATTAGAAGATTCACAGATTTGAAATAGGGCTATATATAAATATATACATTTTTAAATGGAGTGTTTGTGTTGTATATCTTTAGTGTGAAGTCATTTAATCATCCTGCTGCGTTCCACGTGTTGGAGTCTGAGTCACTGACGCTTTAAAAGAATGCAACGTGAAGACGAGAAGGACCACAGTTCAGTTTTCCGACGGGACGTGTTGAAGAACGCCGCGCCGTACCACTACCTGAAAGTCTGCCTGTAAGTCACAGTGACATGCTTATTTAACATACTGTTCGTTTTGATCTTTAGCTTTTACGCCTGAGAAATATGTTTTATACACGTGTATTTATCTAAGGCGTGTGTCGGTTCCATTGCTGAAAACCTGCACGCTCATCAGACATGTTGTTTCTGTGTGTTCAGCGTTCTGGAGGATGAATCCACTAAACTGAGCGCAGTTGACCTGAAGCAGTTCATCATCACAGGTCTGAAGAGTCTCCATGGAGAGGTGAGATCAATGACCTTCTTAAACTGAGAAAATGAGAACAAACTGGACAAGGTTGTTAAACTAGGCAGCAGGATAACTGGGAAGCAAATGTGCAGCATTTCTTAGCTGACAGACCCTGAATTTAAAGTCAACAGCAGACCCTCTGCACCCCCTTTGGTCTGAGTATGAACCCTTCACTACAGGGTGCAGGAACAGAATATCCAGGATGAAGACCTATTAAGTTATTTTTTGTCATTTTGTTTCAATATTCAGGTGGGAGCAGCATTGACATTTGACTTGCTGAAGTACGATGAGGAGACCCTCACTGCTTTTCTTCGTGTTACCAGCAAGTAAGAACATCAGCAACAGAATATATATAGTCCCAATATTTAATCCTCCAACACTATCACAGTCATTTTAATGTGTGTGTGTGTGTTTTTATCTTTCAGGGGTTTGGTGAAGCTGTGGAGCTCCCTGACTCTGCTGGGCTTCTATCAGAACCAGGCCTGTGCCTTCAGAGTCCTGCAGGTTCGCAAACTTTACTCAAACGTTAAAAGCGCTGGTAGACTAGTGGTTAGGGCGCATGGCACGCCCCATGTACGGGGGCCATACACTTCCAGGCGGGCAGCCCGCATTTGAATCTGACCTGTGGCTTCTTTCCCCTCTCTCTCTGATTTCTGACTGTCCTATCTCTAAAATAAAGGGGAAAAAAAAACAAAAAAATAAATCTTTAAAAAAAAGCATCTGCCAAAAAAACTTGTCACTAATTCTAGTAGTTGCTCTTCCAGTTTATTTTTTATTTTCAATGGTTTCTCTGACTTATTTTACTCTTAACTCACACACTACTACTACAATCTGCTCGGTCTGCTTCCCTTAGGTTGTCAAAGTGTACAATCCTTTGATACTTTTTGACAACCTAAAGGAAGCAGGCCGAGCACTCTGTTATTGCACACATATATTGCCAATGTATTTGTGCATTGCAGACAGTGTGCAGGAGTTTCCCTCCAATTTTTGTTGATTGCAAAACACCTAGAAACTTAGCCAACACTCGGTGCCTCAGACTCTCTTTTTTGGTGCCTTGGTATCAAAACTGAAATCAGCAATTGTTTGATTTTTAGTGAAATATTGAAGTGTGAAATCCTGGTATTGTGACAGCTGTATTTCACAAAGCTGCCTGCTTCCACTCTCTGTTTCTCTCTGCACTGTTGACTCTCTTTATCAGAAGCATGTTTGATAAAATTACCCAAAAAACAGATCTTGAACTCCAATTCAACCACAGCAGCTGAGCCGTGTGTGGAAAAGGTTTTGCTGATGACATGACGCATTGTGACGATGAAACCAACATGGCAGTTCCTGAGGAGTAATTCTAGGTTCATGGAAACCAAGTCCATCTTTACTCTCTCTTGTCTTTTCTCCAGGTGTCTCCGTACCTGCTCTCACTGTCAGGAAACAGCCGAGAGCTGCAGCTGGACTGACGGAGGAGGAGGAGCTTCATTTTCTCCAGGATGAGTTTCAGGTGGAGCAGCATTTTGAACAAACCTCGGCTCTGCCTCTCCTCCATCACGGCAGCTGCTCCCTCCTGCAGGCTGCTTCATGTCGGCCAGCGAGCCTCCCTCACCAAAGCCTTCTCCTCCCGAGACGTGGAGCTGTTCGCCGAGCTGACGGGTGACACAAACCCGCTCCATCTGGACCCCACCTACGCCCGCACCACCTCCTTTGAGACGCCCATTGTCCACGGCGTGCTCATCAACGGGCTCATCTCGGCCGTGCTCGGCACCAGGATGCCAGGCCGCGGCTGCGTCTTCCTCTACCAGGAGATCCGTTTCCCTGCACCGCTCTACATCGGAGAGGAGGTGCTGGCCGAGGCCGAAGTCCGCAAGATCAAGATGTCGTTTGCTTTCATCGCCGTGACATGCTCCGTCAAGGACAAGGTGGTGATGGAGGGGGAGGTGATGGTGATGATGCCCGAGGATCAGCAGCAGAAGGGGTGAGGAGGAGGAGGAGGAGGAGGAGGAGGAGGAGGAGGAGGAGGAGGAGGAGGAGGAGGAGGAGCACCCTTACAGTTAAACCCAAGTGACTCACAAGATCTTCTGGATGCAAAAGTTTTCTGTGCACAACAGAATTTGCTGCATGGTGCTGTTTATTTTGTTTATTGATCGAGTGTGGAGAACAGTGTCTGGACAGTTTGATAACCATGGAGACGTGTCATTTCATGTTTTATTGTTTTTCTAGTTAAAGACATGATCTGTACTTTCTTTGATGTTGTGCGTGGAATATAAAAGCTGTGGAAAAAACCCCACTATTGTTAAATCATTGAAGTCCAGAGGGGTGGCATAGGCTCCCCTTGAAATCTTGTTGGCACAGCCAAAATCCTTTGGCTTGAAATTATTTTTTTTTTGATTGGCTATTTGCCTTGCCTGAGGTTTAAAGCCGCTATGCAGGCTGTGTTCAGCTTTAAATAATAAATAACTTTTAAAATATTTCTGATCAGTCTAAAATTAAAGGTAGCAACTACAATGGCGATGGAAATGGTAAAGACTAATAATGGTTATTAAAGCAGTTGAAATCGAGCAGCTCTTTGATTCACATCGCCAATGAAGATATGGAGACCCCAGCAAGAGTAGCGACTGGAAATCTTAAGTAACCACCAAACAAACAGCAGCAGGTCGGCGAGTCCACTCCAACGATCCAGAGGAACCTACGAGACCAAAGAGCTCAGGAACTCCCAGACAGATATGTGGTCGGTAACCTCAGTGGTGCATGAAGATGGTACTCTGCTCTGACTGATGAGATGAGATTCAACTTTATTGTCATTACACATATACAAGTATAGAGCAATGAAATGAGGTTTGGCATCTTACCAGAAGTGCAGATGTACAGATGTAGACTAAAAAAAGAGTGAATTATTGGGTATATATGGCTGGATTAATGGGATGCTATGAATATAAATAAATGCTATAAATACAAGTATATTCTTCAGATTATAATATACATAATATAATGGCGTTCATAAATAATAATATTTATAAATCATATCTAAAATGTACCATTTATTTTAATATTGCGCTCCATACACAGCCTCCGTAATTTACTATCAGTAAATATCAGAATATTTACAGAGCACCTCTACAGGTGAATTTAAAAATGCGGTTCCTCCTTCTGACCACTAGGTGGAAGTGACAGCACCCCCTCCCCCCTCCCCCAAATTACGTGAACGACGCAGCCTGTTGATGACGTCAGATCGACGCAGCGCTTCCTGGTTACGGCAGAGCTAACGCTAGCAGTTACTTCGCTCCTCTCGGCTTGTTGTTGTCGTCGCTCCTCCGCTGGTTCCCCCCTCCCGCCCACCCACCCACCCCCGGTGTTTCAGCGAGTGACAGACGGACCTTCTAAGCAGACATTCACCGGTAACCCTCCGGGATGTCGTTCCTGGAGAAGCCGTCCCCCGGCAGGCAGCTGCTGGACGACACCGTCCCCCTGACGGCGGTGATCGAAACCAGCCAGAACCTGCAGTCCCACACGGTGAGTTCAAACCAGGATTTAACCCCTCACCTGGGAGTCAACAACCTACACATGTACCTGTGTTATCTTCGTGTATCTTTTACTTAAAGGCTTGTGGATGTGTCGCTGCTGATTCCTTTTGAATAAGTGTTTTAAAAGGGGGCGTCTGTGCGCCAAGTTCCATTATCGGACAGACATTTCGTCTTCTTTCCTGAAACATTGAATTATCCGCAAACCTTTTATTACTGCTGGATGTAGAAAACAACTATCCTCACGGTTTACCTGTTGACTATAAAAAGCGATGGCAGCAGCTGACTGGCTGTGAATCGATGGCACTGATTGAGCAATTTCCTCTGAGCTCGTCTGCATTCAGAAAAAAAAAAAAAAAAAAAAAACCTGCTGATATAAAAGGATTTGCTTTGAGCATTTGACAGTCGACTGTGCAAAGGCCTTCGAGCAAAAACACTACACCTATAAATAACACGTTTACCTGTGATAATCACCTGGAACCGTCCATTATCTACATTCAGCAACTCCCACAGTAGAGAATGGCCTTTAAAAGTGTTGCGTTTTATAGACTCCCTTTGGTTACTGCTCATGTTTGAGTGTCTAAAATAAAGAAAAAGTGAGCTCTTTTTTCATTTTTAATGACCTGCTGAATCATTCGGCGTGTATTGCCTTTACAAACACCTGTATACATTTAGTCTGTCTCAATTATTTTCCCCAGACGACAGCTTTTTGCGTTCATTGATTTGAGACCATGACTTGGGTATTTACAGGTTGTATTGCAACTAGTGATGTCCTCTCTGCCGAATAGATCTGTGTCTATATTGTTTATTAGAAACTTGTTGTGAATAATGCTTATTCGAAACAATAATCAATCTGTTTTTTTTTTTTACCGAGTTTTGCAACATAAGCACAAACTGTGTTTTGGCAAGTTTATACTGAGCATAACTTTGACTAAATCTAAACTTTAAACTAATTTGTTAATAACAGTAAGAACGGATTCTTTAAAAAAAAAAGACCAGGTCATGTTAGAGGGAAAGTGCCTTCCTTTGTCCGATAATGGGCTCATGTGTGAGGGGTTTGTTGTTGACAGTCCGGCTGGGATCAGCTGAGATAGCCAGTTAGCTTAGCGCGCTGATGTCAGGCATTATTTGTGTTGTGGTGATTGTAACGCAGAACAAAGTGCACAATAACCTGACAGGGCACACAGATAAGGATGTCATGATTATATTGATGTGTGTGTCTGTGTTTGTAAAGATAGCATTTCTTTATACTGGTGGTGTTGGTACTGACCCATACCGTTTTCTTAAGTAGTCCACTTTGGAAATAAAACCCAAACAGCTGCCATGTTTTACTCTTCAAATGAAATCATTTCTGATTTATGTGATGGAAAAATTGGGTCAGATGACGGCAGAGTATGTCAACATGTAAGCAGCTCCGAACCTGTTGCAATACAGTGGGAAACAGGCCTCCCCCCCTACTAAAACACTGTGCACATTATAGCAGGACAAAGTCGGTCTTTTCCTGTCAGTCACCAGTTCAAATCAGTCATTGACCAGAGGAGATGACAGTCTAAAGGGGGGTGTCTTCTCTCCACGTATTTCTCCCACATTTATACATTCACAGTGCTTTGTTTTTATCGCCATAAAGCAGTTTTGGATTGTTTTGTGTATGGATGGTGCTCTATAAATAAACTTTTCTTTCCTAGAAAGCTAGTCCACGTTTCAAGAACAAATAATGAACAAATAAACACAAGCACACTTCTTTTCTTTAACACACATTTTCTAAAATAAGAAGCCGAACCCACCAAGTATCCAGTGACAGTGCTGATCGAACTTTGAAACTTTATAGCTCACAGTGTGGATCTTATTGGATTATTATGTTAAATCCCACGAGCACAAAGATGACTGAGGCTCTATGACGGCAGACTGCTGTTTCTGAAACACTGAATATTAAGACTTGACAAAGAAAACTGGACTGGTCTATTATCTAATAAGGTCAGTACCAGCAGGAACTCTGATCCAGCGTATTGTTGCGCCACTATTGTTAAATATTTCTATTTTTAACTGTGTCCACATGCTGTGGCCGATGTCATAAGGTTGTCAAACCCAATTTGAGCGGATTGAAATAAATGAACAAAAGGGAACGCAACCTTGTTTTTAAAGTCAGCTCTAACTTTTTAAAATCAGTGCATGAATGAACAGGATGCCAATGCAGGGATCCCAGGATTGAAGTTATTTGATAATGTTCTCTTGAGTCTAGCAGTACCATTTCAAGCCAAATGCAGGTGGTAAAGAGAAGTTTGAATAATATCAGTACAGAGGGCATTGCGTTTGTCTAAACGGGACAAAAGAAATACACGCAAGACCTTGTGCAAATCTTGAAAGATACAAAAAAAAAAATAATAATTCTCTTTGGAAACGTTCCTGATTCTGCAGCATTCTTAATCTGTACATGGAAACAAAGACCAGAAATAAACACACAAAAAACAGTTTTTGTTTTATTCAGAATTCAGAGTGTGTAGGAGAGCAATGTGTCCATGACAGACTGAAAGGTGAACTGGCACACTGTCTGATTTGCACACAAACGTTTATTGGCAATGTTTTGGTGCTTTACTTCCATCAGTCAAACAGTGTAATCATTGTTTGGACAGACGGATATAAGAAAGCCTTCATACGGGATCTTTCTCAGTTACAGCAGCTGGATAGAAATAGACATCAGGACTGGAGCTGTTTACATCCAGAGTTTGTGAAACTGCTGAGAACACATGAATGAATGAATGAATGAATGAATGAATGAATGCAGCAGATTAGAGCAGGAACCCGAGTGTGTCTGCAGGATTAAGACTGTGAGAGGATTAGATTTGGAAAGTTCAGTGTTTACATCGGGGGTTGTTGTTTTCTTATTTTTGTCTGTTTGACTCTTGGGTCTTCATCATCACAGAGACACAGTGTTAAACATGAAACACTTATTAGAAAATGAAACTGAAACTTAAAAACAACAGAAATGTGAACCCTTTTGATTTGATTGGACGTGGCTTGTTCTGCGGCACCTCCCTCAGAACAATACTTTTTTATATTGTGTAATTGTAAAGATTTAAACTGGAAATATTGTCCATTTTTATTAAGGATGCAACATCTGTATCGGCCGATATCAGCCCTGTTGACAGACATTGGCAAATAATGTGGCATGAACCGGTGTATCTGTTGTGCCAAATCAATTCACTGCTGGCATAGTTCACCTAACTACTGATTCAGAGAACTGTTTTTTTTTTATCGGACAGATGAAGTCACCTGTTGAACAAACTCCGACTTATTTTCATGTGAAACATGAGAGAAAATTGTTGGCATTGTGGGAGTCTGACATCAACAGAAGTCATGATGCATAACGTCTACAAAAACACCTTTTTCTGATGGTCCGTTAATCCATGACCTTTAGTGACTCTAAATTGTCCGTAGGTGTGAATGTGTGGCTGGTTGTCTGTCTATCTATGTCAGCCCTGTGATTGACTGGAGAACGGTCCAGAGTGTAACCCCGCCTCTCGGCCAATCACAGCTGGGATCAGCTCCAGCCCCCGAGACCCTGAGCGGGGAAAGCTCTATAGATAATGGATGGATGTTTTTGATTTGTCTCAGAAAACTGCAAATTAAATGATTTTTTTTTTTCCCCTCCTCTGGTAGGAGTACATCATCAAAGTCCAGAGGGGTGTGTCTTCAGAGAACAGTTGGCAGGTAAACACACCAATCACAGCCTCAGATGTCATGTTAACGCTCGTCTGGTACGAAACATGAACACTTTAAAAGGCTTATTAATCAGTTTGTTTGTAGAAGTATTGAACACTCACAAATCCCCTGACTGTTAGACCAATGAGGACGTGTTAGTCACAGCCGTCTGTGTGTGTTTTGTGTTGCAGGTGATCCGACGTTACAGCGACTTCGATGTTCTCAACAGCAGCCTGATGGTGAGTTTCACCTCATGAACACATCACAGTGATTTAAAACATGCAGAAGGACAGCAAAGGAGTTTACAAAGGTCCTGCAGACATTTTTGGCATCTATGGGCTTCAGTTATCGCCAACATTTTCTGACATGCACACGGTCTACGTTTACTGACCATGTAAAAAAAAAACAGTTGGCTATTTCTCTTTTTGTTCTCTACAAACTTTACTTGTCGTGTTATCATGGTTTTTATTTGCTTGTCATCCTGATTGTAGTTTTCCTGATCGTTTATGAGCGTTTTCCTTCTTTTTACAACAGTTGAACGCCATAAAAATACCTCTGAGCATGAAATGAATTTAATGAGACGCTCGGCTCTAATTAAAGTCCGGTCCATTCAGGCTTCAAGGACAGGGCAGTGATAGTCTCAGTCTCAGTTTGTTCATTTAAACAGCAGCTTGATTATCTGTTCCTCGTTATCCAAGTACATCCAGACATCACTTTTTCTGCTCACTGCCGACATGGAGCATGTAACTCTGACAGAGCGGAACTATTTTAACCTACAACATCGCGACCACAGGTGCGATTAGTAAAATTAGTGAATGAAGTCAGTTACGAGTACTCGAGTAATCGTACCTGTCCCTTCTCAGAACATGGTTTTTACAACATAAGCTGAATGTGTTTACAACATGATGAATGGAGGCTATAACTGCCATGATGACACACTCATTTAGTGCCACACACACCAGCTCGTCTTGGCCAATCAACTTCCTGTTTGAGTCATTTATGTGGCAGTTTCACATGTCCCAGCACTGATTCTTAACGGTCCCCATCAGCCTCCTCAAATGTGCTTCCGTTTGTGTGCAAACTAAGAAGTGAGCGTAGTAAACATTGTGCCTGTTACCATCAGCATGTTCGCTCGGTCACTGTGAGCACGTTAACATGCTGACATTTATACATTTAGGTCAAATGTCTCATTTGTCTCAGTGCTGCCTCACACAGCTGCCTGTGTGGTTGTAGATTCTCAGTCGTGTTTAGCTCTACAATGTGAAATACTGCAGCATGGTATATAGTAACAACCACGACCAGCTGAGGGGGAAAACTTAACTATGGACATGTTCCAGGAAGTACCCAAAAAATGGAGCAATATATCGTCATGTGCTCCTTGCAAACACATGTTTCAATGCAGATGTGACAGAATCGATGCATCGCTGTAAAGACAGTTTTAAAAGACAATTGACCTATGGTGCAGCTCATAATAACACCTTAGCCATAACTCTGGGATTAAATAATTTGATGTATTTGTAGGATCTCTGAGGACCTGAATAGAAGAAGAAGAATAGAACTTTATTTGTCCACAAAGTGGAAAATTGTCTTCGGCTTCACAAGAATAAGACAGATGACAAACAACACAACATTCAATCACAGCAGGAAACCAGGAGAGCGCCTGTAGTCCTCGACAACGTCACAGTCAGCATGGTTCTTGAATTTAAAATAATAATTTAGTGTAGTAATAAGCCAGAGTTTAATACATTTCATAAAGTTATAGGTTTAAAAACAGTAATTTCATAAAACAATGTGCAGTTGGAGTTGAGGGGGGGTCATTTTCTCCTTTATGAATTTAATAATTTTATTGCATTTGGGTACAAATGATTTTTTATAAACATTTTTTGTGGCTCTTGGCTGTCTGAATCGCCGACCTGATGGAAGCACTTCGAACTGGGAGTGCAGTGGATGAGAAGGGTCACTTGTTATGTCTTGGGCTTTCTTTTTTAGTGTTCAGTGGCATCTGTGGTGCAAAGTGTTTTTACTAGCGGTATTGACCACTCTTGTCAGTTTGTTTTTACATTTAACATCTAAATGCCCGTACCATGCGACCATGTTAAAAGACAAAATACTTTCTACCAGATTCTTGTACACCATTTCAAGAACCTTTTTACTCACCCCAAACGCATTTTGTGTATCCAAAATCAATGTGGATCAACGATATGTATCGTATCGTGGGGTTGTGGGAAAACCCCGACCTACCAGGAAGCAGGACAAGATCACAAAATATGAATGACTATTCTGACGTTGTTATAATGTTTGTGTTTATCTAGACTCTTACACTGCGACTTCTTTTCATAAACTGAAAATAAAACTCAACCGATGGAGCTTCAATCACGGGACACTGCCTCCTCTCCGTCCGACACTTACTGGTTAAGAAGATACAGTAGCTCTCTGGTTATTCCAAACAAGGCTAGCCCCCTTAAGCGTTGGAACATGGATGACTGTGTCACGTTTGAAAAAAGAGTCGCAGGAATGTGAAGAGTTAATGGATTTGTGACGGTGGTTAACCACCTTTAAGGTCAGGCCTCCTTCGACAAAGCGGGACATGATTGATGGGATAAGACGGGGAAAAACAAAGTTCTGCTGCTAACATGATTTCTGTGCAACATCTCATGTTTTGACCCGGTGTAGCCTCAAACATTCAAAGAAGCTTAGATATTAAACTGCTCACAACTCATAAACATGTGAAACTTGTGACCAGGTGTTGCAAGCAAAAACCTCCAGATTATAAATAATTCATAATGTCAGATTATCTGGCCTACTTAGAAATAATCTTACTGGTTTAGAGTATAGATCTGATAATCCAGTGCTGACTCTGCAGGGCCATTTGTTTTCATTTAAGCAGAGACGAGGAAGTAAGCAGATTTTTTGCTGATGTTTGGTCTGCTCGCTTCCTTTAGGGGTCTCTCACTGACCCCGACCTCCTGTCAGCTCCTGCTCTTCTGTCAACAGGCCGAGGGAGTGTCGGAAACCTGCACTTTGTCTGTTTGGAAGTCACTTCTTTGAAAACATGAAAACATATAGAGCTCTGCTTCACACACACTCTCTCTCTCTCTCTCTCTCTCTCTCTCTCTCTCTCTCCAGGTGTGCGGCATCAGTCTCCCTCTTCCTCCCAAGAAGCTGATTGGAAACATGGACAGAGAGTTCATAGCAGAGAGGCAGAGAGGACTGCAGGCATATCTGGACTCCATTACCCAGCATCCCCTGCTTTGCAGCTCCTTGTTTGTCAAGAAGTTCCTCGACCCAAACAACTACTCTGCCAACTACACAGGTGTGTCCCTCAGACACTTTTTAGAATGATTTCAAATTGACTTATGGTGTTTCAGAAGTGAGACAGAGAGCCTGCACACACTTTGATCATTTCCGCTCCCTCCGCCAATCACATCTCCACTGATCCCATCTCACCCCTCTAATGCCTCTGTTACTACCTACAAAGGCAGCACGGCCGGGGGGGCGGGGGGATCACTTCTTCTCCCATTACGCTTTGGCAACAATCACATTGAAGGCTAAATGTAAATATGGCACCTTGAAACTGCATCTTATCTAAAACGTTTAACAGCCTTTCCATCAATCATGTCAAAATCCTTTGTAATAATTCCTAATAGCTCATCATAACTGACTTAATTATTTTTGACATGATGAGGTGAGAGTAGAAAGACTCCAGCTCTCTGTGATGTTTGGTAGAGTGAGCACGGACATGTGATCACTCAGTGTCTGAAAGCATCATTATTTCTGTCTTAGGTACAAACTTTAGATTCATGATAAGCTTATCTAAGTGTGTTCTGTTTGTTCTTCTGCCTCTCTGTCTCGCAGAGATCGCCCTGCAGCAGGTCTCCATGTACTTCAGGTCGGACCCAAAGTGGGAGGTCCTGGAGCCTCTCAGGGACATTGGTAAGAATCCTCACATTTTTGCAGCTGTAACCAGAGAATGGTGAAGAATGATTCATTTATTGATCTCAATAGTTCCTGATTATTTTTCTTTTATTAGCTGCTAAACTCATAAATAACAGTTTAAGTCCTAAACAGGGTATCTACTCTGTCAAAGTTCCTGCTTCCGTCTGTTATCATCACTCAGCAAACGGCCGTCTTGTTACTGTCTTTGTTTATAATCATAATCCGTCTGATACGCAGCGTCACTTCATTGTGGAGTCGACTTTTACAGTTGAAGTGATGTAACCTGGTCCAATCAGGTGACCTTTAGGATACAAGCTGACTAAAGGAGATGAGTAGATTTTGAACTTTTTTGCCATAGTAACCAGATTTACATTTAGCTGCGGTGCAAAGTTTGCTTACATTAATTAGCATGAGCTTATATTAGCTAGCGTAAGCAACGGGTCATATCAGACCCGATAAGGCTGAAGCTGCAGAATCCCTTTGTGTTATAACTTCATCACGTGTGTGTTTTATTACTTCTGAGTCCAAATGTAGATGGCGTTTCCTCGTTGCAGTGTTTTATTCACTTGTTATATTGATTTCTTCTGGTGGAGTGGAACTGGAAGTGACTGGCTATTTGTGTTTTCAGGCTGGAGGATCAGGAAGAAATATTTTGTAATCAAGAACAAAGAGCAGCCAAAGGAGAGGTATCTGCTGAGCTGGGTGAGTCCGACACAAATCAGTACGATTGACAGACAGCTCTGCTGACACACTAATCTTTACAAGACAAAACACACATTTCAAATAAAATCCATGAGAGATGCAGCTCTGTCAACATACTTTTTGAATGACCAGAGAGGTCAGGTTGACTCAACTTAAAGGAGACATTTTATATAAAATCCACTTCTACAGTGTTTTTGAACATATATTTGTGTAACCTGAGTGTCTACCGACCCACAAAATGTGAAATAAACCCATCCAGTCCTTTGTTTGTGGTCTGCATAAGTCTTACAACACAGAGAAAAATGCTCCGTTTCAAATGTGCTCTCCTTGTGATGTCACAGTGAGACTCTAGTAAAAATAATCTCCTCCCCTCCCCTCTCCTGGTATCTCCACCCATGGACTCCACCTCCAGCCTATACAAAACTTTTGTGCTGGTCCGCCATTTTCATTGTCGCTAGCAAAGGAGTGATGTCTACAGGGAAAACTCAGGGGTTGCTCATTGCATTTAAAGAGACACACACACCAAAACGGAGCGTTCTGAGAGAGCTGGTTTACACAGGGTCACAAACCTCCTCTGTTGCTTGATTCATGTTATATTTTGACCAAAGCACAGCACAGATGTTTCATTTAGACCACAGGGGACTGTTTGAAAAGGTGGAGAAGGGGTATAATATATCCTCTTTAAAGAAAAAATACTTTTTCTTCTCTGCTTGCTCAAACTGTGAGCAAAAATCATCTGAGGTTTTAATTATGGAGCAGAGCAGTGTCAATAAGAACAAATGCACACAGAAGGATGGGCTGCAGATAAAGTACTAGTGATGAAAAAACACGTTTTATGTCCCTGACAGGACTGAGAGATTATTCCAGGAGTATTTCACATACTGAGGTTTTTTCTCAGCGCAGTATAAATTCAATTTAGTTAAATTTAAATTCAATCAGATGTTCTCGGCTGATGTGAAAGTCTCATCCAGTCAGAGGAAACAAATGTTTAGAGAAAAAGGAGGTCTAAATACACTCTGATGTTTGTCACTCATATTTCACTTTATTGAGTAAAATAAAATGTTTTTGAATAACGTCCTTCAAACCCTCAGAGGGCATTTAAATACCAAAAGGGATTTAAAGAAGACCTTTCAGAAGTACATGGCCTAAATTAGTGCAAGATAATATTCCATAAAAAACTGAAGGAGAATAAATAAATCAAAAGCACTGAGTCCCTGTGTGTGTGTGTGCGTGTGTGTGTGTTGTAGGTGGACCTGGGGCCTGATAAGTTCTTGTCTGACAAAGATCTTCAGTCAGCCATGAAGCTGCTAACCAGCTTCTCTGTAAGTAAACTGTGACATCATGGATTGGTTTCTGAAGAGGCGTTATGAAGCCCAAACGAGTAAATATACTTCTCCTCTTCCTCCCTCAGACTCCCTATCTGTGTCCGCTGTTGTTCTCCAGCACCAGTGAGTCTTCAGCTCTGCTCATCCGGCCGTTCAGTGAGAGAGGCTCTCTCAGAGATCACATATGCAAGGTACACACTGTGTGTCAGTGTGTGGATTCAAAGCACCACTGTGCCACAATCAAAGTGCTTGTCCTCCTGTGATCTAAGCACCAATCGTGAGGGTGTTTCCCCAACAGTATAAAGGGGAGTTTTGTCCAGATTAATCAGATTTAACCTTTAATCGAGTTGTCTTTCTGTTTCATGTAGTTCCAAACGTTGACATCTTGAGATATGTTTCTAAGTTTTTCCTTCCAATACAACTCCACAGAGATGAAGGGTATTTAGTATGTGCTGTGCAAAGCATTGAAACAGTCTCTCTGTAACTCTGGATGAGCGTTCATATTCGGTATAGATAGTCTGGTGAAAACTGACTCTCTTCTCTCTCTCTCTCTCTCTCTCTCTCTCTCTCTCTCTCTCTGCAGGTGAAGCCCAGGGAGAGTCACCTGAAGAAGTACTGTAACCCTAAGAAGAGTCAGGGCCTCGAGCTGCAGCACATCAAGCTGTACGGACGTCAGATCCTGGAGGTAGACGCACACACACACACACACACACACACAAACACACACAAACACAAACCGAACAATGGCAAGAAATAAACAACACACAACCAAATAAAACGACTTGTTACCAGAGCTTTATGTGTGCATGTTTGTGTGTTTTCAGGGCCTGAAGCTCCTCCACGACGGAGGAATGTTTTTCGGTCACCTTCAAGCGTCCAACATTATGCTGGATGACGGCGTGTGTCGACTCATAGACGTAGAGAACGGCATGCTGGGAGTTCCCTCAGCGCTGCGGCCAGCCTTCACCCAGCTCAGGAAGATAAATGTAAGTAATGACTTGGTAAGATTGGATGTTGTGCGGCTCTTGTTGTTATCTCTTCACTAAACTGGAACATGCCAAAGGGTTCATGTGTTGTGTGTGTGTGTTCAAGTTTTTGTTTTTGTTTACAATCAAATGTTTTTGATATTAGATTTGTGTCTGTTATCTTTATAATATGTTGAATAAACCTGTAGAAGTCTAGGCTTTTAATGATCCGGGGTAAAAAGCAGGATATGTAGAAGATTTTCTTCAAAGGATACAGATAGAAAGTTAAAACTTAAACAACTGTGAACAGCATCTTTAAATCCCTCAATATGCCAAGGGATCTGTGCATAATCATACTTGTTGTGTTTTAAACTTTTGTTGGTGTGTCTGCAGAGCACAGAGAGCATCGATGTCTTCTGTTTCGGACATTTACTCTACGAGATGACGTACGGCCGACCGCCGGACAGCATCCCCGTCGATCAGTTCCCCGCCGTCCCCTACACCACTGTCGGTCAGTATATACACAGACTGATATCACAGTGCTGTGTCTTTAAATGCTGACACAACTAGCCTTGAAATGTCCCAAAGCGTATCCATGGTAACACATGTTGATTCATTGTGTGTTTTAGTGTCGGTGCTGCAGTCCATCCTGTCCACGGAGTCCTGTAAGAGCGGGATGCCGACCGTGTCAGAGCTCATGAAGACACCGTGAGTTCACCTGATGTTTTCAACGAGCAGTCAGAACGTGACGCATTATATTTGATATATACCAGAAACATTCAAATTCATACCATAGACACATGGGTATACTCTCTCTCTTTGGATTGCAGCAGCTTTTGGTTAAAATATGGCGGCACCGGGTAGCCTAGCGGTTATTACGCGCTCTCCAATGTACAGAGGATATAGTCCTCGCTGCAGCGGCCGTGGGTTCGACTCCGACCTCGGCCCTTTGCTGCATGTCACCCCCCACTCTCTCCTCCCAACATTTCCTGTCTTTCTTCAGCTGTCTGATTTATAATAAAAGCAAAAATGGCCAATAATTATCTTCTAGAAAAATATGACAGAAGAAAATGTAGTTTGTTAAAGCTTCAGTGCTTTTCAACACTTTCTTCTCATTAAAAAAAGATTTTATTGTTTTAAAAAACGTGGTATCAAAGTGTTTTCACAACCTTGTTTTCTACATGCATTCATCCATCCATCCATACAGACCCATATATCTAGTGTTCAAGCAAATATTCTCTGTAAAACAAACTAATGTGAGGAATTCAGAGAGCGTCTGGTTTTTTGGTTGCTGACGAGTCGCATGTTGTGCTCTGCAGGTTGTTCAGTGACGTTCAGCTGCAACACTCAGAAAAATCTCAGGTCAAGGTGAGAAGTTTGGTTTCAGATAACTTCTTTTGAGGTTGTCGGTGCATGCACATACAACAGTTTTTTATTCCTGCAGAATATTTGATAAAGAAAAACAAATGTTAACTTCCTCCTCCAGATTCCCAGCAGACTAAAAGAGGCGCTGAAGACGGCAAAGGAGAGTCTGGAGAAGCGGCTGCACGAGGAGCAAAGAGTGGTGCGTCGCTTTGTATTCCACATCTTTCTTTTACTTTTTTGTCTCAAGTGTAGATTAATGAATATGAAGTTTGCCTTTTGTTTGAAGGATCATTTTGTGTTTTGATGTTTTATTAAAGCTCCACCAGCACAGGAGGCTGACCAGAGCTCAGTCTCACCACGGCTCAGAGGAGGAGAAGAAGAGGAGGAAGATTCTGGCGAGGAAGGTCGGAAACACAGTCTCAGACACACAACACTAGAAAGAAACCTCCTGACATCAGAGCAGACATCTTGGCTGTGACTGGTTGGAGGTTTATTTTCAAACCTTCAAATACAATAGCTCAAAATACTCTTTAATAACTGAGACTCATGGGACATTTTGCCATTGTTTGGGTTTGTTAGATTTGATAGAACAAGGACAGAAACGAACAGATGAGTCTAAACTGAACTACATACCGATTAATGACTGAGATTAAAGTGTAAAGGGGGAAGGCTTTAAAGGTCACATATCCTCCTCCTCCTCATCAAGTTTAAATACGTCTTAGAGCTCCTAAAACATGTCTGGGAAGCTTCTTGTTCTACTCTATTTCAGCCCTGCTCAGAACAGTCTGTTTCTGTATCTGTACCTTTAAATGTAAATGAGCTGTGTCTGACCATGCCCCCTCTCTGGAAGGGCTCAAGTGGCTCTGGCTTTCTCGCTCCATGTCCTATAGTTTACGGTGAGAAGGCAGACTCAGAGGGCAGAACAAACACCTAGCTGTGGGAGTGTCACCCACCTGGGGGAGGGGTTACTGCCCTTTGTGATGTCATGAAGGGAAAATCTCCAAACGGCCTGTTTGAACACATATTTTCTGAAAAGTGGAGCAGGCAAAAGACGAGGGATGGACTTTTCTCATCATTGGGGGGGTTTGTAGACAGACTAGAGACACATATTAGTGTTAGAGAAACATGGTGAAGTGGACTCTGTATTATATTTGACCTTTAACTCTTCAGTTTTACAACCAAGAGGATTTAAATGTCATGTAAAAACCTGTGTTCATGTTTTTGCAGAAGTCCAGACAGTCGGCGTATGAAAACGAAGAAGACATGTCCGTCAGGAACAACAATAACTCTGGTAGGTCACTGAACACTACTAAAGCTTTTCTGTTAGGTCATTATTGAGCCAGCTAGCAACTCTGTCTGTAATAACTTTATTTTAAGTTCTTTGATGTGGGTAAAAAGTGTGCATGCCCCTCTGTGACAGAAAAAACAAGGAAATTATGAAAGACTCAACATGATGCATCAGCCATGTTTAAACCTTTTGTGGACAGGAAAGTAGGAAGCTTACCATGGCGATGAACTTCTCTTTTTGTATTCAGGTTCTGGAGCCAGCTCCCCTCCTACATGCCCCTCCTCCCCCACGCCACCATCCACCACAGGTATGCCTGTCTGTCTGTTTGTCCTCCTTTCTGTCTTAAACTGAAGTTTCATACATGCAGGATAGCTCCCCCTTGTGGCGACACGACTGGTCTGTCTTAGCACGCTGCTCAGATCAATAACTTTTTTTTCTTTTTTAATAACCATGAATGTAATCTGAATTTTGCATGAATGAATTTGAAGTCTAATCACCTGACTTAACCTGTCTGTCTGTCTGTCTGTCTGTTTCTTCACCTCTTCTTCTCTCATCATATGATTACCTGCTTTTCAGACAGGTATCTGTCTCTGCTGTAACTGTGTCTAATCACTTAGTCGTGTCTTTTAGAGAACTTGATGCAGGGTGGGAAACTCTGATCTTTGAAAGAAACAAATCCCATGAGAAACTCAAACCTTTATTGTGGCTCTCGACCTCCAGCTCTTCATTTTCTTATTAATGAATAAATCTTTCAAACAGCTCACAAATACAGTCAGCACTTGGAAATAGCTACAATAGGAATAAACAAGATTTATTATAGAGAGAGTCTGTGTGGAAAAGAGTTCAAAGACGTTAGGCGTCTACTAGCTCACTGATTGTTCAGCATTTGTTTTCATTTATGTTTTAAGTCAAAGTAAAAATGTGCTGAGGCGCCATGTGCTGCACTTGTGTTTTATTCAAATGCTGGATGTTTTATAGACGGGTTGTAAATATTATTTTAAAGACGTAACAACATCTTTTTCTTTCTTTCTCTCTCTCTGACTGTCTGTCTCTTTTTGTATTTCCTGTTACGGTCTGTCTTTCTTTTGTTTTTATTTATTTCTCAGCCTTTCTTTCTGTCTCTCATCATCTCTTTCTGTATAACGATGGATCTTTCTATCTATCTCTCTTTTCTTCTCTTCCTTTCGTTCTGTCGCTCTGTGTTTTCCTCTACACTTTTTAGTCGATCATTTCCTTGATGGGTTTGGTTTTTTCATTGGATTAATTGAAAGTAAAAAAACTGGATATCACCAGACTTAAGTTTCCACAATATGTTGACACAAATGTGGCATCAGTTTCCCACCCTGGTAGTGTCTCCTCCTCGTTTCTCCTCTCCTCTCCTCTCCTCTCCTCTCCTCTCCTCTCCTCTCCTCTCCTCTCCTAACTTCCTCTCCTCACTTCCTATCCTTCCTCTCCTCTTCTTTTCTCCTCTCCTCTCCTAACTTCCTCTCCTCTCCTTACTTCCTCTCCTCTTCTGTTTCTCATCTCCTAACTTCCTCTCCTCTCCTCTCTCCTCTCCTCTCCTAAATTCCTCTCCTCACCTGTTTCTCCTCTCCTCTCCTCTCCTAACTTCCTCTCCTCTCCTTACTTCCTCTCCTCTTCTGTTTCTCATCTCCTAACTTCGTCTCCTCCTCTCCTAAATTCCTCTCCTCTTCTGTTTCTCTTCTCCTCTCCTCTTCTGTTTCTCCTCTCCTCTCCTCTCCTCTCCTCTCATCTCCTCCTCTCTCCTCTCCTTTCCTTACTTCCTCTCCTCTCCTCTTCCTCTCTCCTCCTCCTCCTCCTGGTGAAACTGTGTAAATGCCGATTGAACAGATAATTGTCATCTCTTCTTCTCTCCTCTTCCCGTGCTGTCTCCACCATAGAGCATGCTCCATTCTGACCGTGTCGTTGGGTAAAGTAAAAGATTTATAATGTCGATGATGATGATGAAGGTCTCTGGTGGTTTTTGAAGATGTTGCACACCCTCGTCAACCAGCGAGCTACTTGTCACAGAGATCTGTTAACATGATTCCATTTAGAGAGGAAATAAATAAAAAAATGGATGAGCCTTGATCAATACACAAAACAGCCCCTCTAAAGTGCGAGCTTATCATAAACTTTTCTACCTAAATGATTTTGTAAGTTTGGGGTTTTCTGACTTCACAATAGGGGTGGGACAAACTATCGATACAGCAATATTTATTCACCTGACTCGTGATCCTATATATATAGACCCCGTGTCCACCTAGCTTTATTTTCTGAGCGGCAGCGTCTTTTTTCAGTTGTTTTCAATGAGTAGAGAGCGCTCACAGCAGAATGCAGCCTCCTGGATGAAAAGTGCAACACCCAGCATCTTCTGCCTTTTTTGTACTGCCGCTCCGAGCGCTCAAGTAGAAAATCTTTTAACTTTTCACAAAGGCGCTGTTGACATCACTGGCGCTCTTTTCCAAATTTATGATGTTCCCTGTATTTTTGCCGCCTACAGATCGTGTCTTGTACCCACATCCTCTTTGCTCCGTGTCTGATCGGGAAATAAACGCTCAAATAAAAAACATGCAGTGGCCGTTGTCAGCAGACTGTTGTCATAGAGACAGGGCAGACGTGCAGCAACGCTTAATGCGCAAAGATGATGCTTGCGACCATCTCAACCTTATAAGAGGAAAGTGTCCGACATTAATCACTGTAAGCATTGAGCAGTTTAATCTACAAACTCTATGAAGTTAGCAGACGATAAGTAGAAAATGAATTGGATGTGGTCTAAGGTGACGAGGCAGCTGCTGGACCGGATCAGGGTGTACACACATCTTTTTAAAAACATCACAATCTGCAATGATGCCCCGAACCTCACACACATACGACTCCTGCACGATCCCGACCCGCAGTCCTCATTGGAGATTGTGATCTGTCAGTTGTGTCCGTCTGCTCGCTCCGTCATTTGTAGCATGTCCGTCTGTCTTTCTTCTGTCTCTGTGTCTGTTCTGTCGGCTCGTACTCTACGTTTGGTTTTTGAGCCGATTCTCACCAAGAAGTCTAACAAACTTACAGAATAGACTCTTATTGGATTAGCGGTTCCCCATGCTGTGAGTTGTTGAAATGATTTCCTCCCCGTTTTATACACAAATATTTTGAATGAAGTTCACTTTCTTCTCAAACATCTTTAAAGTCTCAGGTCAAACTTTATTGCATTACTTTTGGTTTCTTTGCACAGACAGGTTTACAGCTGAACTTCAAATTTTGTATGATTTAAATTTGATTTGTGTATAATTTATAATGGTAGAAGGAAATCCATCCTAATCTGGTTATAATCTGAAGACTTTCAGGTCATGCTCTCTGCAGACACAGTCACCACCACACATGGATGAAGTGATGCTTGAGCAGTCTGTATTTTATTTTTGATGAAACCTACTGACTGTAGCTTTAATTTATTTTTAGCCAAATTATTGTTGTGAGAAGGTACGAGTTTGGAAACATACTTTTGTTTTGTTCCAGGAGGACAATTTATAAATCAGTTTGGATTAGTCGGGAGATAAAACTCAAGGTTCCTTCAAGAGTCTTCCTTCAGAATTTAAGGTCATAAAATTCGTTCATTAAAACGTCTTATTCTTCATTTGTGAGAGGTCCTCTTGAGACGGCACTATGACCGAGTTAGTGTTTTTTTTGTAAATCTTTTCAGTGGATTCATTGTTTATGTAACAATCAGTGGCCTTTACAGCACAGATTAGGTATGGAAGAGATAACGATGAGGAAATGCAAGTTCAGTGAAATATGGCCTCAAAATGAAAAAATATAGTGAAAATGACTGAGACATTTAGCAAGATACGCCCAAAAAACAACAACTTACAATTTAGACAAAGAGAACCAAAGTCGTTTTGAATCTCACATGAAATTTGAGAAGCAGCGACCCTATGAATTGTAAAATATGTTATTCATTTATTTGATTTTAAAAAGTGTGCAGTAGTCCTGAATGTGCCAGCACACGTTTACAGATCTAATCTCAGATTTCACACTCGCTCGTGAAATGCTGACTCTGCTGGACTCTGATGATGGAGGACTCGCTTTAATATGCAAACTTTGAACATGACCGCAGACTCGTGTCAAGATTCACAGAAATGGACTCTACAGAACAAGAAGCTGCTCAATGTAATGAAAGAAATGATCTGGAGCTAATCCTCACTGCAGGAAGAAGATGTTCCTCCACTGATTACTGTTGAACTTTTATTTTTAAATGTGAGTATCTTGCAGTGATGCTCATCGTCGACCCCTGCAGTGACTTTCTTCAGGTGTGGTCACATCTGTCAGACTGACTGATGTCCTTTCTTTACACTGCAGATCATTCTCTCTGTGTGTGTATTCAGACAGGAAGTCCTTCCTTTACCTCTGCTGTACGTTTATGTCACGCTCCCCTACATTTTGCTTCTCTGCCTGCAGCCCCTGGGGTTTCATTCAGTTTGGGATGCAAAGTGGCACAGCTGAAAGGAAAGCATCGGGCTTAAGATCAACTCACCATCAGTTAGTCAAAGTGAAGCTGATAATGTGAAAATGGAGGAGGACTTTTAACTTTGTCTTTAATAAACAGATTGGAGAAGCTCATCTAGTTCAGAATAACAGAGCTGTACGTGAAGCTTTATCAATTTGATTTCATATTTTAACAAGCTGCTGAGCTGAGCTGATGAAAACACGAAACATCTGTAAATATGTTGTTAAACGAGATTCAAACACGTCTTTATATAGGGAGCTAATAGGACTTTCAACTCGATGTTAATATGATGCTGGGCATCAAAAATCTTTTCTCTTGGTACCAACCAACAAAGTCGTGTTGAAACTGATGGTGGATTGAGCTCAGCCTGGACCCTGATCTGCAGGAACTGGTTTCACAAAGATCTAGTCTTTCCACACAAAGTGTCCCCGTTACTCTGCACACAGAACAAACAACATCTGCACCCACCCTTGCGTGTTTTTTATTGTTGGCTGTAGCTGTATTTATGCAAAGTTTCAACGTTTCAATCTGTTGTTCGGTGTTGGAACAGCCTACGTTCAGACCTAAACATCGAAAATGAAACATACATTTGTTGTGAGTTGTTGTGACAGCTACAAATTTGTTAAAATATCAAAAAATGTGAAATGCCCAAACCAATATTAAGGTCACATATTATTCAAAATACACTTCACCATGTTTCTTGAACACTAATATGTGTCCTTAGTCTATCTATGACATCAAGACCTTAAATCATCTCTTGAGATGAACACAAGGCAAAAAAATCTCAAAATTTACATCAAGGGTTCAGCGTCCAGTGTTAGAAAAAAGAGAGAGAGAAAAGTACCTGGTGTCCTAAACTGTTAGTCTAGCTATATCAAATAAGAATGGTTGTTATTTTGACGACACACACTCCTCACTAGTGTAGCTCGATATTAGAATTTTAAACTTCAATAACTAAAATAGTTGATGTCAACTCCTGTTTCGATACCATGGCAACCAACATAGAAGGCCTAGGCACCGAATGCTGAGAACATGCAAGCAAACTCTGTACTTTTCAACTGTTGGTACTTTTTGATGCTGTTAATTATTGAAATAACAGATTATATTGTTTTCCAACACGTGGTATCAAAAATGATCATAGTGTCGGACATTTTGAAAACCTCACTCGTTCATTCAAGAGTCAAACTTGAATGCCTTTTGTGAAACCAGCTCCCGGGGAATCTGCATGCTGCCAGCAACCTGCAGTTTTTATTCTATGAATCTTAATCTGACGTGCTTTCTTTTATTCTCCTCTCTTTAATCCAGGAGGCCAGACTGCTCCTCCCCCTCCTCCCCCTCCTCCCCCTCCTCCTCCCATGCTGGACTCCTCCTCCTGTCCTCCTCTGCCCTCCACTGACGGAATGGGAGGAGGTCGCAGCGCTCTGCTGAGCTCCATCCAGGGTTTCAGTAAGGGCAAACTGAAGAAGTCAGATACCGTCGACCGCAGCAAACCCATCATCTGACCCCCGTTCACCGCCTGACCTCGCGCCCCCCCCCCCCCCCACTTTAAACCATCACTACGGCAACACGATTGACCTATGCACTGGTTCTGCACTGTGGTCTGAACAGGTTCAAGCTGTTGCTTCCTGTGATGTGAAAGGAATCACTAACCAAGAGAAAATCCAAGTATGGTTTTGGTTTTTAGCACTAGCGCTGCTTTTTCCTGCTGTTATATTTACAAAAATCTGTTGCTGTGGTTAGAGATGGCGCAGGATGGATGATGAAACTGTTCCTGCCTCAGTCTGCCCTTTCAAACACTTTGAGACAATCCTCTGCTTCTGAACGTTTGTTTGTCACAAGGAGACGTCCCACCAAACTCCAGCCTGAGAAACATTCAACCAACCTGCTTCTTTTCTGCGCTTTTGTTTCGCTTGTAAAAGATGAGTATGGACGTTTGGGAGCCACTGTGGACACTTGATCTCGCTGGATGATGAGGTTTAACTTCCTGGATTTAAAACTCTTTGGGTCGGTGCTGTGACGCTGTACCCGCCCCGATCCTGGAGCAGCAGAGGAACTGGACCAAACTCCGGGCTTCATCCTTCAAAAATCATCTCAGTCCTTCTGACGTGTAGCCTCCAGACTCTGCTGAGACCGTTTCACTGCAGGACGTCAGTGACCGAGAACGTCTCCATGACAACCAGAGCTACGCTGCAACAATCAGCACCTTCAAGTTTTTTCTGTCTACAATTACGTTACTTAAAATATAACTTTGTTGAATCAAGTGCAGAATTTTATAAAAAAAATAAACAAGAGTCTGCACGTTGAATCAAGAAAAAACAAACAGAACTATTTTATCTTTAAATAAATGAATAAATTTAAGTATATTTATTGGAAATGAGTAAAGAATCTATTTTCGCTTGTTTGATGAATTGAAGACTTAAAGTACAGACTAACTGATCCTGAAAGAAGGAGGTCGGTGACAGTGAGTCAGAAACATGTACCGTAGTCGAGCTGGGATCACGCCTGCTGCTGATTGGTCGTTTGAGATTCATTTGATTTACTTTGTGCAATTATTCACCGGTTTGAGATGACGTTAGTAAAACTAAGACAGGGATCCTTCGCGGAGTTCATCCCTGTTAACAGTACAAACGGAAACATCTGAATTCTTTGGTCGGGTGAACTCTATTTGGGAAAGTAAGGTGTGTCACGTGCCGAAGCTAAAGCTGTCAAGTCCTGTAATCATCCGGCGTTCTGATTGGTCACTTCTTGTCAGTCAGGAAACAGATGTTTGAGACGAGGGAAGAGTTTATCTCGATGCTCCCGCTCCTTAATATTTACATCACGTTGGTGGATGAATGTGCGTTTAATCCACGACTACTTTTGCCATCTTTTATAAAACAAGTTTACGTCTGTGCTCGAGGAAATGAATGGGATGTCAGCTATCACACTATATCTACTATCGGCCCCAGTCTGACCTGAGAGTAGGTTACAAAACAGCTGGAATTAGAGATGCACATGTTTTTTTTATCTGCAGTCAAATATTGCCAACATGGAGGAACCCCTGCTTCTTGTTAATGAGAGAGATATTATTCCCCATGTGTTCAATTTAGAGGAACATACTGGGTAAACCTTGCAGACATAAGTTTAGGACATGCCACTACGCTGCTCTTTTTTTAGCATAATTTCAAACTTGCACTTTTCCAGTTTGAAGCGACGTGAGGCAGAGATTCTGTTCAGACGTCTTTACTGTCACAGATCAGATCATCATGAATCTGCACTGACGACATGTCCAGTCCAGCTGCAGCGGGAGATTTGCTGAGATGTAAGATGTAGCTTCTTTGCACCTCAATGAAAGTTTTTTTTTTTTTTTTTTCGAGCATACAACACTCGTACTAATGCTTTTGCAAGTTTGAGTCACTAACTAAGACTCACACACCGATTACATCACTGTTTGTTAATTTTTAAAACCTCCACCTGGTTTTAGAGCCTCTTCCTCTCAGGCTGCCGCTCTGAAAAACAACTTCCTAAAACTTCAAACTTGTCGACAGGAAGTCCATCACAATCCAGCCCTCTTTCATATTGGATTAAAAAAAAGTATTTTTATACAAGAAAAAGCAGGAGAAGTTAACGAAACAAACTTTCATCTGTCCCCCCTCTCAACAAAATCTATTTTTTAACAAGTGGCTCAAACTTGGACGTAGAAACTGCAAGTTTGACACTTTTCAGAAAAGTGTCAATCTTGAGACCAGATGATAACATCTTTGTGCTCAAAGATGTGACATGTTTACTCTTCATTTCTTCAGTTAAATCTGCAGATGTAGATACAAGTACCAGCAGTGATAGTGGTGACTGTAAGACGACACGTTGCTTCCATTTGACTGCAATCAAGTGTTTATTTTAGACCTTTATTGGGTTGATTCCTGCTACCTTTGTGTTTTGCCTGTTTTATTTTGATTGTGCCATTTGGATCATTGTGCCTGGAAACAGATATCTGAATGTTTTGGATTCTTAACTTGTCTATATTGTACCTGAACAGATGTTCACTTTAGCACACAGGACTTCTTTTGTTTGGTCATTTCACTAAATTTGACCAAGTCAGAGCAACTTCCCTAAATAAGAAACTTACAACCAATTCTTTATTATCTGGTTGAAAAAAAGTTGACTTGCTGTGTGCTGAAGTGTTAGCCTGTGTGTCGGGCCGAGCTGCTGCTGCTGGATCATTACTCTGTTGTGAGTTTTGAGCTCTGGTGAACTTTGCTGCCTGATGTTTCCGATCACTTCAGTCCAAGTTTCAGCTCTCAGAATGTTTTTTTAATGACCGCTTCATGCTTACATTGTTTTTATTATTCAGTGCAATCCGGTCCAATGCGATGGTCTTCACGTCTTGAATCATGGTCATTGAATATTTCTCTGCAGCACTTTACCCACGAGGCGTGGAAGCCCAGTCCCAAGGTGTGGGTTTTTTTTGTGTGTAAAAATAAATTTTCCAGGGACGACTCTGGGTCACAAGTCAACTCAGAACGAAAAAAACACTTGGTTATCTGAAGGCCACTTACATTTACCACTCTTCAGATGCATCAAATATTTTACTGCAGGTTCTTTTTTTTTATTAGCCAAACAGTTAGTCCAAACTAAATCTTCATATAAATGAAGCAGCAGAAGGATTTTCCTCATCATACATATTGAAACAAAAACATCTAGCTACCCTGCTGGGATGAAATGAAAACTGTATCAACTGAATGAACGTTTGAATAAAAATTGGTTTGAGAAAATGTGTGAGTTGTGATTATTGTAAACGCTGAGTTTCTGAAACAAATTTTGGAAATGTGAAAGGCTGAATAAAATCAAAGACTTAGTAAAAAAAGAAATAGAAACAGTAGAAGTGCAAAACAATATATACAGGTCAAAGGAATTTAGCCTGGCCCATGCTGACTTACAGTATGTCTAAATTTTTTCAGATTATTTTATTATGATTAACCGCTCTTGAAAATTGTGGCTCCTTGCAATGTTTTAAACTGGATTAGCAGTAGAGGACAAAAGGTCGTAAAGGACATACATTTTTTTTAAATTAACAAAACAGTCATTGCGTGAGTGTCTGTAGATATTTGAAAGCTAAATGTGCGTTTTGGTTATCAGACAGGGTGGGACGTCAATTACGCGGCTCCACCAGCCAACTAAATTTTGTGCGAGTCTTGGTTCGAAATGACATCACCAGCACAACATGTCAGCGCCCATCCCGGTGGTATTTGACTTCACTTTTGCACAAGAGAAAAGACATAAAAGGAGACACGCTGTCCATACAGTCAATGTCGTGGACCATGTCTCTGGTCTTAATGCTTAGTTAGGCTTATAAAACATTCTAAAATTTATGAATAATAAGTAATCTTAATAATCTTAAATGGAGACTTTTATAGAAAAAAAAACTTTATAAATAAATGTGTTCCCATTCCTCATATCTAATGTTTAGTCTATGTTACTCTGGTGGATGGTAGAAATGCTCCTCCTTGCCCAATGACATCACAGCGCAGTGTCCTTGGATTCTTTTTGAGGTTCCTCCCGCCCCTCTCTCCGATCTCCCGCTGTGATTGGCTCTGAGCTATGACACGGTTCCGGACGACGCGCAAGCTGAAGCGTTTGATTGGTTGAAATCCTCTGACCTCGGCGCATGCCCCCTCCTTCTCTCCGGCAGAGGACAGGTTCAACATGGCTGCGTCCCTGAGGTGTTTTCTCCGCTCAGGAAAAGTACGTGATTATTCAGGACTATGTCGTGTATTATTCCACTGTATGAGTCTTAATGGTGTCGTTATTACATGGCGTGTCTGTGTGTGTTTCCACAGGATGTCGTGTCGGCGCTGGGACGGCGGGAGTTTCACAGGAGTGCTCCTGTCGCTGTGCAGGTCAGTGTTAGCAGCTAGCAGGCTAACTTTAGCAACAAGCTAACCCCACCCCCAGCTACTGTAGGCTACATTGTAATGTTTGAGCTACAGTGATGGGTGTCAAAGTGTGACTCAGATGTGTAAGCTATTTTAAAAGGTTGCTCCTACAGTTTTTTAAAAAGGCATGTTACGGCTTCCTGTTTGTGTCCGGTCGCTGGGCTGTGACATCACATCAAAAACTGCTTTAACATGTTGGAGAAAACACATCTGACTGTGACTGTCGCTGGTTGCCTGCACTGCCCGCAAAAGCTAGAAAATAAGATCATATTTACATCTACTTTAATGCATTAAATGGATCAATTTCCGCATTAGATGTAGAGATGCACAGATCCAATCTCAGTGAAGCAGCAGCAGCCTTTGAGGTGAGTTAACCTTGATGTTTCAGTCAGTAGTGTCATTGGTTAACTGCAAGAGGCTTTTCTTGTGTTGTAATGTTTTCCAAAGCAAAAGAGTCTCAATGAGGGAAACATCTGACTGCAGGAGGGATGTTGGGATGTTGAAAACAAAATACACTCATACTAGACAAAATAAACGACCCAAAAAATCCTCACATGACCTTAAGAAGAGCTGTTGAATCAACGATAGAGTCATTTTTGAGTAGGTTTAACAGTTGTCCCCCCCCCCCACCCCAGGCTTTGGAGAGTTTGTGTTAACAACAAGAACATGTCTAGAATTCTACAATTCACTTAGCAGATGTACATCAGAGAGTAAGAACAACACAAGCAAGGAGCTAGAAAAAAAAGGGAACAATGTCAGTAAGAGCAAACGATCAGCTTTGAGTCCGATTGGACACACAGGTGCTGACAGGAAGTGACCAGAGGCAAAGCACAACATTGACGTCAGTTCTTGAGAGCTCTAATCAGTATAGAAACCATCTTATAAGTCGTCATTATCAAACAAAAACCATCGTCACAACCATCATCATCATCGATAATATCAAGACCATCATCATTAAGTTAGTAGGTATTCATGAAAGAGCTGGGTCTTTAGTTTTTACTTAAAGGTGCAGAGGACATGTCCTGAGTGATTCGGGGGAGAAAAGCTATAAAGCGTTGTTGTTCCTGCCAGGTGACGGTCCGTGATGCCCTGAACCAGGCGATGGACGAGGAGCTGGAGAGGGACGAGAAGGTGTTCCTGCTGGGTGAGGAGGTGGCTCAGTACGATGGAGCCTACAAGGTGAGGAGACATCTATTGTTTCATAAAGAGACTATGTAGCCAGTGGTTATTTCAGAGTTTGGACACTTAGAGAATAGCCAGTGATTTTGTTTTGGTCTTAAATCCCATCACTCTTCATGTCTGTCAGTACAACGTTTCACTTAGAAAGTTGTCAGTTGAGACAAATAAAAACAATTTTTAGGGATTCAAGGAAGATTTATAGAAATCAGAACATGTTAGTCGTCCGCGACAGGGAACAAAATTACATAAAGTTCATGGTTAAAAAGACACATAGAAGACATATAAAAATACAGCGATCATAAAATAAAAAGTAGAAAACTAAAAACTGTGAAAAGAGGGAAGACTTTCTGCAATAAATTAAGTCTACACCTCGATAAATTCAGAGTAAGAATAGCACATCTTAGGTGTGTAACAGAAACGCTTAAAAACATCCTACAGCAGCATAAAGGCTGTACATATATTATGGTGAATAGAGTATTTTATGCGCTCACGACTCACTCCTGAACGTGTAGATATGTTAATTTTCTTAAATAGCCTACACAGCAAAAGCATTAGGTGTATTGTTAAAAGGCTTACATGGTTTTATTTCACTTTTAAAAGGAACCTTATGTTGGTTTTATAAAGGAGTTTCATTCGGTCAGCCTTGCTATCGTTGGACTTTGTTTTGTTAGGCAGCGCCTACGTTTAAAAGAGCGATAGCCTCGTTGTTTTATTGTTTTAAGTTGTATTTATTTAATGAATTAATGTTTCAAGTAACTATTTTGCTGCTGTAATGATTTCAATAAAACATAAACTGAGAAAAATATGTGCATTTTGTATCTCATTAAATATTAATAATTAAAAGATGATTGAAAAGGTGTTCAACTATCGGTTAAGAAAAATGACTGAAATTTGCAGCCCTACTTTGTACAGTCATATTGTATGTTTGTGTTTTCCCCCTGTATAGGTGAGCAGGGGTCTGTGGAAGAAATATGGAGACAAGCGCATCATCGACACCCCAATCACAGAGGTGAGACACTCCCAACATCTGTCATTCACAGATACATGTGTTTTTGTTTTTTCAGTTACTGTTTGATTTACTGGTCGATCTTTGTTCCAACCCTCACCTGAGCTATGTGTAGTGACTAAGAGAATAAGATACAAGAGGCTGAACTGAGTTCCCTCCAGAGAGTGGCTGGGCTCAGCCTAAGAGATAGGGGGAGGAACTTAAACATTCATGGGGAGCTCAGAGTAAAGGTGTTGCTCCTTTGCATGGAAAGCATGGCCAGTTGAGGTGGTTCGGGCATCTGATTAGGATCCTCCTGGACGCCTCCCTTTAGAGAGGTTTTCTGGACACGTCCAACTGGGAGGAGACCCGGAGTAGACCCAGAGGGAGGGATTATTTATCCCATCTAGCCTGGGAAGTTGAACGCCTAGGCATCCCACATGAGGAGCTGGGAAATGTTGCTGAGGGGAGGGAAGTCTGGGTTGACTTACTTGTGTTTCAATGAGTTTCCACCGCGCCCCGACCTCGGATAAGCGGAAGAAAATGGACAGATGTTTACTTTGTAAATTGTACAGTTGTTAATTTCTCGGCTGGATAACGTCTCTCTTCTTTGTTTCAGATGGGCTTTGCCGGCATTGCAGTTGGAGCCGCCATGGTGAGTCTCTTGGCAATAAACGAAACTCTTCCAGCACAATAACATGATAACACTATGTTTATTTAAAGCCCACTGTTTTTAAATATAACTTTGATTGACACCTTTAACCACAAAACTCGCTTTAGAATTCAAAAATGCATTTTACTACCGTATTTTCCGCACTATAAGGCGCACTGGATTATAAGGCGCACCTTCAATGAATGGCCTATTTTAGAACTGTTTTCATATATAGGGCGCACCGGATTATAAGGCGCATAGAATAGAACGTGTTTACAACTGAACAAGGCTGGGAGATATTGTGAATATATAAATATAAATACGTATAAAACGTGACGTATAAAACTACAAAAACAAAAGTACATAAGACGATTTCCCCAAATAATAAATGATTTCTTTGACGTTTCTCTTAACTCTCAAAACGTAGTTTTATACGTAGTGCATTCACAATAACTCAACGTTGTTCAAACGTTAATGTGCATATTCACAATATCTCCCAGCCTTGTTCAGTTGTAAACACGTAAAAGAAACACAGTCTGATACCGCTAATTCAAACGTTAGTGCAGGGGTGCCCAAACAGTCGATCGCGATCGACAGGTAGATCGCTGACTGATTCTCAGTCGATCGCGAGATGTTTTGTCAATATAAAATACAATTGTAAAATAGAAAAGTGATTTCAATTTCATCTCATTGCACTGTTTCCCACACACGATACCTGTGTTGGGAGCCCAAGTATACTTCCGACCTGTGTGTATTTAATTTTTCATTTATTCATGAAATTTCTGCGTGCATGAGAGAGAGAGCGAGCGGGGGAGCGAGAGAGAGAGAGAGAGAGAGAGAGCGCGCGCAAGAGAGAGTGCAGGCATGCGCAATGACGTGTAGGTAAAACCGGGGGGTAAATGTTTTACCAAAAAGTCATATATAGAAACTATGCTACGAGTATTAAGCGCATTTGATGAAGCTGCAGCTACTTTTCTCTGCTCCTCTCTGCTGTCATGACTGTGAGCATCGTGGGGGACGAGACACACCAACAAACAGCGCACACACACACACACACACACACACACACACACACACACACACTTGGACTGGAGCGCCAGCCACCACGCGAACCTTTTTACTTTTTACATTTAGTGCTACAGCACACAGTTGATCCGTGATCCGTACGGACCGAGGTGGGAACACGTGACCCGGTCAAACAGTCGGTTGGACTTTACTCCGTTCACTCTCACCGTGTCTGCAGCTAATTTAACAAAAGCAAAATCACAGCCTGCTGTAGTCTGTAGTCTGCATTATTTTTTACAGAACTCTCATTTATTATTTTCTGTTTGTTGTGTGAGTATTAAATGCGTTTGTAGGCTGTTGGTAAAGGCTATGGCTCACTATGTGGACTGGTAGATCTCGGCAGACTGGCAACTTTAAAAGTAGATCTTGGTTCAAAAAAGGTTGGGTACCCCTGCGTTAGTGCATAACTCAACATTGTTCAGTTACGTATAACACGTAAAGCTCACTTTTTCAGTTCATTCCGCGTCCACGAATCCCTCGAATTCTTCTTCTTCAGTGTCCGAATTGAACAGTTGGGCGAGTACGGCATCCAACATGCCCGGCTCCCTCTCGTCATTATCCGAGTCAGTGTCGCTGAGCGCCGTGTACAACCAGTATGGATCAACCAATTAACCGATTGATCCATATATAAGGCGCTCCGGATTATAAGGCGCACTGTCGTTTTTTGAGAAAATTAAAGGCTTTTAAGTGCGCCTTATAGTGCGGAAAATACGGTACATAGGTTGTTTTCGCTGTGTTGGTCACTCTCAGACTCTCCTTTGATTCAAAATGTTGACTCATGTTCTCGTTGTTTTATAAGCAAATCTTTACATGCCCCCTTACCGACTCTCTGGTGTCTCCCGCAGGCTGGCCTGAGACCCATCTGTGAGTTCATGACCTTTAACTTCTCCATGCAAGCCATCGATCAGGTCATCAACTCTGCAGCAAAGACGTACTACATGTCAGCCGGTCAGCAGTCGGTGCCCATCGTCTTCAGGGGCCCCAACGGAGCGTCCGCTGGCGTGGCTGCTCAGCACTCACAGTGTTTCGCTGCGTGGTGCGTTCACTTAACACCTGATGTCTTCTCTACAGCCTTTACACTCTTAATACCTGTGTGCAGTTCTTCATAGTTGCTGTATTCAAATGTGGATGCTGTTTTTGCAATATGAACACTGAGCAGAACAGCTGATATGTAAAGGTGCTGAGCATGTGATGCTGGTGTCAGTGACGATGTTGTCTGTGTGCAGGTACGGTCACTGTCCAGGTCTGAAGGTTGTGAGTCCCTGGAACTCAGAGGATGCCAAAGGTCTCCTTAAAGCAGCGATCAGGGACGACAACCCGGGTAAGACACTGGATTTAATCAGGTCAAAAATCATCTGTAACCAAAAGCTTTCAAGTGAAATACATGATTATGGGTCGCTGTTGACTCATGTACAGAGGCTGCAGTCCTCCAAGCGAGCGGCCTGGGTTCAAATCTGACCTGTTGCTCCTTTCCTGCATGTCATCCTCCACGCTCTCTGTCCCTGATTTCTGACTCTATCCACTTTCCTATCTCTCCAGTAAAGAAACAAAATAAAAAGGAAGTTCATCTTCATTGCCTTAATGACTTTTTTTTTTTTTGCCAAATTCTGCAGCAACACCAGGCTAGTAAAACAAGACTGAGCCTTAAATTGGGATGAACTTTATTTTCAGTTTTACGGTAGTTATATTTAAATGCATTTAAGATTGGATCTTAGAGAAGAAGCTGCACTGACACATTTCAGTGTCTCCTGGGAGCGTGTAAATCTTACGAAAATATTCTTTTCCATGCCTCCATCTTCAACAGCTGTGACATCCCTCAGCGATGCATGAAGAAACTGTAAGGTCTTTCTCACTGTTTTTATTGAACCCAGCGTCCCTGTTTGTGTTGCAGTGGTGTTCCTGGAGAACGAGCTGATGTACGGCGTTCCCTTCGAGATGTCCGAGGAGGCACAGTCCAAAGACTTCACCATTCCCATCGGCAAGGCCAAGGTCGAGAGGCAAGGTGAGGCTTGCTCTTTGTACAGACACTTAAACATGGTGATACTATTTTAAGGGGGAGCTGAGACCCCCTGAGACTTCTGATTTATTAGTGTCACTGTGGTTATCCTGAACCTTTCTTTTCTTTCTGTCTGTGTTTCAGGGACTCATGTGACTCTGGTGACTCACTCTCGGTATGTCGGTCACTGTCTGGATGCTGCTGTCGTCCTCTCCAAGGAGGGAATCGAGTGCGAGGTAAAAAAAAAAATAAATGAGACTGAGACTGACCTGACAGTATCTTTTAGAAAGATGAAAAACATGGTGTCAGCGGTTTAATATATCTACTTCCTGTCTGTGTGTCAGGTGATCAACCTGCGGACCATCCGTCCTCTGGATGTGGACACCATTGAGGCCAGTGTGATGAAGACGAACCACCTGGTGACGGTGGAGGGCGGCTGGCCTCAGTTTGGGGTCGGAGCTGAGATCTGTGCCAGGGTCATGGAAGGTAACAGCTGAGTCTCTGACGGACTAAAGCTTTTTTTCAGTGTAGTACAATGTTTCTGTCAGCCTGTTGTTATCCAGTCAGGGGGGTTTCACACTAGGGACCCGCGCCCGGATCCGAGTAGGCTTGACCCCAAAGCCTGGTCCATTTGATCATTTTGAACACAAACGTAGTGTCCTCCGTTACTGTGCCCTCCCCTGAAGTCCTCTGGCGCCCCCTAGGGGAGGCACCCCTCACACTGAAGCGTCCTCCTTCATAGTAAAGAATGAGCTTAAGGAACATTTGTAGAATCAAGGGAACCAAACTTTAAGCCTCTGCTCTCTTCTTCCAGGTCCTGCCTTTAACTACCTGGACGCTCCGGCCACCAGGGTGACGGGCGTGGACATCCCCATGCCGTACGCCAAAATCCTGGAGGACAACAGCGTGCCACAGATCAAAGACATCATCCTGTCCATCAAAAAGACCCTCAATGTCTGAGAAACACACACACGTTCACACACACGCAGCACAGACCAACCTGAACCCTCTTCGTCTTGTACGCACAGATGGTGTAAACATCGTCAGATTAAGAAAAAAAAAACGACTACCATGTGTAAATACCGCCAAACGCTCCTTTTAAAAACGCTCCAGTTTGTAACGTTTTCCAGCCAGATGTTGGTCACTGAAGCGCACAGATGTTTTTCTACATCCAGAGCGGTAGACACACAGAGTTCAGTCGAGTCGTCCACTCGTCTGTGAGAGGGGTTTCTAACTTGACTGAACTCTCTGTGCGGCTCTGGCTGCTCTCTCCACGTCATCCCCGTCTTCTTTTAGGGAGTTCTAACAACAAAACCATAGTGAGATAAAAACAGATGTTAGTATTTGATCAATCCGAAGGTCTAAGAGGGAGCAGAGTTTCACAACAGGGTTTGTTGTTTGCAGAATCCTGAACGTTTCACACAGAAAAGCTGAAATGGTTTATGTTCTACCTTTACTCTTAGACTACATTTACAGATTGATGACGATGACTTTGTGCTCCTCGTTGTTTTGTTGTTAAGCTCCGGTGTAAATCCAGCCACCAACCCATGTAATAATAATCGGTCTCTAAACGCTGCACTGGCTCGTGTCTAAACTGAGCGGTGAAGAAGAAAGAACCAATCGAGTGCTGGACATCGGAGTGTTGTCTGGAATATTTATTGTAGCTGCAGCACCTCTGTGGATGTTTTTGTTGCTGTAAATGAATCTGTTACAGAAATAAAAACCTTTCAGTCTAAACCTACTTACACATCTATTTCTGTTCTGCTTTATTTCTCTCCTTTTACTTCTTGTTCTGAGCAGGTCACAGCTTGCAGTGTCTGCTCAGCTTGGAAAGAAAGTCAAACTCTGCTTCTCTGAAGGTAGCTTTGTAGGAGTTTATCGTCTGCCCTAGAGTCACAAAACCAGAGAGTTAAGACTTCAATACCACACTATTAAAGATTAATCGATATTTATACAGTAGCAACAACAACATTAAAAATCTTACGAATCAAATATTGGATCATGTCTTGTTATAAATTGCATAAATTCGTTGGCAAGCTTTCACTTTGGCGAAAGTGTATATGTAATGCAGACTGAGCTCGCTCTCTCTCAGTAAAAATGTGACAGCTGTTTTTAAAGGTCACAGTCTCCTCCTCTTCAACCAGTTTAAATAAGTCTCAGAGCTCCTCAAAACATGGAAGTTTCTTGTTCTAAATCCACTCTGATCCTGTATTTGATCATGCCTATAAACCCCTCTATTTCAGCCCTGCTCAGAACAGGCTGTTTCTGTGTCTGTACCTTTAAATATGTAAATGAGCTGTCTGACCAGCTGTGTCTCTGGAAGGGCTTGGGTGTACGCTGGCTTTCTCGCTCCATGTCCTATAGTTTACGGTGAGAAGGCAGACTCAGAGGGCAGAACAAACACCTAGCTGTGGGAATGTCACCCACCTGGGGGAGGGGTTACTGCCCTTTGTGATGTCATGAAGGGAAAATCTCCAAACGGCCTGTTTGAGCACACATTTTCTGAAAAGTGGAGCAGGCAAGAGACGGAGAGGATGGACTTTTCTCATCATTGGGGGATTTGTAGACAGACTAGAGACACATATTAGTGTTAGAGGAAAATAGTGAAGTGTGTTTTGCACGTGGCCTTTAAAGCTTTGTAACTTTTTGCTTTCTTTACGAACCTTATCTTTATACCTGGTCTGTCTGAGATAGTTAATTTAAAAGTTTGTACCTGATTAGTTTAAAAAACGGGGGGGGGGGGGGGAGAGAGTTAGAACAGGTGAAGCTTTAAACGTGTTTATTTAGCAAGCTTTTACAGGAATCAGCAGAGATCTACATCAGACACGCAGAACAGTCTCTCCACCCAAACACACAAAAATATAAACTTTATCTGATGAAGCTTTCACAACCTCAAAGATCAAACTATATACAGCGTCTCCTCTCATGTCGTTACAAGTGGAGGGATAATTCAGTAAACAGCAGAATGAAGGATTAATTGAACACTATCGGAAAATAACGGGATTGCAAACTGGCATTAGTGATTAAGCGTTTTTTTATTTGTTTTTGTAGCAAAAATGTCAAACCTGTTTCAGGCTTAATGAGGATTCACAGCTTTTCTTTGTAATTCATGACGGATAATGAAGTCTTTGGGTTTTCTTCTGAAAACATTTCAATGAGCATGATTCACACATTTCTACCTGTTAGAGACAAGTTGTCATGGAGATATTAGAAATATTTTTTAAGGAGCAGCCTACATTTCAACCATAATCAGGATTACACAGTGAAGTATTTTTAACCTTTAGATCTGCTGCACTTTTCCTTCAATGTACTTTCTACATGAATTCTTCCCCACAAGTGGAGTCTTTTTCTCTCCCTCTCATTCTAACATTTAGCCCTTTTCAGACTGTAAGCTCAGCCGCCATCACTTCTTTGTACATTCATAGCGATTCAGTGGCAGCGTAATGTTGGTGTCCCAGTTAAGTCTGTGAATTCACATTGTGTTATGATGTTGCAGAAGCGCGGCACAGCGGGAGCTCCACACGCACAGCACTGAGCTCCCCTGCTGCCTCTGAAGAGGATGCAGAGAGGGGAGTCACTTTATCTCCCTGTCAGGCCTCGGTGACATTCTTGAAGTTGAAGCGTCACAGGGTGTAAATTACCATATCTGACTGTAAAGATCAGGGCTGATACCAATAATTAATTTTAAAGTAACAATTTAGCCAATTCTGGCATTTTTTTAATGACTATTGGGTTATTCTTCATGCTTTCCAAATGAGATATCAGATGTATTTAAATTGTAGTTAGCAGTCCCTCCTCTTCAATGGAACATTACAAACTGCATGCTGCTGATCTTTTCTCAGAGACGCTGTACGACTTCCACACTGATCATGAAAAACCAATCAGTTTGTCCAACAGGTGACTTCTTCTGCCCCATAAAGAACCTCTTCTCCGAGTCAACTGTCCGGTTTATCAGTGAAGTTGATGCGACACAACAGATAAACAGCAGATACAGACATCAGTGCATGTTTCATTATTATCCCTAAAAACATCTTTAAAAGATCAGATTGTTTTGGTTGTTGTTTTTTACCCTGGTGGCTTATGAGGTCACTACACCAAAGTTTAAGAGCATGTGTGGAGTTAAACTAAAAATCAGCACGTTTTTATGTATTTATTGTGCGAGGGGGAGGAGTTGAAGAAATTGTCAAAAAGCCCGTAATTCATCTCACCTCCCCGTCGCTGGATCACATTTACGTAGCTCCGTCCAGAAGTCTTCTCAGGATTTGAAAATGAGTTTTTTTGTAGTAAATTTAAAGAGAATTAAAAATGGAATTTATAGATGTGTCATGTGATGTGTGTGGTTGTTTTATTTATTGGTTTCAGTAGAGAAGTTTCCATCTTACAGGTTAAATCAACTCATAAATAAATGAAATGTTTTACAGCACAGGTCTTTAGGATTGCTTCTTGTGCGTCATCATAACTCCCCACCGCTAGTTTCCCATTCGTTTTGCCAAAACAACCTCTCGGATTTTTAAATTAAGTTTGTTTCTAGTCAAATTTCTAAAAAACTAAGCGGTCTGTAAAGAGAAACATAGTGAAGGCGCTGCTACCATCATGTATCAAAGGTGGAACAAAAGAAGACGTCGGCACGATCAGCAAACCTGAAACATTTTACCATCAGGGGGAAAAAAGGATGCAGATAATCATGATCAATAATCTGTTGCTGTTTTATTGTTTGTTCAAAGGAGAAATGTTTCTGAGTCCTTTAGATCACCTCACATGGCTCACATTAACATAAGATCAAAAAAATGAAAACTTAAAGCTTTTTTTAGTTTCCCTCAACAATGACTAACCTCCTTCAACTCCCAGAATGCCTTTGAACAGTCTCCAGGAAAAAAGAAGACGTGGCCTCAGTCTCGTTTCTGACTGTGATGGGGCACGTTGAGTTCCCGGTGCCGACTTCACAGAGTCTCAGGGAGCTGACAGGTCGGATCGTCCAACCTCCGAGTGTCCCTTCAGCAGGCCGAGCCTCACCACCACCACCCTCCTCTTCTTCTGCTCCGACCCTTCATCGTCCTCCTCCTCCTGCTGCTCCGCCTCCTCTCGCTCCTTCACCTTGCGTTTTCCTCTCTCCTTCCTCTTCTCCTCCTTCTTTTGCTTCTTCGCCTTCTTACGCTTCCTCTTCTTCTCCTCCTCTGCTGCTGCTGCTTGATCCTCGTCTTCCTCCATTGGCACATCGTCCTGCACCTCAGCCTCTTCCACTTCTTCCTCTACTGCCATCTCAATTTCCTGCTCTTCTTCTTCCTCTTCTTCCTCATCCTCGTCGTCTTCTTCTTCCTCATCCTCCTCTTCTTCTTCTTCTTCTTCATCCTCCTCTATATCCTCTTCCACCACATCTGCCATCTGTTCTCCTTTAATCTGCATCTTCATTCTCTGTCCTCCGTTCTGTGACTGCAGACAGGAAAGGAGAAAAAAGTTAAGAAAATAAACATCTGCAGTGCTGCCACCTTGAGGATAAAAATAGATTACGCTTTGGTTAACAGAACAGAGAAGGATCTTTGATATTATCAGATCCATTTCAGTAGTGATCGCTGATGGAGTCACTCACACTCTTCTTGCTGTTTCGGAGCCGATGCAGAAGTAGCCTGACGGTGTCTTTGTTCTGACACAGGCCCATGGTGTTGAGGGCCTCGAGGGCGGAGCTAGTGCAGCCCTGCAGGCGCAGCTCAGCCCCCAGAGCCGCTTGCAGGAAGTTGTTCTTCCAGACGTTCCTGGTAAAGAGCGGGATGGAAAGTGCCACCACGGTCCGGCGCTCCAGCAGCGTCTGAGCCTGCTCCTCCGACAGCTGACTGCACACACAGCAAACAAACAAGAGCATGAGGTCTGAGTAGAAGTGGTGCTTTTAAAGGTTTAATTAATGTGCCGCCTGTCTCCGCTTAATGACACAAGTTAAAGCCATGTGGACAGCGTGAACTTAGCCGTCTTCCTGCATCTGACTTACTGTCCGCTCTTGGAGAGGGCGTTGATGTCGGGAAACAGCGAGGTGAGGCAGGTGGAGACAAGTGGAGCTTTCTCCTGGGCCCAGTCCAGACAGCGACGCCAGGGGAAGGAGGACAGCGGCTTCTTGCTCGACACCTTCTCCTGGAAAGGACTGTCAGTATGTCGTGTCAGTGCCTTCATCTGCAAAACATTTTTTTTTTTTTTTTTAAAACAAGTTAAGAAGACTGAAAGCAGGAAGTGTGTGTACTGTAAGGCTGTTGATGTCTAGGACTTGTATTTTTGAAAACTGGTTTTGAAATCAAAAGTTTAAAAATCTGGTAACAGCCATGCGTACTGATAAACAGATACATCAACCAGGAGCTTCTGTCCTCACCTCCTCCTTCAGCTGTTTTCTCCAGAACTCCATCATGGGCTTGCGGGCTCCTTTGGCAGACCAGAGCATTTTTAAAGCGGCCTTGTAGCAGGACTTGCTCACCAGCAGGGCTGCTTTGCTCTTCTTCCCCATCCTGCGGTCATTCTTCCTCTTGTCTTTCAGTTTTGACTTCAGTCAGCAACACCAAACGAAAGAAAAAAAGAAGACAGAAAACCTGATGAAGTGTGATCACTGTTGCTCTTTTAGACACTACACAGTGGTCAGAGTTGTGACTTTCTGAGCCAAATAAAACTGGAAAGTAGACGAGTCATATTGCCTTCCTTCATGTGTACAATTTGAACTCAGCATGTGGCATTTCATGCGTAATATTTATGTTTTTCATTATTCTAATATTCATCTTGTAAAACCAAACTTGTACTTTATATCTTGAATAGAACCAGGAGATATAACTTTTTATCACCACTACGATTTTAAACCATCGTTATTTAAATGATCTACAGCATCGAAAAAAGTCCTGAAGCTTTAAATGACTACATCTATTTCATGAAACCGATGCAGAATCGGAAAGCTTCCTCCTGCACACAGTCTACGTTGCCAACTTACTTGTATGATTAAGACAGTGTGCAGGTCTTTTTCTGGTCACTTAAACCGAGGACATTACCCAACATTGGGTGACTAGGGCTTCTGTTTTTGGTGTTGTGGTCTTGAAACAGGCATAACTTTCAACCCTAACAATCTGGTTAGTTGCTAAACTGCATTTCATTGCTCAAGACTTGTACTTGTGCAATAACAACATTGTTGAATCCATCCAATCTGTGGGGGTTAGGATACAATCTCGCCTGAATTGTTGTTTATTCTGATAGCAAAGCTCAGGAAGGCTTCACATCCTGTCAAAGTTTATTGGGTGTTCATCAAAACAAAAACAAGAGGCGGGACAATCCGAGGGGAAACATAACACACCTGTTGAGTGACAGGAGGTTTCAGCCACAGGGACCTCTTCGTGCTCTGTTTGCGCTTGCATTTGCTCCTGATGACCTGCGCGCAGGTCTCACACAGGAAGGACTTGTCGTGCACGGTGGTCTCCGGGAAGACCCAGTGCACGGTCTCCGGGGTGGTGAAGGTGTACACCGCTCTCCGGTTGAAGCTCCGGCCCTGCCGCTCGAACTCACACCTGCAGCTGCCGCAGTTTCTGTCCTCCGGCCGCCGCACGGGGTTTCGACGGCGGGCGCCTGTTGTTCGAGACACCGCGGCGGAACCGGACAGGTGTGACGCAGCCGACCTTTGGGGGTCTCCGGTTGTCTCTTGCTGAGAGGACGCGTCCGCATCGTGTCCACCGAGGCAGTCCACCTCCGCACCCACAGCCGGCTCCGGAAGCTCAACCTGCAGGGTCGACTGCTCCGGAGGCTCGGCCGGTGTGGTAAAGCTCACCTGTGTGTGTATGACGGAGGAGGAGGAGGGGTTACCTGCCACGGCGTGGGCATAGTCGTGCTCGTTTGTCTCCGATTTAGGGCTGGTGTCCCCCTCGTTGGTGTCACTTTTCTCACTCGTCATTTTTAAGATCTTCGGTTCAACAAACAGCCGAAATACGCGAAAAGAAAAACTCGGTCATCGCTGAAGCTAACAGGGCAACAAGCTAACACTGAAGCCCGCCAGAATAATGTCCGGGATTAGAGACAACATTGAAGATTATATATCGCTTAGACGCTTTAACCGACGTGTGCAGCACACATAGTTCAAGAAAAGGAGATCAAACTGAGACACTTCTTAGAATAAATGGCTGCAGAGTGAATGGAAACCATAGCAGAGCTCAGGAAAAAAAAGAGGATGTCGCCACTAATAAACACAATGGTTTCCGTGTATCTCTTCACCTGAAGGCCGCAGCTAGCGCCATCTGGTGGTGGGGGGTAGGTATTACATGTAGATGGAAAGGCAGGGGTGGGCAACTGGCGGCCCGGGGGCCACATGCGGCCCCCCATCAACCCTCAATGTGGCCCTCAGGTCAATTTTGACACATCAATTAATTGAAAACATGACAAAATCTGCCATGAAATAGTGAAAACCAGAAATATGTCCATAATAATATTTGATCACTGGCATATGTTAAGATAAGTTTGAGACATAATTGACTGTAATCGTTTTTTGTATTCTACAATTTGGCCTCCTGGCAGTGAGAATTAAATGAATTTGGCCCTTGCTGTGACCAGTTGCCCATCCCTGTCCTAAGGAATATACATGATAAGATACATTTATAGCATCTAATAATACCTACTGCCCCCCCCTCCCCCCTCCTCCCATGTGTATATATTAACCTGAACGAAAGTTATACAAACCCCTGTGACTAGGTCAAAATGAAACCCCTACAAATAAAACAAATTAGACCAAGAAAATGTGCATAACCAGGGCAGGATTGTAATATTATTGCTGATTTATATTATGCGATACGAAAATCGCAGCACTGTATGAGGAAAGAAATGTGATGTCCGATATGTTTCGATCTTGTGATAATGCTACGACATTTGATAGATAAACTAATACTAAATAATCCGTATTAGCTTTAGCTGTAAATTCAGAATTTTGCCATGTGTTTATTGCGAAAGATTATACTGAGATAACATTAGAATAGTACCTGATGGATGGATAAATAGAAGTTTATCCTATTAACCTGGTAGCAGACCCGCAAAACTTTGTGTACAATTATATTTGATCGTTATATTTGTATGTTTCTTTGTGGTTTTGAGAAATTATGATCTAAATTCAGTGTGGCATGGGAAAAGCTAAAAAAAAAAAAGACCAATTGTCACTGGACGGATTAATAAAGTTTTTTGGAATGCATTTAAATTCAACTTTATAGATATAAAAAAATATATATCTTATTTTGATAGGTACAGGAAGTGTACTTTCCTCTTTAGTCTAACTTGACTGTGATGGGATGTAAATGTACGTGTTAGCTTGGAGCAGACCTTCAGGTGTGTTTTGTTAAAGCAGGTAAGACCGTTTAACATTTTTAAGTGAAATTAATCTTTCTTAATGACGGTGTGACGTGGCCTTAGTATAAATACCATGGTAACTAGCCAGCTGCCGTAAACCGCAGCTGGACGCTGTGATTAGCCTCATTCAGAAAGACAGCGACAGAGACCATTGTATCACTGCGTAGCATAACATACCCGGTTAACATCACCTTTAGACGTTTCTAATGTTCTTATTTCCTCGTTTATGTATTAATTATAAACAATCAGTAGCCTAAACAAGCAGGACTATGTACAGTCTTTAAATTGAACGCTGACAGTGTCAAGAACAGCTGAAGATGCTCCACAGTGTTTGTTTTATTGCAGCAAAAATATGTATCGCATGTTGTTGTACTATAACTAATTTCATTGTCTGAGACATTGGGACATCTGACAGTAGTGAGAAAATTCAGACATATAATTTTAATAACAATTATTAATGATTCATAAATTGTATATAATATGGAGAGTCTGGCTGATATGGTAGTTATGAGGCTGATGCAGAATTGAGAGAAAATCAGACACCTTTTCTGTGTGGTGTTGGGTTTTCAAAGTCCAGATCTGGGACAGAAGATGAATCTGGATCCTAACCCGTTGATTCCCAAAATGGGGACGGTGGTCCCTAGAGGGGGCCAGAGGTTATGACAGTGGGGGTATGGCAAGGCACAGAAAGAAAATATGACGAGTCATTTCTTGCCCTTGGCTTCCCCTGAGAGCCACACTCCTTCCTTTTCCCACATCCTACCTGTGTGAGGTGAGTTTTTCTTCTGTTGCCTTAATCAACACAAAAACACAGATCAAAGCTGAAGTGTGAAAATGGAGTAAGAGAGTGTCAGTCTCACAGCTACAACCCCACACTGGAGAAGATCTGTGGCACGAAACATGCTCACACTTATTGCAGGACTGGAAGTCCTAAAAGACGATATTCACTGTTTTTTATTGTTTCAACTGGATTTGTTCATCCTCAGAGATATACTGAATGAAATGATAAAGTGAGCTTACTCTATGATCAGACATTAAGGAAACATGCTATGTTGAAGTGCTGGCTTCTCTGACAACAATGCAGCAGCCAGTATGTCCTCCTTCTAACTTTAGATTCTGGTCCTGAATGCTCTGGATTTGTTTGGACCAGAGAAGGTAGGCGGTTTTAAGGCACCCCTCACACAGCCATTTTGGACGCCCCTCGGTTTGCCAGATATGAGAGCAGTTATCAGGTCAAACCAACAGGTGTTGCAGCGATGGAAGCGGGTGAGAGAACTGGTTCAGATAGAAGTGATTGTACCCGACCTAAAAAGCCTCTGCATGTTTCTAATAAGCTCCACGAGCAGAAGCGTGCTCAAACTAGGATCAATATTGGATTTTGAAAAATGGAGAGAGGTTAGAACGCAGAAAGGTTTACAGACCGATGCAGAGCTGGCTAAACACTGAAGCTTCAGTGTCCACCACATGGCAACCTGTGTGAGCATCGACTCTAGAGGGGGGGGGGGCAGCTCTCTACAATGTTTAGAATCGGGACTACAGTACCCATTTTCAACACTATGTGGCAGAGTAACATATTGCTCCTTTAACTAATAATAGAACATGATCTGCTCAGCTGTGATTCTCTGCTACGGCAGATGCAGACAGTGCTGAGAGGATACTAAATTGGAGTCAGCACGATTTATTGTGATGTTCATTCATGTTTTTTTAAGTGCATTTGTGATTTAAGAGACGACGTCTACAGCTCCTCCTCCTGTGTCTCTCTGGCAGTTTATAGACGCATCACGGACGCCAGACTAATCAGCCAGATGATGTCTGGGCCACTGCAACGCGGCATCAGCTGGCTGCTTATCTCCATGGTAACCGTCTCACAAGCTGTTCGTGCTCTCTGTTGCAGGTGTCTGTGGAAACGCACAAATGATCTTCACAACAGTCTGGCCTGAAGAGAACCAACACACAGAGACGACCCAGAGCTGCAGATGGAGAATGGAGACCTGGGTCACATGGTGTGTGTGCATGTGTAGCCTTTACCAGTTTCAATATGTCTGACATTTGAGTAATAGCAGCAGCTTTCATGCTGAGTGATTCTTTACATCTTTCTTAGTGAGGATATTTTGGTCAGTGCTGAGACTGTATATGAAAAGTGGACGTAGTCTCTTGGTTTCTAAAGTGAATGTGGAATAGACTTCAACATGCATTCTTTCTTATGGCCACTAGTAGGCGACTCCACTTGTTGCGCAGACTATTGTATAGAAGTCTATTAGAAAATGGCGCTATTTCTCAGTTGGTTTCATACATCAGAAAACATTTGACTAAGGAGTTAAAGATCTCAGTCCCTAATTTCAAGTCTTCTTTAATGAAGCATCATGATCATTTTGTAGATTATGTTCCCATTATGGTAAAATAAATTATAGCTTCAATGTAAAATCTGAGGTGCACACTTCAAAATTTGCAACCCTTGTGGAGATTTTTTAAAAACCTACATTAACAGAGAGGGTTGAAGGTGTGCAGATGTTTTAAATGTGATTTTGAGAACAGCTGAAGATTGCTGTTTCACTAACTACATTATTGTTCCTGCTCTGTCCAGATGGGGGAGCCAGTGAGTCTGAATGTGGGCGGCTGTGTTTACAGCACGTCCCGGTCCACGCTGCTGCGCTACCCAGACTCCATACTGGGAGCCATGTTCAGAGGGGACATCCCCACTGTGAGGGACGCACGCGGGAACTACTTCATCGACCGCGACGGCCAGCTGTTCCGGTATGTAGATGCTGAATTATGTTTCAGATGACTCACATTTACCCTAAATGTCCAAATATTGATATCCATATTCTTTATTCAAAATGCTAACCGTGGGTGAGCATGCTTCTATACTAACATGCTTCATGTTACACATACTGACATTTTAGTAAAAAGCCGAGCCTGATTCATGTAGCGTAATTAAATTATTAAGATGTTATATCTTTATTTAACCTCAGATTTAAGAAGGGGCACCACTTCCTGTTAAAGGAAGAAAAATAACTTTAATGGTATAAGTTAATTAATTAATCAGTCAGTTTCATATCTGGAAAGAAGCAAGTTCTGGAAATGTTAAACAAGAAAACACACAGACAAAGTTGTGAATTTTATGTGTAAAATTTAATATAAAAAGGGGTAAACAATAATGTATCGATGAAACAGATAAAGAATATGATTATTATGATCAGGATAATGCAATTATAATGTATGGTGACATTATATATTTAGTAATGAGATAAGACGCGGTATTGTTTGAATGACTTAATCAGAAAATGGTCAAAAAGAAAAAGTTGATAAAGGAATTTTGGGATTCTATTTGGATTTAAAGGAGGGCTCTGACTAGACACGACTCAAGACTCAATCTTCCAACACCCCTTGCCACCAGCAGTCTTACTGTGAGATGTTTTCAATTGAACTCCGCCGGCTGGTCCCATGTTTTAGTCTCTAGCAAGCGGTTCTTTTCAGGCCCAGAGAGGTCCACGGGCCAGATTAGATGCCTTGACAACTTGGTTGGAGTGTGCAGCTGGGATGGAGATTGTACGTCGGTTCAGCCCGTCGTCTCAGAAGCTCCAAGAGGATCCAACAGGAAAAAAATATTAAAGAGTCTTTTGATTTGTCGATTTCCAATTCAGATTAACCGGATGACCATCTTGATGAATCCAAACTAAGGAATTGGCGTTCAAAATTGAAGAGCAAAGACTTTAGAGAAGAAAGTTCAAAAGCCTTGCTTGAGCCAGAAAGAATTGATGTTTCCAAAAATTGTGCGTGAAAAGGAAAGTTCGGCAGAGAGTCGTCTCTACGGCACAAACTTAAAAGAAGTGATTCGGACCGAAGTCCGAAGAGAAGCGAGCAAGAGCTGAAGCTCTAAACTTCACAGACCAAAAAAGAACTAAAAACTAAAAATCTGAGCTCAGTGTGAACTCTTATCAGCTGCGGCCAAAGGAGGGGGGACTGCAGGGGAAGGGTCACTCCCATTCTGACCGGAGGACAATTGTTTAAACTAAACCGAGTTTACTAAATAAGATTAAGAATAAGAATCTAAACATATATACGTCACCACACATTCATTTCGATATTAGTTCTATCAGATCCACGTTGATGTAGGTTCACGTCATATATTTAGACAAACATTTCTATCAGATTCATGTTGTGATGAAAATCACACCATCTGGGAACATCCTCAGTTAATCCCAGCCTGTAGGTGAACAAAACATGTTATACAGTCAGCATCCTTAATAAGACATATTAATAAAGTAGGAAAAGAAATTGGTGTCTTTAAATAACACCTTCTATAGATAATATCAAAGAGTATGCTTTATAACACGTCTAAATGTATAATTATGACGGTTACTTATTCATGGGTATTCTAACACTAGATGGCAATAGCGCTCCACGTCAAATTCCTATTAAACATAATATAACTCTTATTCCTATTCTGAAGATCAGATTTTAAGTTTAAAAAGATGATTATAATACATTCAATGTGACAAATATATACAAATATCTAGATGAAGAAAGACATAAATGTTCATTTGATGCAGAATTGAAAGCTCTGGTTTAATTCAGCTCTTCAGCAGTCCTTCAACAGATGGTCAATTTTACGACTTTGCAGAGACTGGTTTCGGTCACAGTTCATGTCTTTGGGGTCAATTCGTAGATAGCAGAGTGTTCTTTTTCCACTCGATTGTTTATTCCAGGTGTTGTAAAAGTTCATAATATCCTGTCTTCCAGAGCCTGTCTGAGAGGAAGACTTAAATCATTGATCAGTTCCTTTGTTTCTTGGTAAAATAAACCCAGATGTTAATCCACAGTCCTGAGTCCTGCAGGAAGAGAGGTTGTAAAACGTGGCTGCTGATAACGGCTACATTCACTCAGTCTGAGTTGTCATAAAATTACTTAACAAATAAAACAAACTCTTCCCATTTATGATACAACATAGGATTTTCTATGACGCCTAAACCTTTACCAAGTTGTGTTGGTGCCTACACCTAACTAAATGGTATTCATTTCAAAGCGCTAACCACGTGCTTGGTTGGTTTACAGTTTTTTCCAATTGCTAAAACACAATTTTGCAAACTAGGCTGGTTTTATCAAAATGCTTAACACAATTCACAAAACCAGACACCCAAACTGCAAAATACCTCATATATCCTGCAAAATGAAGCACTGAAACCAAAACTACATATCAGTGCAGTCAGTGCTACATATACCAGTACAGTAAAACGGCTCAAGTTGGGCTGCACTCTCTGTCCAGCCTCTCGCATTGTCAGCCCATGATGACATGATCAACTAAGGTTGCTCTGATTTTATTTGAAAGTTGTTGTCTTCTTTGGCCATGAACTCCTCTACCAGCTCTATCCCTACCTCACACTCTTCCTCCCCCTCTCATTCTCCCCCTCCCTCTTCTTCTTCCTCTCTCTGCAACCTCTTCCCTTGTTGTTGTAAAAAAAAAAAAAGGTGCTCACTTGTGGTCTTTTAAAAGTGCTTACTTCCTGATTGAAATGATAACAATTAACCATTGAGGTGTTTGGCCAGGTGGCACATACATTGGCCAATAAGCTCATGTAGTGTCATTTTGAATGGCAGTGTTTTGAGATGGCAAACATATGTCAGATTTCTGTCAGATTGTTGTGTCTTATGCAGAAAACCATGTTCAGTTCTTTTAAAAAGTGCCATTTTGAATTGCAAAATGTGTCTAAAGCAGAAAATGTTTTAAGACTTTTGGAGACTTGAGAAGAGGTTTTGCTCTCTGTGTGTTAGTTTAAATAATTGTGCTATGCATGTCATTTTAGTGTGTTAGCAATTGGAAAAAACTGTAAGTCCTTTGTAAGGTTTAGGAAAAGTTGATAAATTGGGTCAAAGTAAATATTGAGTACAGTCTGACATTTGGTTTTATACAGGACAGGGTTGGCACAATAGAGCCATCCAATCACAGCACAGCAAGACAGGATTACTAACAATATGGTTCCATTAAAAGCAAATTGAAACACAGGAAAATTTGCCTGTACTCATGTATTTTAAATGGATGCTTCGCTGCTCAGTGCATGCTGCAGTACCTAGCAATGCCACTTTTGTTTGTACAACTTTTCTCCCTCATTGTGTCATAATGAGTCTTCATGAGTCATGATGAGTCATGTGACATTCTTGTTAGGAGCTGTTTAATGAATTGAAAAAATGAATAACCACTTAAGCCGGGCGGATGCTAGCTTGGGCAAATTGGTCATGTGCAGTGAGTCCACAGGGTTAGAAAAAGAGTTCAGCCAGAGTCGAGATAAAAAAGTGATCATGTTAAAAAATGATGACAAAAATAATCTTTAATATTATAGCACAGATCTAAGTTAAGACTGGAGTGAAACAACTTGGAGTAAGGGGACAAGGTAGAGAAGGTGTCTTTCTCCTGTCCTGAGCGTTACTGACAGCTGAGCTCAGAGTCTTACAGAGTCTCATCAGCTCATAGAAAGTATATTACTGTAAGATGGATGGGGCAACAGCCGCCTGGGAGTAAAGCAAAACGATTAAGAGCTCCCCCTGCTGACGGGCTGTTGTATGGCCATAGATCCCGCCTCCTCCATGTTAACAGATCTGTTGTGGTTGGTTATTGTCATGCTGAGTTATGTCCAAGTGTTAATTTTTCTGAGTAGTTTTGTTCTAATTAGTTATTTGATTCAGAAATGCAACATTATAAATGACAGCTCTGTTGACAAATGCTCCTCCTTGCTTTGTCTTTTATGCGATTAGCAGAGTAAAGGAGGAAAGGTGGTTGGAGCAAGGTGTGGCGTCAATTCAGTGGTTCCACCTGCCAGCTTCAATCTGCGCATTCACTTTAGTACAAAAGGAGACAGCCAACCACTCTGCTGTCCATATTAATATAAAGCCGATAGTCTGGACTGATCCTGTCTTTGTTCCTGCTCTCTCAGCTACATCCTGAACTTCCTGCGCACATCAGAGCTCACACTACCGTGCGACTTCAAGGAGACTGAGCTGCTCAGGAAGGAGGCTGACTTTTATCAGATTGAGCCCCTGATGCAGTGCCTGGGAGACCCCAAACCACTGTTGCCTTATCCCACCAACACCTACGAGGAGGTGGTGGAGCTTTCCAGCACCAGGAAGCTGTCCAAGTACTCCAACCCTGTCGCCGTCATCATCACCCAGCTCACCATCACTACCAAGGTCAGTGTGAACAGTTCAGGTTAGAGCTGTAAATCACACCCAATCACAGAAATCTGCTTTTACAATAATACATTTCTGTAAACTGACTGTTCTCCATTTTCAGCAGACAGCTCTTGGTTTTGCTGACATTAAGTAAGCAGCACTCTGCAAGTTTATTAACATCCCAAATATGAAGTCTCATTCTGGCTACAATTTCAGAAGCTATTGTCAGCTTTCATTGGGTTGTCTTTTCACCCTTACAAGCCAGCAAAGCCAGAACCTAAACTTTCCTAAACCATTGCAACTACAAATGCCTTGCATCTAATTGTAACTTTAAACAGAAATGATTTAGCATTTTGTAAATGAAGATTTGTGTGGAACTCATACTTTTTGATTGTGACTTTCCTGCTGTCACAGCTGCAGCTTCACCTGATTTAATATTGATTTTAAAGTTAAGGTTTAGGTTAGGGAGTGTGCTATGAGTGAACTTAACGACTTAATGTTGTCACCCTTGTGACAGTCTTCTCCAGTCCACCAGTTACTAGTCATTTAAATTAGTTTTTGATCATTTTATCAACATAGACCCATAATTCCGGGTACTGTTGTGTCTTAGCTGTAATTCTGCTACCCGCCACCAGACGGGGCTATAGTTCTGGTTAATGGACCTGCTCTCCTCGCTCTACTACCCGGATGTAAACAGAGGGTGCGTTCGAATTGTCCCTCCTATCTCCTTTCACTATCCACTTTACCTTAACCCCGGAAGCATTTAAGTGGCGGCCATGATAAGAGCCGTTCAAATTCTCTAAAATCTAAGGAAAGGTGGGTCACTGCTTCCTTTATAACCTTCTTTAGCATAGGATACACTGGATCATCCTTTACCAAAGGAGATGAGATATGACGCCCCACAGTTCCTTGCGGCCGCAACATTTAAAGCAAGTCGCGCATCCGACCGTTCACGGAAATGAACGATGATTGTAAAGTGACACAGATCATGTAAGAGATAAAAGATAAGAGACATTTTTATCCAGATCATGTTTTAGTCAACATATTTCATTCAATTAAGGGTGCTATGTGCAGTTGTACATTTTTATGCTTAAAACATTATGTGTCGGTTATATCTTACAAAAATGTAACAATTAATTTCATATTTATTTTGATGTTGATTTCTGATTGGACAGGAAGCTGAAGGTTTCACTTTTGTTACTTGTAGTCTGGTATTCTATATTTCTTTTATTTCAATCCCAACCTTGTGGTAATTAGGATTATTTCACCGGTAAGAAGGCACAGGGGAGAGTTTTTTAGATGCGTTTTTTGTAGTCCATTTTCGGAACATTGTAGTTTCAACACGGCAGACCCACGTCATTAACCTCCGCCGGCCCGTCGCATTTAATGACATCGCCTAGTGGAAAATGCGGTCGGATTGTCAGAGCAACGAGATCGCCTTTCCCTAAGTCCTTTAGGAATTCTCCTAACATCTTTCCTTGACCTCATGACGTTTTTCCCAGGGTTAAGGTAAAGTGGATAGTGAAAGGAGATAGGAGGGACAATTCGAACGCACCCTAACACAGTAGATGTGGCAGCTCGGCTAATGGTGCTAACGTTAGCCACACTCTGCAAACCAATTTGATATTGTTTAGCGGCAGAGTCACAAAGTGCAATACATTGAAAACTGCTGTTTTTTAATGAATAACGTGAAGAAATATTTTGGAAGGAAATTAAATAAATTACACACACAGTATGATTTTTTATGTTATTAGCCGTATTGAGTAAATTTAGCTCAATATATAAAGTCTAAAGTCTAATATTGACTTTTTACTGTGTGTTTTCTGGCCAGTCGACCTATTCTGAATTTACATTTCTGTTAAAATAATAGCTAATTAGTTACTAGGAACATCCCTTTTATATACATATATAATATAAATACTGTGTTCTCAGAGTGTCTAAGTCACATCAAAGATCTCTCTGTGTCAGGGATTAAAGTTGTAGGAGTACAGATTCGTGATTAAGAGTGGGCTGAGCACACAGCTTTGGGGGGCTCCAGCAGTATAACAGAGGAGTCGTGACTTACAATCCACACTTTCTGTTGTCTCTACGAGAGTAAGTCAAATATCTAGTTTCAAGGCCCGGTTCTCAGCCCAGATTTTCATGGGGGAGATTGTTCTGAATGCTGAGCTGATCTCAACACAAACATTTTTTTAATTTTTCAAAATGTGTGAAGACTGAGCGGAGCAGCTGTGGAGATGGCACCCTCAAACTTATGAGGCTACAGGCTAGCTGGGATGTTGTCTGTGAAGTTGAGGAGAACCACTCCCTCAAAGCTACAGGGTAGTAACAAAGATGAAAGTGGCTGTCTTAAAGGAAGTGGTGTCGTCTACTGTGACAGCTAAATGTGAAAAACACTTGATTTTTTGGTAATCAGCCAGGTATATAGTCAGGGCAATCAGCTTTACTCACACCACTGTCAGCGTGGTTCTTTTCACCTTCACTGTCAGTACTTAACAATTGCTTATCCACTGGAGGCGGAGTGGACTTGGCAGCTGATTTTTTTGTTGAGTAGATCAAAGAAAATAAAAGATATGAAGCTCATCTGGCAACACAGTCTCACACATGATTGTGGTTCCTGCTTTCCAAGCCTCTGATGGTTTGGGTTTCCTGATACCTGTGTTTGGTGTCGTTAGTGTTATGTCTCTCTACAAGGGTCAACAGATAGCTTAGCGGTATCCTACACCTCATGTATGGAGGCTATAGTGGTTGTTGCAGCAGCCCTGGGTTCAAGTCTGACTTGACTCTCTGTTGCATGTCGTCTCTCCTCCCAGCATTTCTTGCCTCTCTTCAGCTGTCTCATCTCAGAAGGCAAAAATGGCCCAAAAAGTATCTCAATAAAACGTTTTGTTTTAAAGTCTCTCTACAATCTCACTTGATGCCACAACTTTGCCTCTGTATCTCTTTTCCCACAGTTCTAGAAAATGTCAGGACAACCTGCCCTGAAATCTGTTTAAATATGTCAACCCTTTGAGCCCTCATTGTGCCCTTGAGCACCAGCATGTGAGATTTATTGATGTGTAAAATGTTGCACATTCTGCCTTTAATGTTGGTTGACATAAAGCCACTATTGGTAGAAAAATTCAAGCAACCTTGGCTTTGCTTGTTAGGTCATTCAGTAGAATGAGGTGTACCTGTGTTGGAGTAGAATGGCGTCCATGTCTGTAGAGATGCTGATTTAAGGAAAGTGAAAAAAAGACTTACGCCAACCAGAAAAACATTATCAACAAATAATTTAAAATATATATATATATTATAGACAAATAGTCCTGTATCTCTCCTTCTCTTTTAAGATCCGTGCTGTTTTGGAGTCCATCTCTAGCGGTTTCCCAAAGTGGAACAAACACATGATGGACACCAGAGACTACCAGGTGTCTTTCACCTTCGGACCATGTGACCACCAACAGGAAGTCAGCCTGCGTGTCCACTTGCTTGACTTCATCTCCCAAGCTGTATGTCGTATTAATCTTATCTTGATCTTGTTTAGAAATCTTGTTTACTTCTAAAAAGCTGTTTGTATTGGACCACGTTTTATAGCGCAGTTATTGTGTGTTTGCTCAGATGTTTCAGTTCAACTTTCCCATTTTATTTCCCAGGGTTTCACGATACGTAACACACGTGTTCACCACATGAGCGAGCGAGCCAATGAGAACACAGTGGAGCACCATTGGACGTTCTGCAGACCAACTCACAAAGTCAGAGACTGATGTATGAACTCGTGGATGGACAGACAGACGATGTCATGTCATGAGTATATGCAGACAGAGTGGTCTACACTCCCTCCCGCCCACTACGCTCTGCCAATGAAAGGCGTCTGATCCAACCTTCACAACAGGGTCCTAAGTCTCTGACTAGACTCTTCTCCTCTGTCGCCCCCCGGTGGTGGAATTAACTTACAAACTCCATTTGATCTGCAGAGTCCCTCTGCACCTTTAAGAAAAAGCTAAAGACCCAGCTCTTTCATGAATACCTACTAACTTAATGATGATGGTTTTGATATCATTGATGATGATGATGGTTGTGACAATTGTTTTTGTTTGATAACGATGACTTATAAGATGGTTTCTATACTGATTAGAGCTCTCAAGAACTGCCGTCAATGTTGTGCTTTGCCTCTGGTCACTTCCTGTCAGCACCTGTGTGTCCAATCGGGCTCAAAGCTGATCGTTTGCTCTTACTGACATTGTTCCCTTTTTTCTAGATCCTTGCTTGTGTTGTTCTTACTCTCTGATGTACGTCGCTTTGGATAAAAGCGTCTGCTAAGTGAATTGTAGAAAGAGACTCATTGTTGGTTTTGTTGATTGATGTTTATTTTTTCTACTGTGTTTTTTTTTTTTTTTTTTCTTTTTCTGTCTTCTCTGAGCTACAGCACAATGTGAGGTTACTTGACAGCTAGCACATTAGCTAACTATTAGCTATGTGATTCCATGTATTGCCTTTGCCCAACACGTACACAAGTTGGCAAAAGAAAAAAAAAAGTTGACCGTAGTCTAATCTGTTTGCTTTTTCGCACATGCACTCCTAAAAATTTCTTGAAATTTTCAGGACAGTCATTCTACGAAATTACAATGTGATGTTCATAACCAATCCAAGATGGCTGCCCAAGCAACAGAGTCTGCTGTGATGTATGGACGTATTCACAGTATCATTGAAAGAGTGTAAAGGAGCATACATGCAAGCAGTGGAGTACAAAACAGGCTTATGAAGTGCATTAAGATCCTCCTGCTGGCATTCCCACATCAGCTCAGCCAGACTTCTTGCAGACTGTATACTTAAAGGTCACATATTCTCGTCCTCTTCAATCAGTTTAAATAAGTCTCAGAGCTCCTCAAAACGTGTGTGAAGTTTCTTGTTCTAAATCCTCTCTGATCCTGTATTTGATCATGCCTATAAACCCCTCTATTTCAGAACAGGCTGTTTCTGTGTCTGTACCTTTAAATATGTAAATGAGCTGTGTCTGACCACGCACCCTCTCTGGAAGGACTTGGATGGCTCTGTCTTTCTCACTCCATGCCTGATTGTTTATGTTGAGAAGGCAGGCTCAGAGGGCAGAACAAATACCTAGCTGTGGGAGTGTCACCCACCTGGGGGAGGGGTTACTGCCCTTTGTGATGTCATAAAGGGAAAATCTCCAAACGGCCTGTTAGAGCACACATTTTCTGAAGTGCATTGCATGTGTGAAAGGGGGTATATTGTGCTTCTAACTGTGGAAACCGTTTGGTAAAAGCCTTGTACCGTTTAAAATTCACAATCACAAAGACTGATTGCTGGTGGATAAATTGGATAATGCCCAGGTAATGTTTCTTTGCAGGAAGATGGTTCAAAAAAAGGACAATTTTTCTCCATATTGATGTGTTAGAACTTGACTGGCCTGCAGAGGTCTGACATCAATCCTACACAACACGTGAGCCACACGTTAATACCAGCATCAGTTTAGGACTTCACTTATGATCTTGTTACTGAATGTGCACAAATCAGGCAGGTTACACATTTTAAATCATTTAAAATGAAAGCTTGCAAACAGTAGATTTGAGGCTGTTTTGGCTTCTTGTTTGGTATAATAGAAACATCTGGCATATCAGTTCTGTTATAAAACTGTTATACAATAATGAATAAGAATGTGAATAAAATAATCTGGAAAAAAAACAATTTGAGGCACTGTTTTGACTCACCCTCAGATCTCACTTTCTACATCCTTCTACTACGTCGTTCTTCCCACTGTTCATATCACACAGAAGTGTATTCGATGGGGGACAGAATCAACAGTCTGCATTCTGAGTAAAAACACATTCAAAGCTTTCAATGACTCATCTGACCAGGCTACAGCAGTCTGAATTATAAGTCCCCCGAAGTCATTGAGTTTCCTCGTTAGGTGTTTCTATGAAGTCATCAACCAAAATTAAAGTTAACACTACAAGCCATCATGAGATGTATTAGTATCACGGAGTCGTGTGTGCTGGCTTTTTTAATGGGCTAGTTTACAACTGATGGCATGACAATGTTAATATGACAGCTCCCACTTTTAATGGTTGGTTGGGAACCAAAGACACAAATTTTAAAGTTCCTGCGGGTAACTGGCCGTGGTTATAAAATGAAACTTCAAATCTGTGAACCCATCGTTTAACTGCACCATAGCAGAGAAAGATTTACTTCATGCTGTACCCTTTTGACTGAAAATCAGGGGTGACCGTCGCTCAGTGTAGAGTCAGTCGTATCTCTTGAAGAGCTACCTGAAGTGTTAGCATCGACTGTAACGCTCTCTGGATGCCTTTGTGGGCATCCAAAGATTATTTAATTTTAAGTAATGTCTTAAAACTAATATATCTTCTTTTAAAGCTGAAAACTCTGCTAATCCCCTCTCTTTAATTAGAAGTGTGTTTATAGTGTGTAAACTGTTGGTTTACAAGTTTAGTTTAATGTAAATTAATGCAAACAAGCACAGGGTTTGCTGCATATTCAGCCAGCTCATAGGGAAAACAAGGTCATGCTTGTTTTATCATGCACTAGTCTATCATGGGTCATGTCTAGTCTATCCACCAAGTAGGTTCTTTGAAGTCTATGTGAATCAATCAGCAATCTCTGGCGTAAAACAGTGAAGCCAATGTAGAAATACCCCCCAAAAAAACTGCAGTTCCTCGAGAGTCCACTTCAGGATGGCTTCAAAAACCAAGGAATCCCTTTTTGGAACCATATTAAAATGCCCATTTTTGACCCTCTGTCTGGTGTAAAGTTATTTTTGTTTTCATTTTTATGGTAAATGGTAAATGGACTTGAGCTTGTACAGCGCTTTTCTAGTCTTCTATTCAAAGCGCTTTTACACCACATGTCACACATACACATTCACACACTATGTAAAGTGGCCATCAGAAGTAAGTAATCCCATTCACATACATTCATACGCCTTGGGGTTTAGAGTCTTGCTCAAGGACATAACAGACATGTGGATGCAGGAGCTGTGGATCAAACCCCCAACCTTCCAGTTGAGAGGCGACTGAGCCCAGGGTCATTTCCTGTTTTATTTGGTCTTCTAGATCCTGCTCCTCATGTTTCCTGCCTTGTGTGTCAGCCCTATCTTGATTGAACCCACCTGCATCTCATGCAGTGTATTTCTGTGTATTTGTGTATTTCTTCCCTGTGTCTTTCCTCATGTTGCCAGTTTGCTGTGTTTTTCCTTTGTGTAACCTTGTCCAAGCTGTTTCCTTCTGAGTTTCTCTGTGAATGATTTCCATCTTTTGTTTGACCCTGCCTTTGCCTGCTCCTCTGGATTTGTTTGCTGATTGGATTGGATTTTCTGTGTACCGAACCGGACTGAATAAATATCTGCCTGATATTACTCTGCCCCTGTGGAGTCTTGCTTTTGTGTATACTTCTTGTCACATTTTTAGAGTAGAAATAAATATGTTTACAGACTGGTTCAAAGAGAGAATTTGGTATCAATTATTTACACACTGTAAAGGGGTCGAATTTTTTATCCATTCTGCTCTTGTTAAGCCTAAGAGGTATTCATATATTTGCATAATTAGAGGTGTGGCTAAGATGACCCACAATTGGACATGTAGGCTAGCTGTTTCACAGGAGGCTTTAGGTCCACCTTAGCTCAACTTCTTAGACTGTTTCTAGATTAATTAACTGTAGTCAAGTCAAGTCACATAATGATGGACGGGGGGAGGATGTTCACCAGTTTAGGGGCTTTGACTTCAAAGGCACAGTCACGTTTGAGCTTGAGCCTTGAGCGAGGGACAGCCAGAATTGTTGGAATGTAGGTTAAGATAGAATTTCCAATATGGCGACCGCCATCACTGAGCTTCATAACGCCTCTTCAAAAACCAGTGGGTGACATCACTGGGACTATGTTCCTTTTTTTTTACAGTCTACGATATGAATACACCCTTTTAAGTGCAGTTCAGGACTGATCAAGATCTGGAGAAGTATAAAGACATCAGTGGGTGGTTGTACTTACAAACTCAAAGTTAGCAAAATGGCTGCATCATGTGGGTGCCACAGTTACACCCCCTCATTTACAGAGCACTGATAACAGCACAACATGAAGAAAAACAGCCCCCTCATTCATTTATGTGTCACATCATGGACGGAGAAATCGTAGCTAAACAAATGAAATATGCTTTTGCAGTAATAGTACAACTTCATCCAGGAGCACAGGGAGCCATTTTCCTTTGACAATCAACTTCTGTGATGATGTATCACTGGTGTTTTCCAGGTTGAGTTGCTATGAATCTAAAACATTGTTTAATTCCATTGCTTCCAGTTTGATCCACTCATGAAAAGACAATGAAGAGTGAACATCTGGAGGGACATCTGTCCACATTTCAAGTTAAGCAACATAATCAATAACCCATTAGACGAGTTCCAGTGTGTTTTACAAACGAATGTTTCCAATATTTGTGCTGTTATTTAAGGATAAATTAAATGTATCTAGCTGAATCCTTTACCAAACAGCAACGCTAACTTAGATGTGGTTTAATACAAACGTTAGCTGTTGTCTAATGGTAGTGAATGTCAATTTATGTGCAAAATTAAGCTACAAGCTAACTAAAGTGCACTAACATTAGCTTACTAACACAACAATGCAGGCCACAGGCAATTGCATCTCGGGACAATTTTGTCCACCGCTTGTGTTTAATGACGCTTCATTATGGTGCGTTCTAATTCATAACTCCTTTGTGCGTATGCGAGTGGAGAGGGGTTGGAGGAGTGTTGCTGGAGGAGAGCGTATGTCGCCAAACAGCAGTTTGTTTTGGTTTCATGCTGGTGCTCAAAGGCGACATCAAAAAGTGGCACATTCATCTTTACAGTGTTTTAATTCTGTCAAATGTTCATATAAATGTATGATTGTAAGCAGCCTTCTTTTAATCGACTAATTGATGATTATAAAACGTAGGCTGTTTACAGAAAGTTGCCGTAACCTTTGTAATGTCACTCCACTTGTTTTGTGGATTATCATTTCGAAGCGTCAATCTGAAATGATGCGATCATTGGTTTGTTTGTTTTTCAAGTTAGAAGTGACTTTGTTTTAAGGAGACGGCTGATAAGCACTGTAATGCCATTATCCTAGCTGTCAGGTCAATATACCTACAGGTTGTAGACGACTTGAAAATTATAATTTTTATCATAAACTCACTCATCAAATGGCCCCTGCTGGCCATTGGACAGAGTTGGGGCAGAAAAATATATTTCATAAAAGTATGGCTATTGTTTCCAAATATCTTTGTATACCTAATGACAATGAGTGTATCACTCAGGTGACCCTGTACGATACTCATCTTTGATACATCAGATCTGTTTTTTACATCAGACTGGGTAGAAATATCAATCCAGAGCACATTTCTCCAAACACAGTATTTTTAATTTATGCCAACTAATGCCTTAAAGGGGCTATATGTAACTTTTTACATGTATAAATCATTTTTTATCGCCCATTAATAAGTGAACGGTTAACTGATGTGAAAAAGTAGATGTTCACTGTCTATCTGTGTTGTCCGTATAAAAAGTTTCCCCGGGTCGTATTTTCCGCGAAAGCTCCAGGAAGTGACATTTTATGCACGTTCTCAACGTCCTCCTCACTCTGCTCCGCATACAGAGATCAACAGTACAACTCATTTTGAGCTGTTTAAAAGTCGATTTTCTTCTGCTGGATTGCATTTTAATGAAAATAAATTGTATAGGTTTAATAGCCTACCATTCCATCACTTTTGACCTGCAATATTTTAATTCTGATTAAACATTGAATTAAAAGACTTTACCTGCTGACGCGAGCAGCTGTTTTACTTTTTTTTCCTTCTTAAAACCTATTCAAATTCGCCGTAGCTTATGGCCACATGAAGATATTGATGTATTTCGAGATGGTTAAATTAGGAGGATCTCTTTTTTGTCACCTGTTGCCATGGTGAATCGTAGAATGGCTTTTTAGCGTCGTGGTCCACGCGCTGAACACCGAGTGGACCTACTCAGAGTTGATTTAACTAATTCAAATCTGCTGATCTGGAACCCGAAAACTCAGAGTTTCCCATCTGAGAGTAAATCAACTCAGAGATCAGGGTTAGACTGAGGGTTTGTTGAACCTTCTTTCAGAAACGGGCCCCAGCTCTTTTGTGAAGCGTCTCGCGATAACATTTGTTATGAATTGGCACTTTACAAATAATAATTGATTGATTGATTGATTGACTGATGTAAAGGTCAAAAGGGCTTGGCAGTGAAAGCTAGCCAATTTAATTGTGATTTTATCAAAGGCAAAATTAAATTTTACGATAAAGGTGATGCCACCAATAGCATTAAATAGATATGCAGGGAATGCATTATATGCAAAAAAATATCATGATCCATTTAATTTTACAAAAAACTGTTCAAAACAGTGAAATCCAAGACCTCAAGACCACCTATTGTTTGTTATTGGGTTTAAACCGACAGACACGAAAATAGCGTAAGCCCCGCCCAGAAATGACGTCACATAGTTATTTGGTGATGTGTGGAAGCTGTTTTCTTTCTTAATTCTTTATGTTATGACAAGTGCGTGTTAGGCCTAGGATTTCTTATATCCCCCCCACCCCAAATGATTGTATTTAAAATGATGATCAGTTAAACATAAGATTGTATTTCTGTCATTTGTTCCCCCACCCCCTCGGCGGGGTTACCAGAGCCCGCCCCCCCCCCTCCGCTCTTTCCCCGGCAGCCTCCGCCTCTTCTCCCTGGTCTGTCATCCACACCGCTGTTGTTGCAGCCATTTTACTGTGGAGCGTCGGCAACAGCGGCGACCGGAGGATGCCGAACCAGCAGCGTTGAAAGGTAATGTCGCCTTTTTTTGTGGAGCGCTTTCATTCGCAGTGTGTGTAACCCCGACTCTACCGACTCAGAAAATCCGTCGGATAATGTGCGGCGAGCCGGAGGGCCAGAGGGGCTGAGGAAGCCTGTGAACTAGTGTCTGCTCAGACAGACAAGAGGAAAGATTGCTGGGATAGTGTTTAACGACCAGTGCTTGTCGTTGCCACTTCACAAGTCTGTGTAAAAAAAAAAGAAAGACGATGTCTTTCATTAAATCACTAAAAGTTGTAAATGAGCTTGTATGCTGCTGGCACACGAGTGTATTTTTTAGTATAGTTTTAGTGGTCTGATTATTTAGGGTTCTCAGAAAACAAATGTTATTGGTGTGTTCGTTAAGGGGGCGCTAGAGAGCTGTTACGACGTATGTTTGCGCACTTTTTGTTTTGGTGGGGAGGGGGCTTATTGGCTTGACCTTTTGGTAGCCTCCCCGATGACTTTTAGGAATTTAGGAACAACAATTATTGGTTTCTTTGTTCTTCTCAGTTGGGTGAATAGTCTTTTTTTGTGTGGTTAGCTTGTTGTTAACTAGCTAGCTGGTTAGTCGTAGTCAGACTGGCCTCAAAGCGGTAATCTGTCAGTAGCTAGCTAGCTGTGACTTCAACGTTTTAGTTAAAGGCTGTGTTCGAAAGCTTGTTGTTAACTAGCTAGCTAGCTAGTTAGTCGTAGTCAGACTGACCTCAAAGCGGTAATCTGTGATTAGCTAGCTAGCTGTGACTTTAACGCTTTAGTTAAAGGCTGTGTTCGAAAGCTTGTTGTTAACTAGCTAGCTAGCTAGTTAGTCGTAGTCAGACTGACCTCAAAGCGGTAATCTGTGATTAGCTAGCTAGCGGTGACTTTAACATTTTAGTCAAAGGCTTGTTCCGAAACCACATACTACAAACTTCTTACTAAATTCTCAAAATATATATACTGCATACTAATCTGACTGTTAGTATGTCGTTAGCAGCATGCTAATATACAGGTCACGCAACGTATTTCCAGTCAGAGCTCCGTTCGATGAGCAAGCATCAAGCTAGCACGACCTTTGATCCGTTAATGTATTTCAACAACAATATGCAAATGTTCATTACTACGTAGTTATTTCAATATTTTTTGTCAACATGTAAAATGTATTTCAGCAGTGAATTTTGGTCGCTGGCTGGCTGGCTGGCTGGCTGGCTGGCTGGCGAGCTCTGGGATTGGATAGTCTGGGTGCCGCAGTGCATTGTGAAACAGTTTAGTATGATCAGTATGCTCTTGTTTAATTCTTAATGTTCTGACTGATCTAGTATACATCCGGATATTTCTCACATAAACAAAATTGCATCCTAGGATTTTGGATCATTCTACATCACATTGAGTGTGAATAGTATGAAAGTATGTGGATTTGGACACAGCCAAAGATTGTGACTAGGTAGTAGCCCATTGGTTACAGATTTATTTTGTCAAGCTAGCAGCTTTTTAGTTACTGATTGATCCCCACGGGATCGTTGATGGACGGCTTGCCTGAACAACACCCCCCCCCCCCCCCCTTGCTCCCCATCCCTCTTCCTGCATTTTATCCCATCTCTACCCCTATCCCTTTCCAACCCCGGCGCAGTCTAGGCCTGCGAAGGCTGTTTCATCATGAGCCGGGGATCCGGCCGAAGATTTCTGCCTTTTAATAAGGCAGTTTTTTCTTAACATTGTAACTTTTGCTGTTTTGCTTAAGTGCTCATGATGGATAGGCCGAGTCTTTGTAATATAGCAATAAGTAAGGTCTTTTACCTGCTTTTTGTTACAAAACAATGAGTATGGTCTTTTTACCTGCTCTTTTGTAATGTTAAAAGACAAAGAGTAAGGTCTTTGTAAAGTGTCTCGAGATAACACTTGTTATGAGTTGACACTATACAAATAGAAATTGACTGGTTCATTGAAAATTGATTGATTGTGACTGGCAAGCTTGTAGCTAGTTAGTCACAACTTCTTTGTGACAACTTCTTTGTGACTAGCAGCCTTACCTAACAGTAGGTGTCGCGAGTGAGCATCAGCGTAAAAATCAGCCTGATTCTATTGTTGGCAGTTGACCTAACTGCCCGCGAGTGACGTAGCGCTAAGCGCCGTTTTGACCCCGACATCCTGTTTCTATTTTCCTCTCTGTTGTTCGTGTATAGAGACAAGGAACGAGGAAGGAGGGGGAACAACAAGGCTCTGACACTCAGCACTTTTCTCACTCAGCACAGCTTGTTAGGTTGTTGTATAAAGTGGAGATAACAATGTCTAAGTAATATCCACGGCCGTGATTGAAATGTTGAGCGTTGACTTGTGTCAACACCACCAGAGAACAACATTTTTTTGGCTCACCGTGAGCTGTTTAAGATTGGCTGTTCGGAGGTTTCATTTATCTCCAGCTCACAACACAGGTTCAGGAAAGCCCCTTGAGCATGCCGCTGTAGTATCCATGCTTTCCCCCATTAGTGCGGTTTCTCCTTATTTGTCGCCTACACCTCTTCTTTTCTTTTTTAACTAAGACCTAGGGCTGACAACGCCAGTGCCATTCTCAACTTTTTATCAGACATTATTCTCCATTAGTAGGCTACCTATAATACGATTGGTGCGTGACAGCGGTGTGAAAATGGTCTTCTTGTATTATAACAACAAGCTACCGCCGCCCCTCACGCATGCTCAGAACGTACGTGGTGGTTGGCCGTCGGCTGTAGTTTTTGCGGTGTGTTCAAGTGCAACTTTTTGGCCAAGTTGTGAGGCAACACCATAGGCATCCTTCATCGCCACTAGTTTTTTGCTGTCTGCTTGGTGTGTCAGGGCCTTAAGATAGAAAATAGTGACTGCCCAGGTAAAAGTTCCCGTTAAATAAATAAAAAAGAAGAATTGTGTCTTGAGCTTATAGTCCCTATTTACTCAGTGTCTTGCCAAACAATGGAATATACTTAGTTTTTGATGTTCTTGATATGTTTGAGCTTGTCATTTCCTGGAAAACATAGAAATTATGCTGATCACTCTTGATGCTGTACTTGGGGATTACTAATTCTGGGTATAATAAAAGACTCTCAGACATGTGTATCTTTCAGGCCATACAGGTCTAAGGAATAGCTAGTTGTTCCCTGATTTTGTGAATACTCTTGTTCAGTATCAAGTATCATTGGTTACTGCAGAGGAATATCCATAATGTTAGCCACCAGATTTTAAAAGGAAGCGCATTGGCATGCTGAATCAAATAAACTTTGCTGGCCAATTTGTAGAAACACACAGGCTTCAAATCACAATTGGTCTCAATAACAACTGTTGTGACCAACATCACTCATTTAAGCTGTTTTCACAAATGCACTGCTGAAAAGGTTCTAGTAAATGCATAGAGCAGGTTAGCCCAGGAAATTCTCCAATGTTCAATATTCACATAAGTCCTTCACAGCGTGAACATTGCCCTTTCGGAAGGGTGAGGGGTGTCTCAGTTACCATTTAGCGAGCTCACTTGCGGGCCAGCTAGGAGGTTAGCATCCCATGTTTGTCAACTGTTTAGATTTTACAGTTGTGTCAGATTGCTCCCAATCTGCATCTTTTGTTGTTCTTGCTAGCCATTTGGACCAATAATCATGCTTAACTTTTCAGGAAGTAACTGTAAGATCAATTTATCATCTTTGTATATTGTTATCATCTGTTTCCATTGCTATAAATTTGAGGATGGAGAGGATGAATTTTTCGCATGGTATTATTATTAATTAATGTAATTAAACCACTTCATTAGCCCTATTCAGACTCCTGCTGTATCGTCCTCTTTCGTGCTTCTGCAATGCAGTATGGAAATTTGAATTTACAGACTGGGTCCTCAATATAACACGATATTCATGTCTAAAGGCGTTATGACGTCGGTGCTTCGTAACTGCATTGTACCAGAATTGCAGTCTGAAAGGGGCTATTATGTTTTCTTTTCTCCAGTATGTCCTTCTCCATTCTTTTTTTTACTGTGATAGACACAAACTACACATAGCTTTGATATAAAGTCAAATATTCATTTGCATTGTATAGCAAACTCTGCTGCTTTATCCGTCACCTCTGTTTAATTCATTTTACGTCAAAGCTTGTCTCAGTAGACCCCTCGCCCACCCTCCTGTCCGCCAGGAGGAGTCTGTCGTTGTGAGGGTATCTGTGAACAACCTGGTCAGCAGAAATTAATTAAATGTACCCTGAAATTCTCCATGAATTTTCAGGAGAGCATATGTGAAAACGGCTTACGTCAGAGTATTGCTCGTGAAACCAATCTAATGTATAAATGCTGTGGCCAGAATTAAAATGTCTTGTTTCCAACAGTTACATAAATAGATCTGGCTTTTAGCATCTTTTTCTTTGTATCCAGAGATCTTGTTCTGATGCATAAAATGAAATACATCCGCTTACTCAGTTTGTTGACCCATGGTCTCCTTTTGCTCTTTATTAATTGTTTTGTAACTACTCAGCTGCAGCCTAATACCGTGTCCTAACAGTACGCAAGCATTGGATTTCCCGTTGCATTGCGTATTATCGCACACTTGCTAGTGTTCACATTATATTGAAGGTGGACAAACAGAAGTGTGGTACTTTGTGTTGACTCAAATCATAACGCACAAAGGCTAACCAACAAACGGCTCGCGGTGCGCCGAAAAAAGCTCAGAAAAAAAGGATAGGTGGACACGGGGCCTAAAAAGTAAATATTTGCTTGGAAAATGTATCCAGAGAGATGAGCATTAGTAAAAAGAGGCGTAAATTATGTGAATCCTTGATGGTTATCCCCACTACTGGTTACAAACTATCCTGAGAGTTTATCATGCAGCTGTTAATCAAACCCCCTCACCTCCCACACTCACCCCACACACACATGCATCAGCCTTTACCGCCCCGCCCAGTTCATCCTTATATCGCGGCCTGCCAAAGGAGGAAACTCCCTCAAGTGCATGCAGTCTTGGTGAATTATGGGAAGTTAGTTGGTTGTAGTTTCATGGCTCTTTGTCTGG